GTGTGATGAAGTATCAGAGGACGAAACATCTGTGTGATTAAGTATCACGGATGAGTCCTAGAAAGACAAAACATCTGTGTGATGAAGTATCACTGACTAGTCCTAGAAAGATGAAACATCTGTGTGATGAAGTATCACTGACGAGTCCTAGAAAGACGAAACATCTGTGTGATTAAGTATCACGGATGAGTCCTAGAAAGACAAAACATCTGTGTGATGAAGTATCACTGACTAGTCCTAGAAAGATGAAACATCTGTGTGATGAAGTATCACTGACGAGTCCTAGAAAGACGAAACATCTGTGTGATGAAGTATCACTGACGAGTCCTAGAAAGACGAAACATCTGTGTGATGAAGTATCACTGACAAGTCCTAGAAAGATGAAACATCTGTGTGATGAAGTATCACTGACGTGTCCTAGAAAGACGAAACATCTGTATGATGAAGTTGAAATCATTATTTGGCTGTACTCTAATTTTAAAAATGTGTTGAAAAGTGCAACTCATCTTGTCAGTCTTTTGTTCAATCGTCTTCTCTCCAGCAAATTCATCATGATCAACTTTTACATATATGCAAAGATCATATACAAGAATGCCTTAGGTAAGTAAGTTTGTGTTTCATGGGTTCCAATGTCAAGGTCACTTATTATTTCAATAGAGACTCCCTCTACTAATTTCTGAAGGATTTGTAAACTATGCTAAACAAATGCCACCAATTTGCTCCGAAGTCTGGAAGTCTTGAGTATGCAGAAAATTAGACTCTGTTTTGACTTGAGTGAAGTACAGGTGTCATTTCTTAAATTATGTCTGTAGCAATGGAATGCTGTATATAAAGTGTGTCTAGAATTTTGTTTTTATATCAGTGACATGAAAATATTTGTTTTCGATGTAGAGATGTACAGCAAGAGTTCACCAGAAACATTTATAGTGGTGTAAATACGTTAGCCAGGTAAAACTACATTAGTGCTCATTTCAAATGATCAGTAGCTGGATAAACCTTCAATACTACTGATTAGTATAAAATTATAAACCAGTGCGTGAAACTACGCATTACTCACATTCAACGGGTATCAACATAATTCTGTAAAGGATAACTATTAATTAGGAATAATACATCAAAGTTATAAAACAAATCTCTACAAAGTGTAAGGCCTAACTATAGGTCACAGTATTCTCCCCACATCTGACCATCACCCTATAGCAAGAGGGAGCAGACACAGCATGACACTGCCTACATACCTAACACCATTTACCCAGTTAGGGTTTTGTAGATGAATAAGTTCAGTTAGAAACAAGTTTTTATGTTACTCATATTGTATATAATTAGAGAAATACAGAAAGGGTATCTTCAGCCAGGTGCAGCACAAATGGATAAGTTTATCTGTACCCAAATAGGGAGACACCATGTCGCCAGAACACTGACGTCTGTACCCAAATAGGGAGACACCATGTCGCCAGAACACTGATGTCTGTACCCAAATAGGTAGACACCATGTCGCCAGAACACTGATGTCTGTACCCAAATAGGGAGACACCATGTCGCCAGAACACTGATGTCTGTACCCAAATAGGGAGACACCATGTCGCCAGAACACTGACGTCTGTACCCAAATAGGTAGACACCATGTCGCCAGAACACTGACGTCTGTACCCAAATAGGTAGACACCATGTCGCCAGAACACTGACGTCTGTACCCAAATAGGTAGACACCATGTCGCCAGAACACTGACGTCTGTACCCAAATAGGTAGACACCATGTCGCCAGAACACTGACGTCTGTACCCAAATAGGGAGACACCATGTCCCCAGAACACTTACTTCTGTACCCAAATACACTGATGTCTGTACCCAAATAGGGAGACACCATGTTGCCAGAACACTTACTTCTGTACCCAAATACACTGATGTCTGTACCCAAATAGGGAGACACCATGTCGCCAGAACACTGACGTTTGTCAGTGAGACCAGCAAAGAAGAAGGATATATGAAAAATCTGTCAACAAACTAACCAATGAAGAGACACATGGGAATTGCTTTTTGCTATTATGGTACTATATGTAAAAGGCTGTGTGAAAGACTATATGTACTAGACTGATTCTGTATATTGTGGATTAATAAATACCATTGAAAGATCAGAATGGACTTGTGACATCTCTGCCTTATGGAAACACACTCTACAACATCTGTGTAAGAACCTTGTGACCTGAGTGATCACCCATATCACTGGTACTGATGAAGGTACCTTAACCATCAGCAGCTACTGATACGTGCCAGTGTTAACACTAATGATTAGTTCTACCCCATCTGTTTTCTTTGTAGAAATGTAAACACTGGTGTTACTCCTGCTAAACTGTCAGGCATAGCCTCCCATACAACATCACAAATATCCATTCATGTTCATCAATATGACGAGTTATTTGAAACAAATGTTCAAATTTTGTTTATGTCATGTTTTAAAAATCACCATCACTGCAAACACTGGTGTTACTCCTGCTAAACTGTCAGGCATAGCCTCCCATACAACATCACAAATATCCATTCATATTGATCCATATGACAAGTTATTTGGAACAAAATATCAAACTTTTCTTTATGTTTTGCTTTCAATTTTTTTTACCATCAAAATTGACCCATAATTTGTACAATACCAGTCTAGCTTAAGTCATTCTTTTGCATGCTTATTTAACAAGGAGAGTGTTTTTTTCATGTTTACTTTTTATTACACCCTAAAGCATGCATGGATAAACATCCTGGCTCAACAGAATTCATTTCTTATCTGATAGTTATGCATTTCCTTGGAGCCAAACCCACAGTCACCATTGTTTTGAGAAAATTTAAATTCTCACTTTGTAAACTTCTTTTTCCAATTGCTGTGAAACTTGCCATGCATTAACTTACGCCCCTTTTCCCGTGATCAAAAGAAATGCATAGGATAGTGTAATAAAATAAATAAAATTTCTTGTCATTTCTTTTTTAACTGTTATTGAACTTTACATACAAGTTTCCTCTTTGCAGTTTTTATCTGTTGGCAGGCCAGAAGGCTGTAATAGCAGATAAAACATGTAAAATTCTTCTGTAATTTAAAACAATGATCTCTTACATTACAGAGTTGTTATGTCTTAACCAACTGAAATTCATACATCTGTTCTCAAAGAATTTCATACATCTGTTCTCAAAGAATTTATACTTTTGTTCTCAAAGAATTTCATACATTTGTTCTCATTTTCTGATACTTTCATTTTCAAAGAATGTCATTCATTTGTTTACAAACATCACTTTGTTTTCACTAGTTAATGTGTCATTCTTTTTGTTAAAAATGAGGTCACTATCACTATAAATAGAATTTTTGTGTGACTGTTCTACATTACTTCATTTCTGTACTGATTGTCATGAAACTGTACATTTGTATATCTTTATACATTATGTAGATAAAGGGAATTTCAATGTCTACCTTATGTTTCAAAACTGTATACCCCTAACATTTTATTTCTTTGTGAGATCTAGTCCTTGAAATGCAGGGGTACAACATGAATTTCACTAATTTGGGTTGCTTTGTAAACTCATTAATGGAAAAACTAGGATTTTTCATTACATTACTAACACATCATAATGCTCTTTCAAGTACTCATGGTGTAAAACAGGAAGAAAGTAAAGGATTTTTTTTTTCAAAACAGAGGAGGTGAAAAAAAAATACAGACAGGAAAGGCTTCTTAATCAGTAACATTCTTTTCTTGTATACATTGGTATGTTGACAAAGATCTTGGTGGGGTACAAAAGTGCTAATTAGCAGGGGTATCTCTTACTTCTGTAGACTGCGTTATATGCTGCTCTTGGGAGATTTAACAGGCGATCAAAGCCTGCTTCGTCACAGTTATGTTGTTTGAAGACTGATATTGTGTGACCAGGTCTAATTTGTAATTTAATTAGTACTTAATTTCATACACTTAAAGTATGTAATGTACACAAGATGGTTCCTTTGATTCAATTGTTCTCTAGCCATCCTGTAATTCATTGTTGCTAACTAAAGGATACTGTTTCCTTGCCAATACTTCATTCTTTAGACTGTTGTACTTGTCTGAAGGTCTATACAAGGCCCTTTTGTGTCTTAAATGACATTCTTCCCCACTCCCAGTGGAGATGGAGAGCCCCTGAAGTCCCTGTTGTGACTGGGTAACTTGTAACCCCTGTTGTGACTGGGTAACTTCTGTAAACCCTGTTGTGACTGGGTAACTTCTGTAACCCCTGTTGAGACTGGGTTACTTCTGTAAACCCTGTTGAGACTGGGTTACTTCTGTAAACCCTGTTTAGCAAGAAAGATAGGATCTGTGTATCCATCACTTTCAAACAAATAAACCTGGATTGAAAACAAACTGTTAAATGTATGTTTCTTAACTTTGTTTTCTATATGTGGGTATCACCAATTATGTTACAAGGTCATATACACTGATGTGAAGAGACATATTATATAGTGCTTATAATTATGTGCAGTGATCACAACATTGGAATTGTGCAAAAGACTCAAATTAATGATGCTTTATATATAAATTTTAATTGGATTAACTGCATCAGACAGCTGTTTTGTCCTTCAAGGACTTGTCAGTGATGCTAAGGGCATGAATTATAAACCAAGGAGGCGACTGAAGAAAACTCAAAGTTATCAAAAGAAATGTTGAAATCTAGACGGGGAGGACGGGTAGGCACATTAGCCCTAGAACTAAGTAAATTTTGTAAATTTCAAATATTTGATAATTATAGGAGAATGTAACGTACGGAAAACTTCGGGTGGTGTCTTCCACCTGCAATCTCGGAGATTGTACAAAAAACACACAGTAGAGCCAAACTATGAATTATACTGATGACCTGGTATTGTGGTACTTGTAGTACTTGTAATTACTGTTCTGCACTATTGACACAGGTTATGCAACTTGATAGTTTTGCAACTTTTAAGAGTTTATATTTTGCGAAGTCAGTTTGTAACTTGTGCATTTGTGTACTTTCAGTTGTGCTTTTCGAAGGGTGATATCGTAACTGTCACCCAGACCATGGAAGGAGGCTGGTGGGAAGGAACATTGAACGGAAAAACAGGATGGTTCCCTAGCAACTATACCAAGGAGGTGAAAGGAGGTTAGTACTACACATGGTGACTGTAGCATTGGTTCTTCTTGGCCCAGAAGGGGTCTACAAAAGGACATTTTAAAGTTATTTAAAATCCTTCTCCTTCTGTAGGAACGAATTGATATTGCCCTAGTTTGGTCTGAAGCATTCTTGCGAGAAGGGGAATTGATCTTATATAAACATAAGGCCTCAGCCCCATGGTGTTACAGGGGCAGGGCCCAATATTGGAAATGGAGTAAATTCTTTAAAATTGTAATCCCCCTCTAGGAATGAATGGTTAATGCCAAAATTTTGTAAGAAGCATTGTTAGTTTAAGGGAAATTATTCTCTTATAGACATGCAGTCTCAGCCTCCTGGGACAGGAGGGCAGGGCCCAGTAGGGAAAATGGAGTTCAATTCTTTGAAATAAAATTCTACTCCTCCTGTAGGAATGGACGGATATTGGCCAAATTTGGTCTGAAGCATTCTAGGTTGAAGGAAAATCAGTTTAGTTTCAAAGATGCACATGAATTGGGGCCCAATTGGAGAAATAGAGCAAATTCTTTAAAATCCTGCTTCTTCGGTAGGAATACCTAGTTGTTGTTTTAATTTAGTCTAAAGCATTATTGGTTGAAGGAAATCAATTTTGTATAAACAGTAGGTCTAAGAATCTGGGATGAGAAGGCAGGGCCCAATAATGGAAATAAGGCAAATTGTTTAGAACCATCCTTCTTATGTAGGAATGCCTGGCATCTGTTACAATTTGGTCTGAGACATGATTGGTGCAATTTTGTATGAACAGTCAGGCCCCCTCTTCTCCATGAGGCAGAGATGGGACCAAAGATTGGAAATATAGCAAATTCTTAACAATCCTTGCTGTGTTGGAATAATTCAGTTTTGTCCACATTTGATCTGGAGCATCCTTGGGTGAAAAAAACTTTGCACAAACAGTGCATCTAACCTCATTGGGGAGGAGAGGCCAGGCTTACAAAGGGAAATAGGTACAGGTATCTTAAATACTTTTCCTTTAGTTTAAATCAATAACTTTTAGAAAACTTAACAAGGTGAACAATACAGGCCCTATGGACATTTTGTTTAAAAAAAAACAACCAAAAAACATGAACATTAGGCCCCTGCATGAAAATGTATGATTTTGCAAAAACTGGTTGTTGGGTACAGGTCCATTGTGCCTCTTGTTTAGCTTAGGTACATCTTGATTTTCAGATCTCTGATATAAAATCTTGAGGTAAATAAGAAAATCAATAATATTGGTGTACATGAGTCAAACAGACAAGAGTTTCCAGATAAATTTGTGATGTATGAGAAGACAGCTTTGTGTAATGGAGTAAATATAATTTTGATATATTGTTGCAGAATTGATGGGTGTGTTACGACAGTCTGCCACGCCCAAAGGATCAGCGGAGGTACCAGTGTTTAAACGAGAGAGTATGCCCTACTACCATAATGTGGTAAGTAAACTTGTCCTCTGACAGTGTTGGTAAAAGTGTCAGCGATACTGGACTTCGGTTCGTCCAAGATTCAACTTATCCACTAGATATCTTGTGATGCTCTGCTGTACAGCACTTAGTTTCACCTATCATCAGGACACATGTTTCTGCTTTTACTGTTTTCCTGCAGCACTAGGACCCATGCGTGTAGGTCTAGGCCAACATGATTAATATAAGCTAGTTAATAGTTTGCGATATCTTTTATGCATAGAAATGACATTAGATTTACCTATTGTAATAATGATGTCATTTATGTGATATATGAATGCCATGGTCATATGGTCCACCTATCGTTAGTTATCAGTAACCTAAGTCGACTGTTGAATTTCACGTAATATTAATTTTATTTAAACCATATGCTAGACATTAGAATTGAAAAATAGCATGCAATGTCTGCAACAAAATACACAGATATGTTCTGTAGTGTCATTGAATGACCCCATAGCTGTTGACGGGACAGTAAAGAATATAACACCTAGACGAAATCTCATGGTGACCTATTGCGATCACCTTTTCTCCTGCATAAAGTGTCTGTAAACTTTTATCATTTTGACTTCTTCTCAGAAACTGCTAAAGTGATTTCAATGAAATTTTGCAGTTTGAAACTGTTCCTTGCAGTAGGTGAACCAAAATAGTGAATTTTGTGGTCCATACCCTGCCAAGGGGCAGGACTAAAAGAAATTGATTTAACTCCAATTTATAAAATCATCTTTTCAACACCTAGCTATGGTAGAATCAAATTTTTCCATGGATGGAAGTGTCTTAAGGTTCTTTACCAAAGTTGTGAATTTCATGACCCCAAGGTTTCACATTCCCAGTGGGGAGGGGGGTAAAGTGTAGTACATTCATCTTCCTTGATATCATCATTGTCTTTTACATGGACTACATATTAATCATGTTTCCTCTAATTTTAAGGAAGGGGGATAACTCTAGTTGTCTTGACACCATCTTCTTTAAAAAAAAAAGCTATTTTTTTTTTTATGCAATTGTAGGTTCACAAAATATATGCAGGTAGCAGTGTCTAGTGTTATTTACAGAAAGTTAAACTACTGGAGATAATTACGGCTATACTAATCTTAACTTTCTCTGTCAACAGGTGCTTCAGAATGTGATAGACACAGAGAAGACACATGTACAGGAAATGACAATGGTGCTGCAGACATATATACAACCTATACAGGGCTCAAACATGTACGTAATAACATACATACAACCTATACAGGGCTCAAACATGTACGTAATAACATACATACAACCTATACAGGGCTCAAACATGTACGTAATAACATACATACAGCCTATACAGGGCTCAAACATGTACGTAATAACATACATACAACCTATACAGGGCTCAAACATGTACATAATAACATACATACAGCCTATACAGGGCTCAAACATGTACGTAATAACATACATACAACCTATAATGGGTTTAAACATTGATGTTATGAAGATGTAGTTTTTTTTTTTAAACTATCATACTGAATTATAATATCTGTTGACATATACCTAAACCAGCATAATTTTCACAATGAAATTGTCCTAATCAAATATTTTTTTACTTAACAGATTATCGCCTACAGAATATTTACAATTAGTTGGAAACCTCGAAGAAATTGTTGCATTCCAAAATAATTTTCTCAACTCCTTAGAAGAATGTGCAAAGTAAGTACATGATAGTGTTGTCAGTGCTAATGTATAGGTCTTATGTCCATATATACCAAAACTTTCCTCAGCAACAAAGTGTGATTCATTAAAAGTTTTAATATGCCATTGCCTCAATGTAACATTGAAGTATTTATGTGTGAGAGGAAGTTTGATATCAGGTTTCAACACCATCATGGATTGGTTATTGATTAATTATCAAGATAGAATATAATATGAATCATGGCTATTGTCAATGACTTTCCTAAGTAGTCTGTCATTTTTGACTCCCTTGAGACCCCCGTGGACATCACTAATCACAAGCTGTGTTTTTGTAGATGTACACCCCATCAGCGAAGAGTAGGAGGGGCATTTATGAAGCATGCCCCGCGACTTAAGGAACTATACCTGGCCTACTGTGCGAACCACCCTCGCGCTGTGGCCATCCTCCAGAATAAACGGTAAGACAGTTGTATGGCACCCTGTGCTGCTGTATTGTGGAATGAAATCCACACTATATAGTTAGGATCCTATGCCACTACATGTCGTCTTGTTATGGCAGACGACCAAAAGTCAGTGGCAGGCAAGGACAAAGTTAGACCACAGAGTGGACGTTAAAGTGACCAGGACGCTCAATTCCATATTTACCCCATTCTTTTTCTCTCTTTTTCTACTCATACTTCATACTTTATCTATAATACTTATTTCCTTTTCTGATCTGCCTATTTACAACTCATTAATTGAAATAAGATACTGTAAATGTACCGGTATGCATTTTAATGCTGATCATATTTTATCACTATATGTATTGAGCTAAAATATGACCGTGCAGTTTGTCACCCCTCAATATTATGTATAAATGGCAATTTTTACTGGAACATGTATCCATTATATGCTAATTTGCTGTAAATATATAGATATGTAGCGTATGTTATTACACTGGTGACCAGGCAGATATGTAGTGTATGTTATTACACTGGTGACCAGGCAGTTTTGTAATGGATGTTTTACACTGGTGACCAGGCAGTTTTGTAATGGATGTAATTTGGTATCATCATAGCAAATGTACTGTTGTGAACCTGACTGTATTTTGGTGTTTCCTTGACAAATCTACTATTGTGAACCTGGCCATTTCTTTGTGGCTCCTTGGCAAATCTACTGTTGTGAACCTGACTGTATTTCTATCTTTACCTTGGCAAATCTACTGTTGTGAACCTGGCTGTATTTTGGTGTTTCCTTGGCAAATCTACTGTTGTGAACCTGACTGTATTTCTATCTTTACCTTGACAAATCTACTGTTGTGAACCTGACTGTATTTTGGTGTTTCCTTGGCAAATCTACTGTTGTGAACCTGGCTGTATTTTGGTGTTTCCTTGGCAAATCTACTGTTGTGAACCTGACTGTATTTCTATCTTTACCTTGACAAATCTACTGTTGTGAACCTGACTGTATTTTGGTGTTTCCTTGGCAAATCTACTGTTGTGAACCTGGCCATTTCTTTGTGGCTCCTTGGCAAATCTATTGTTGGGAACCTGGTTGTATTTTGGTGTTTCCTCGGCAAATCTACTGTTGTGAACCTGGTTGTATTTTGGTGTTTCCTTGGCAAATCTACTGTTGTGAACCTGGCTGTATTTTGGTGTTTCCTTGGCAAATCTACTGTTGTGAACCTGGCTGTATTTTGGTGTTTCCTTGACATATCTACTGTTGTGTACCTGGCTGTATTTTGTTGTTTCCTTGACATATCTACTGTTGTGAACCTGGCTGTATTTTGGTGTTTCCTTGACATATCTACTGTTGTGAACCTGGCTGTATTTTGGTGTTTCCTTGACATATCTACTGTTGTGAACCTGGCTGTATTTCTATTTTTTACCTTGACAAATCTACTGTTGTGTACCAGGGAGTCTCTCTATGTCTCTATGGAAGTTTCTTGTGTCCTTGACAAAGCAAATATCTTATGCTTGACTGTCTCTTTTTGTTTCAATGGCAAATTATATGTGACCGAGTTTACCTCTATGTCTCCTTGGCAAATCTATTACTGTATAGGCAATCTGTTTTGTTCTCCTTTGCAAGTCAACTTTTGTCCACCTGGCTGTCTGTTTGTGTCTTCTTGCTGAAAATACCATAATCAGTTGCTTCTTTCTATAGTAGAGAGCCTCTGTTAGATAACAGAGTTTTAGGGTTTATGGTGTTTACTAAGTTTTCTTTTTTCCAAAAATAGACCATGGAGTGCCCAATTAGATCTATTTAGCTGTGTCCAGATTTTACTGTAATAAAGTCAGAATACAGATTTCTGAGGCAAAAAGAAGATAATCTGTCCATGATTTTAACTTAAGTGTTCTATTGATGAGTTAATGTGTTTATGAGGAAAAAAAATATTGTATATATGGTGTCTCAGTATTGATTTTGGATAAAGTAATAATCATATTGCTGTGTGTTGTAGGGAAGAGCTGAGTAAATTCATGGAGAGTATAGGAGCCACTAACGCAGCCATGGCGCTGACAACTAATTTATACAAACCGTTCACACGCCTCGACAAATACCCAAGCCTACTCAAGGAACTGGAACGCCATGTGGAGGTAAGCAAAGTTACAAAGTAATATAAGATAACACCACTTGGCCTGCAGTTTTGCCTGTGCAGTTTGGAGATAGATTAGAAACCAAAGCACCAGACAGTGGCCATCTTGAATTTGAGAGTTAAGATAATCATGGTTATTGTTACATTTCTATAGAAGTACTTGATTGATCTTTCTTAGATTTACTAGCTGTGCCATTTTGAAGCTGATCGGAAAAACAAAGTAGTCAACAGCTGGTGTAAAATTTGTGGTTATTTTATCATGGCTTGTTTGGAAATTCTTTAGTTCTTATTTATTGAATAAAAGCATCACATTATTTATTTGCACAAAGCAGAAATAAAATAATAAGGCAGTGAGTTTAAACAATCACAAAAAACAAAGAGACAAGCTAACTACTTAACACGTTACAAAGGTGAACACTAACATCTTCTGGGATCTCTTGTTTCTTTCAATTTTGACTTAAAAATCTTAGTTATCATGGCTGTATAAATAAAAATATTATGTTTTTTTCCACAGGAAAGTCACGTTGATCGTGGAGATACACAGAGGGCAATAGCTGTATACAGAGATATAGCTGTGAGTACAATTATCTTTTACTTACAGCTGTGAGTAAATCATCTTCTACTTACAGCTGTGAGTACAATTATCTTTTACTTACAGCTGTGAGTACAATTATCTTTTACTTACAGCTGTGAGTACAATTATCTTTTACTTACAATTATCTTTTACTTACAGCTGTGAGTACAATTATCTTTTACTTACAATTATCTTTTACTTACAGCTGTGAGTACAATTATCTTTTACTTACAGCTGTGAGTACAATTATCTTTTACTTACAATTATCTCTTTTACTTACAGCTGTGAGTACAATTATCTTTTACTTACAGCTGTGAGTACATTTATTGTTTACTTACAGCCGTGAGTACAATTATCTTTTACTTACAGCCGTGAGTACAATTATCTTTACTTACAGCTGTGAGTACAGTCATCTTTTACTTACAGCTGTGAGTACAATCATCTTTTACTTACAGCCGTGAGTACAATTATCTTTTTCTTACAGCCGTGAGTACAATTATCTTTTACTTACAGCCGTGAGTACAATCATCTTTTACTTACAGCTGTGAGTACAATTATCTTTTTCTTACAGCCGTGAGTACAATTATCTTTTACTTACAGCCGTGAGTACAGTCATCTTTTACTTACAGCTGTGAGTACAATTATCTTTTACTTACAGCTGTGAGTACAATTATCTTTTACTTACAGCTGTGAGTACAATTATCTTTTACTTACAGCCGTGAGTACAATTATCTTTACTTACAGCTGTGAGTACAATTATCTTTACTTACAGCTGTGAGTACAATTATCTTTTTCTTACAGCTGTGAGTACAATTATCTTTTACTTACAGCCGTGAGTACAATTATCTTTTACTTACAGCCGTGAGTACAATTATCTTTTACTTACAGCCGTGAGTACAATTATCTTTTACTTACAGCTGTGAGTACAATTATCTTTTACTTACAGCTGTGAGTACAATTATCTTTTACTTACAGCTGTGAGTACAATTATCTTTTACTTACAGCTGTGAGTACAATTATCTTTTACTTACAGCTGTGAGTACATTTATTGTTTACTTACAGCTGTGAGTACAATTATCTTTTACTTACAGCTGTGAGTACAATTATCTTTTACTTACAGCTGTGAGTACAATTATCTTTTACTTACAGCCGTGAGTACATTTATTGTTTACTTACAGCCGTGAGTACAATTATCTTTTTCTTACAGCCGTGAGTACAATTATCTTTTACTTACAGCCGTGAGTACAATTATCTTTTACTTACAGCCGTGAGTACAATTATCTTTTACTTACAGCCGTGAGTACATTTATTGTTTACTTACAGCTGTGAGTACAATTATCTTTTACTTACAGCTGTGAGTACAATTATCTTTTACTTACAGCTGTGAGTACAATTATCTTTACTTACAGCCGTGAGTACAATTATCTTTTACTTACAGCTGTGAGTACAATTATCTTTTACTTACAGCTGTGAGTACAATTATCTTTACTTACAGCTGTGAGTACAATTATCTTTACTTACAGCTGTGAGTACAATTATCTTTTACTTACAGCTGTGAGTACAATTATCTTTACTTACAGCTGTGAGTACAATTATCTTTTACTTACAGCTGTGAGTACAATTATCTTTTACTTACAGCTGTGAGTACAATTATCTTTTACTTACAGCCGTGAGTACAATTATCTTTTACTTACAGCTGTGAGTACAATTATCTTTTACTTACAGCTGTGAGTACATTTATTGTTTACTTACAGCCGTGAGTACAATTATCTTTTACTTACAGCTGTGAGTACAATTATCTTTTACTTACAGCTGTGAGTACAATTATCTTTTACTTACAGCTGTGAGTACATTTATTGTTTACTTACAGCTGTGAGTACAATTATCTTTTACTTACAGCTGTGAGTACAATTATCTTTTACTTACAGCTGTGAGTACAATTATCTTTTACTTACAGCTGTGAGTACAATTATCTTTTACTTACAGCTGTGAGTACAATTATCTTTACTTACAGCCGTGAGTACAAGTATCTTTTATTTACTGACTTTAATGTCAGTTTACCCAGCTATCTTAGGTTAGTTGGAATCTCGAAGCTTTGTTCCAAAGTAAGCTGAATTCTGAAAGATATTGTGTCTACACTAAAGGAATGTAAAAATATCAGCCCATTGTTTCGATGTAGGATGTATTGCTATGTTAAGGGGATGTGAGGTTGTTTAGTTACAAGTTTTTTCTGTCTCTGATTCCTGTTGCAAGGTTTGCAAAACTGATGAACTAAAGGTTTTGGTTACGTTCACTGATGTGAGGGTGAGAATATTTCCAGTGTATAAAATGAAGCAATTTGTGAAATATCTCACCAATTTATGGGATTGTATGGATGAGAATATCTGCTATGTATTGTATCTCTGCATTGTATGTAAAGATGAAGTAATGCACGCCTGTCTATGGCCAGTAAAGCTACATTAAGTATTTCAGATTTACTGCAATGACTTCTAAGTTTGTCAGGTTCTCTTTATTGACATGATACAGGATAAAGTTATTATATACATTGGTTTGAACAAAAGAAATCATACCAAATTTATTGGGTTTTTAATGTACAACATATATATTTTTGATAGATTATTACCATTTAAGTCACTGCTCTCTAAAACAGACATCTTTCATAATAAAAGTAAGTGATTATAAGTTGTTCACAAGCTATGGCACCTTTTGGTGACAAGATTGGTAACCTGTGTCTGAAATCAAAGATCAGAACTTGATGAGGCATAACATTAAGTTGAAAGTAGCTTTTCTTAGGACTAGAAGTATTGTAAAAATACAGAATTGTAAACCGTTGTAATTATGAGGTGGTAATGCTGGTGTATCAAGATAAGAAGATCATTGCCGATCTCTGATATATCATATATAGGTACAGACATCTATCCTCTGTCAGACCTGTGTGAGATATACAGACACAGATACACAATGGCTATCCTCTGTCAGACCTGTGTGAGATATACAGACACAGATACACAATGGCTATCCTCTGTCAGACCTGTGTGAGATATACAGACACAGATACACAATGGCTATCCTCTGTCAGACCTGTGTGAGATATACAGACACAGATACACAATGACTATCTGTCAGACCTGTGTGAGATATACAGACACAGATACACAATGGCTATCCTCTGTCAGACCTGTGTGAGATATACAGACACAGATACACAATGGCTATCTGTCAGACCTGTGTGAGATATACAGACACAGATACACAATGGCTATCCTCTGTCAGACCTGTGTGAGATATACAGACACAGATACACAATGACTATCTGTCAGACCTGTGTGAGATATACAGACACAGATACACAATGGCTATCCTCTGTCAGACCTGTGTGAGATATACAGACACAGATACACAATGGCTATCTGTCAGACCTGTGTGAGATATACAGACACAGATACACAATGGCTATCCTCTGTCAGACCTGTGTGAGATATACAGACACAGATACACAATGGCTATCCTCTGTCAGACCTGTGTGAGATATACAGACACAGATACACAATGGCTATCCTCTGTCAGACCTGTGTGAGATATACAGACACAGATACACAATGGCTATCCTCTGTCAGACCTGTGTGAGATATACAGACACAGATACACAATGGCTATCCTCTGTCAGACCTGTGTGAGATATACAGACACAGATACACAATGGCTATCTGTCAGACCTGTGTGAGATATACAGACACAGATACACAATGGCTATCCTCTGTCAGACCTGTGTGAGATATACAGACACAGATACACAATGGCTATCCTCTGTCAGACCTGTGTGAGATATACAGACACAGATACACAATGGCTATCCTCTGTCAGACCTGTGTGAGATATACAGACACAGATACACAATGGCTATCCTCTGTCAGACCTGTGTGAGATATACAGAAACAGATACACAATGGCTATCTGTCAGACCTGTGTGAGATATACAGACACAGATACACAATGGCTATCCTCTGTCAGACCTGTGTGAGATATACAAACACAGATACACAATGGCTATCCTCTGTCAGACCTGTGTGAGATATACAGACACAGATACACAATGGCTATCCTATTTATGGCAGGATTCCACTCATAGCAGTCACTCTTGGATTGTTCCGACTTCCAGTAAGCTCTGATAGCTCTGTGATAGTCTCCGAGAGTCTGGTAACATAATCCCAGTAGAGTGTGAACTATCCAGAATTGCTCTCCTCCTTGGATATCATCGTACTGGATCTGTATCAAGTTCTGTAGTGCTTCATCACGGCCTCTGGTGTCTCCAAGCTCTTGACAGCACAGGAAGGTTAAGAACAAGGCGTAGGGCAGTGGTGGGATGATCATGAATGGTGCTCCTTCCTGCTGCTCTAGACAGAGATGAGGAAGAGAAAAGTCACTGCCATCAAACATCATCAGATTGGAGTAGAATTTCCTCAGTTTGTCTAATGCTTGTTCAGATGGATTAAATTCATGTCTATGAATTACTTCTTGCTCTGGATGTAGACTCTTGCTTGTGTTGTGTAGTAAGTTAGACACATAATATGATGCTAGCTTATTTACTTGTTTACACATCTTAAGACATTTACTGCAATTTCCTGTGAGAAAATGGAAAGTTGCCAGATTCAATAATTCTGTGCCCATTACAGCACTTGGAGTCATCCAGTGTTTACATTTTCTCAGTTTCCTGTATCTGGTCTTGTTGTTAGGGGCATCTGCAGTTCCAGAATACACCTTTGATGCTGCGAGTCTTTGTAGGGACATTGTAGCATAGTGATATGTATAGACTTCATCAAAGTCTGACTGTGATGTGGACAGTAGCTGAAATGCCTTCTTAATGGTCCTCAGTGTCGTAGTCAATACAACGGCTGATCGTAAAAAGTAAATACTAGTTGTGTCCCTGTGGAGGGCAACTTCCTGTGCTGTTTCAGGACATACAAGTTTGGCTTGTGTTGAAGTATTACACAGTGCTTTCCATATTGAAGGAATGTAGTAGTCTCCTACTGACAGACACTTCCATTTCATCTTACTGTATGTCTTCAAAACATTCAACAGTATTTGTTGATGCTGTCCATGTACTTTTCTTTTGAACAAATTGTTTGTTTGGACAAAGTAATGTGGACAGAATCCTGCCTTGACCCAAGTGATCAGAATGTTGAAACAAAACCAAAAACAATCAAATAAGTTTTTGTCTTGCCAAAACATTTGACTGGTATTCTCTATTGCATGAAAAAGAGTTGTTTTCAAGAAATAGGAACACAGGATGTCGTCATCTCCAATGTTTTCTTTCAATGTGCTTTTTATTTGTTTTAAGAAATATTTCAGCAATGTGTAGACTTTGAGTTGGAGGTAGGTAAAGGAGTGAATTAGAAGTTTCTCTGCCACTGCAAACGAGATTCTCCATTGTAGTAACGTACTTGGAGAACATTTGTCACCAACTGGAACAAGATGGCATCCGCTCTGTACAATCTTGTCTATCAAAGTTTGACATGGCCATCCGTGTACACGTTGGCGTGTTTCCCATTCTTTAGCCTCCTTTGGCCAAGTAGTACATTGAAAACAAGGAACGCTGTCGGAGTCGTGTGAAGTTGATGTTGTTGAACAGCTTGGCCCATTAGATTCATGAATCCATCCAGTATTGTCAGTAAGGTAACTGACATATTGCTCCCTATATAAATCACTGGAAATGAAGAAAGTTGTCCCAACCGTAACAAGTGAGCAGAATATAATGTGGTCACAGTTCAGCCCCAACTGACCCAGCTGTAATCTGACAAAGCCAGGGCGACAGTCTGCCTCTCTAATGAACAGGATGGTTTTGTGTTCCATGTTTGAAGGAATACATTGATCGAGGTGCATAACTACAACATCCCTGGAGACTATCATCTCATCCACATCTGAACCCATCATACAAAGTCCCTCAGCTAGACTTCCACCTTGAATACCATATATGGAGTTCTTGTCAGAATTGTTTAGACACTCGTATAAATCTAACGCCCTTCTTACAATTTCCACCTCCTCCTTTCTGCCTGTGTAGGTCCTCTCTAGGTATGTTGACAAGAGCATGGACATCTGCTCGCTCTTCATGGTGTCCTTCATCATTAGAATTCAGCCTTCAATTTTCCAAGGAGTCCCACAAACTTTGAATTCAGCCTGTAAAGAAAACAATTTTGAGAATTTGATATTTTGTTGTGAAGTTCTTTTCTAGCCCACCCTCATCGTCTGTGGTCTGTTGTCTGTGCGTGCGTTGTCCATCTGTATATAAATATTATCACTATTTCTTGAGAAGTGCCTTTTGAATCTTTCTTAAATTTCGTATGTAGGTTTCCTTTGGTCCCTAGTTGTACCTTTTTGATTTTGGGTCTGGTCAGAAAAACAAAATAGTCAAAAGGCGGCCATCATGGATTTTGACTTTGAAAGTTTGTTATTGCTATTTTATGAGAACTACTGGATAGATCTTTCTTAGATTTTTATATGTAGGTTCCCCTTGGTCCCTAGTTGTGCCTATTTGATTTTGGGACTGATCAGAAAAACAAAATGGCCGACAGGCAGCCATTTTATATTTCTCCTATCAAAGATTGTTATTGCTATTTCTTAAGAAGTACAGAATGGATATCTCTCATATTCCATATGTAGGTTCCCTTTGTTCTCTCCTTGTGCCAGTTTGATTTTAGGACTGATCAGAAGAAAGAAAACGGCATCAAGGCAATCATTGTGAATTTGGCAGGTAAAGATTATTATGACTATTTCTGCAAATGTCTTATAATTAAGAGCAAAAACAGAGAGGAGAAGAGAAAAGAAGGGAAAAGATCCGCTTTTCAAAGAGCAAATTAAGATCAAACAGTGGTGGGCGCCAAGATCCCTCTGGGATCTCTTGTTAAGGTATCCCACCAAACTCATGCACAGGCCAGCTCCCAGGTTCTAAATGACTACGTAGTACAGTAAAGTTTCTCTTTTTTGGGTTGGCCATCAGAATATAGAGTGGATAATCTTGTGCAGTCTCCTTTTGCAGTTAGATGCAAAGCTATCATATCACATCGCTTTATCAGGTTTTCACAACAGTTATCTGTTCAGTCTACAGTGTCCACAGCTGAAGCTGATAAACTTGTTCGGTTTTTTTAAGTACTGTTAATTTGATGTATTCTGCACTAAATGTTACCACTGTGATAAAACTCTCCATGGCGACTTGTGAGAATGGAAAAGTTTGAATCTTTTTCTTAAATTCTAGAATTTGCAATATTTAGAAGTTTGTTTGTGTGAGTGCTAGCAAAACAGTATTTCCCCATTTTAAAAAAGAACATCTCATTGTTGTTCCACATCATCCAGAGAAACAAAATGGCAAATCTTGTGCCAAGTTTGGTATATGTGTGATGCAGGCCCTATGTACCTGTTTTAATTGTACAGTGTAAGTAATATAAGTGAAATCCCAAATCATCAGCAGAGATATACAACAGCACTAGAGCAGCATAATATGGCCTAATTGTTATAATGGTTTGACATACAGACCAGAATTACATAATCATCACATGGATATTTTTTTTGGTTGGGTCTTTGTCAAAATCTGAAATGTAAATGATTATGCAAGTTTAGGGAATGAAAGACTATTTCATCAAGAACCTGAATGTAGCTGCTTTCTGATGTAAAACATGTAAACGGTTTTTGATACTTAGTTACTTACAATGGCGCTATTCTGTTTCTTAAAGATCCATCTAGTCAAGGATTACTCCGGCCAACACGTATTTATAATTTTACAGTCATGTGTTTATAGCAACACTGTTTGTTGTAGAGCTGGTGTTCAGCAGGGTGTGCATTACATATATATACACAGCAGTCATTGCAGTATATAATACATACGTATGTGCATAGGTATACAGGTACAAGGTTAAAGTTACAGTTCAGATAAAACTTCTCAGCTACACAATCTCACACAATAATATTTAGTGGTACTGTTATAGAAGTCTGTTCTAGCAGTCTCACACTAATATTTAGTGGTACTGTTATAGAAGTCTGTTCTAGCAGTCACACACTAATATTTAGTGGTACTGTTACAGAAGTCTATTCTAGCAGTCACACACTAATATTTAGTGGTACTGTTACAGAAGTCTATTCTAGCAGTCACACACTAATATTTAGTGGTACTGTTATAGAAGTCTGTTCTAGCAGTCACACACTAATATTTAGTGGTACTGTTATAGAAGTCTGTTCTAGCAGTCTCACACTAATATTTAGTGGTACTGTTATAGAAGTCTGTACTAGCAGTCACACACTAATATTTAGTGGTACTGTTATAGAAGTCTGTACTAGCAGTCTCACAATAATATTTAGTGGTACTGTTATAGAAGTCTGTACTAGCAGTCTCACACTAATATTTAGTGGTACTGTTATAGAAGTCTGTTCTAGCAGTCTCACACTAATATTTAGTGGTACTGTTATAGAAGTCTGTACTAGCAGTCTCACACTAATATTTAGTGGTACTGTTATAGAAGTCTGTACTAGCAGTCTCACAATAATATTTAGTGGTACTGTTATAGAAGTCTCTGTCACTAGGTCGATTAGTGAATACCAGATGATGGAGGTAGAATCAACAACAGTGGTTGAAATTCAACACACGTAATTCACAATTTATTATATATATATGTACAGGATATACACATCGGTAACATAAGATAAAAGCCCACACAGTATTAATATTACCACTTGTTATTGTACTATGACCAAAGGTTATTTTGTTCTCTGATTACCACACAGCACCAACACACACTCCTGATTAGAATAAAGTACACTTACTACTATTTCATAATACCAGCATTTACAATTCACAGAATGTAAACAATGTCCCAAATGTGTAAGGTTCTAGAATCACACTAACTTAATTAATAGTTGGTTTCCTCCAAGGTTCCCTCTGGGGTGATACAGTTCTGATTACTATAAAGTAGATATAGATGATGTTCTGTTCAGTATAGAACACAATACTTAAGTGCGCTCATATCAACTTATCAGATGACGGTGATGTAGACTAGATTCATACTGTCTCTGAAGTCCTAGGGGTTTCTCAGGAGTCGTTGAAAGGGTCCAAGCCATTCCTCATCCCTGTTGTGGCGTGACTGTGACGTCTTTATGAAGCGTCCCAAGCCATGACAAAGAATGCTTTAAGGAATCGACCTGGGTGTTGCCACTATAGTGTCGTCCCAACCCCACACTGGCTAAAGGACCTCAACTGCATGGTCCCCATTGCTAGAACTCTGGGAAGTTCTCTTAACTGATTCCTACTCCAAAGCAAGCAGTTTATACACGCAGGCTATGTCAGGTACTACACCATCACCTTGCTGTGTGTGTATCTGGGAATGCAGTAATGAGTATGTGAAATTCTGATTGGCTCCTGTCCCAGGTACCTGGCTCCTACTGTCCCAGGTGATGACCTGGCTCCTACTGTCCCAGGTACCGACCTGGCTCCTACTGTCCCAGGTGATGACCTGGCTCCTACTGTCCCAGGTGATGACCTGTCTCCTACTGTCCCAGGTACCTGGCTCCTACTGTCACAGGTGATGACCTGGCTCCTAATGTCCCAGGTACCTGGCTCCTACTGTCACAGGTGATGACCTGGCTCCTACTGTCCCAGGTACCTGGCTCCTACTGTCCCAGGTGATGACCTGGCTCCTACTGTCCCTATTACCTGGCTCCTACTGTCCCAGGTGATGACCTGGCTCCTACTGTCCCAGGTGATGACCTGTCTCCTACTATCCCAGGTGAAGACCCGACATAATTCACCTTTTTACACTATTACAATATGCAACATACGTCTAAGACTTATCTAAGTCTGGTACTAGTGTACCGTACCGTATTTACCCGCATAAGCGCACTGCCTACAAAGATAAAAAAAAACCAATAACTATCTTTACATTGTTATTACCAAGGAGAAAATCTGACACTACTTGTGAAATCTCCCCTCCTTCATAAGAATGAGGAACCTGCTGTGTTCGTCGTTTATATTTGCTGGTATCCCTGCAACTGGCTGCAGTGGACAAAAGTTCATAGTAATCATTCCTCCATATGACTGAGGTAGTAAGCCCCTACATTGTCTCTTCCTGGGATTGCTTTCATGGTCATATGATAGGACTGTAGTAGAAGAGCCCAACGCACAATCCAACTGTTGGCTACAATTTTCTTGGTCAGACTGGTGAGAGGTTGAAGATCTGTCTCCTCATCAAAGTCTCTACCTAACAAGTATTGTCTGTTCTATCAATCTCACACTAATATTTAGTGTTGCTGTTATAGAAGTCTGTACTAGCAGTCTCACACTAATATTTAGTGGTACTGTTATAGAAGTCTGTACTAGCAGTCTCACAATAATATTTAGTGGTACTGTTATAGAAGTCTGTACACTAATATTTAGTGTTGCTGTTATAGAAGTCTAGCAGTCTCACACTAATATTTAGTGGTACTGTTATAGAAGAGACACTAATATTTAGTGGTACTGTTAGAGAAGTCTGTTCTAGCAGTCTCACACTAATATTTAGTGGTACTGTTATAGAAGTCTGTACTAGCAGTCTCACACTAATATTTAGTGTTGCTGTTATAGAAGTCTGTACTAGCAGTCTCACACTAATATTTAGTGGTACTGTTATATCTGTAGCAGTCTCACACTAATATTTAGTGGTACTGTTATAGAAGTCTGTACTAGCAGTCTCACACTAATATTTAGTGGTACTGTTATAGAAGTCTGTAGCAGTCTCACACTAATATTTAGCAGTCTCACACTAATATTTAGTGGTACTGTTATAGAAGTCTGTACTAGCAGTCTCACACTAATATTAAGTGGTACTGTTATAGAAGTCTGTTCTAGCAGTCTCACACTAATATTTAGTGGTACTGTTATAGAAGTCTGTACTAGCAGTCTCACACTAATATTTAGTGGTACTGTTATAGAAGTCTGTACTAGCAGTCTCACACTAATATTTAGTGGTACTGTTATAGAAGTCTGTACTAGCAGTCTCACACTAATATTTAGTGGTACTGTTATAGAAGTCTCTACTATATTGTAGACCAAACGGCAGAAAACTACACCAGAAAGCATTACAAGTTACAAATATTTAGCTGTAAAGTTGGATAACAAGGAAAACTTTCGAACTCATATGCTAAATTGCATAAATACATTTTTTATAAAGTCAGTTTGCTACTTGGTAATTCTTCAGATATATAGATGAATCAATATTTAAACATTTGAACAAGACATCAGTAAGACCACTTTTGGAGTAGGCAGCAAGTGCATTGAACTTAAAGGACTAGCAACTGATTGAGAAGTTCAGTGAAGAGTGACCAAATTTGTACCAGGAATGGAAGAACTTTCCTAACGAATATTATAATTCATAACATGAAAGTGTTGCTGGATGAGAGTGGAAAGTTTTTTGAGATAATTAACAATTTATTTGATAAAAGATATGCGTCCAGTCTATTAACCTGTGATAGAACTGGCGTAACACAAGGACACAATTATAGAATGTACAAAAACTGATGTAACACAGAGTTACGGAGAAACTTATTCACATTCAGAGTGGTTGATGTGTGGAATAACCTACCAATGCTCAAATGATCAGCAAGTTTGAAAGTTTATTTGAGTAACATTTTGCGATACAATCTACGATTTATAAAACAAAATGATGTTTGATTTATTTGTTATGTTGATATTGACACTGAACTGTTTGTTATTTATTTGTTATGTTGATATTGACACTGAACTGTTTGTTATTTATTTGTTATGTTGATATTGACACTGAACTGTTTGTTATTTATTTGTTATGTTGATATTGACACTGAACTGTTTGTTATTTATTTGTTGATTAAGAGGTTTTAAGCCTTCATCCATTGTTATGCAATTGAATCCAATTATTCAATTAGAATGAAATACCATGAATATAGTTTGGGAAATTTAAACTCATTAACAGAAAAATTGAAAAAAAGCCCATCAATTTTTTCAATTTTTGTGTCGCCTGTAGAGGTAGCGGACACTAAGGAATCACTTTGTCCAACGTCACGCGTTGGCGGAGTCCGTGGGAAAGTTTTCCGGACTTTTTTCGTTTATGCTTTGAGTTATCAAAGCGATTTTTAGTATGTGGCTTCTTGTTGGAAGGGTACAGATTAAGTTTGATTTCCGGCTGTCTGTGACCCTTCAGAGTTATGCCCCTTTGAACTTAGAAAATTCTTTGGGAATATAGTTTTCTGGACTTTCTTTGATTATGCTTTGAGTCATAGAAATGAAATTTCGTATTACAACTTTATGGTTGAATGTTGCAAATCCAGTTTGATTTCTGGGTGACTGTGAGACAACAGTTCCGAGGAACTCTTGTTCTATATTAAGTTTTATAGTGTATAGAAGTAATCAGTTTGATTTCTTTTCGGAATAACATTATTAGATTTACATTTATTGCATTGTATAAATGATGAAGGCATGAATATATTCCCAAATAATTAATATGTACAACATATCTGGAACAGCCTAACACTTAAATGTTTGCTTCTTAAAATGGTTTCACATACTAAGAGAAGCATCATAACGACACTGATTTTTCAAAAACAACATTTTTCTCTGGTTGGGGTTTATGCCTTAACTTCAAGTGGATATGGAAATCTTATTACACAAAATAGAGGACAGAAATTATTTTTCTTGAAGAAGATATTACCTGCATCATAGTTTTAAAATATGTGGACTATTTGGCTTCAAAGTATTGAACATACCAATGGGTATCCAAAAAATGTTTCTAGCTTAGTAGCAGATATCCTGCAAGCACAGTAGGTGTCTTCCATTTACTTTGCAGTATTCTTCTGGTACACTTAATGCTGACTATATAAATGATATTTTCAGTTCTCTTTGTAAAGGGTGTTTTCCCTCTACTGTGTAAAACAAGTTTCTTGTGCTTTTTTAGAGGGTGTCTTCTGCTTGCTGTACAGAGAGTATTGTCAGTGTTTTCTTGTGGAAGGTGTCTTGCTCACTGTGCAGAGAGTATTGTCAGTATTTTCTTGTGGAAGGTGTCTTGCTCACTGTGCAGAGAGTATTGTCAGTATTTTCTCGTGGAAGGTGTCTTGCTCACTGTGCAGAGAGTATTGTCAGTGTTTTCTTGTGGAAGGTGTCTTGCTCACTGTGCAGAGAGTATTGTCAGTGTTTTCTTGTGGAAGGTGTCTTGCTCACTGTGCAGAGAGTATTGTCAGTGTTTTCTTGTGGAAGGTGTCTTGCTCACTGTGCAGTGCAAACATTTAGTTCTCTTTGTATTTAGTGTCTCTGGTTTGCTTCATGTAATTGTCATTTGGTTTTTGGTAGATCAGATTTCCGGCTTGCTTTGTACAGATGAGACCTAGAGCTCAGTTTGGTCTATTTTCATTGTCACAGTAACTTACTTAATCAAGATAAATTTCTTTTATTGATGGCTTCTCAGGCATGTGACAATTTCCTGTTTAAAACTACTTCTGAGTCAGAACAAACATCCTGATGCCATTTTGTTTTGGTGTCCTGTTAGCATCATGTGAATTCCTGATTTCCATTGAATGAACCGCCCTGTTTTAAAATCAGGTTTCGGGATGATGTTTCACAAAGGAAATATTTGGTGGGAAAGGAAATAGTTCTACTGAAGTAAATAGGAAGGATATTCTAGTCTGAAGTAAATTCAATTATCAACAAATCTTTCTCTTCTGTGGTGAATTAAGAAAGAGCTTTTGATAATCTATTAGAAGTAAATTTGAATAGATAGGTTGGTATGGTTAATGCAACCCAAAGTGGTTAGAACTGCTTAGTATTCTAAAAGAACTTTGTCAAAATGGTTTTAAAAAATTGTTGACAATTTCTCAAACAAACTTGCATCATCTGTAAGTTTGCTTTTTACAAGATATGTAAGGCAATTTGATCAGCTTCTCGGTGAAACTGATCTCTGATGAAGTGTCAGTAACAGATTTGCCTGAACAAAAACAAAGCTGAAGAGGTACTATAGATTAAGGATGTAGCCCACTCCAATTACAGATGAGAAGATATATCTTTGAAATTACATTGTCCTTCAATATCAGTTTAGGGGCATTACAATATATTTCTGTCTTGGAATCAGAGACACAAGGAAGTCATATGAAACACTGTAGTAGTCAGGAAATTATTTTTTTTACAGGAAACTTTCAGTTAGAAATGAAACAAAGTATTTATACTGAGTGTATATGTGTATATGTATGATATAGAATTCCTGGTTTAATTTTTATTTAGTACAGTCCAGGTCGCTGCAAACCTGATTAATGACATATCCAGTTAGTCTAACTCCTCAAATATGAAACAACTATTGCATTTGTGTATATCTGTTAATCCAATATATCTCTGTATATCTGGTAGTTCAGTAACTATCTCTGTATATCTGGTAGTTCTGTAACTATCTCTGTATATCTGGTAGTTCAGTAACTATCTCTGTATATCTGGTAGTTCTGTAACTATCTCTGTGTATCTGGTAGTTCAGTAACTATCTCTGTATATCTGGTAGTTCTGTAACTATCTCTGTGTATCTGGTAGTTCTGTAACTATCTCTGTGTATCTGGTAGTTCAGTAACTATCTCTGTATATCTGGTAGTTCTGTAACTATCTCTGTGTATCTGGTAGTTCTGTAACTATATCTGTGTATCTGGTAGTTCTGTAACTATCTCTGTGTATCTGGTAGTTCTGTAACTATCTCTGTGTATCTGGTAGTTCTGTAACTTTCTCTGTATATCTGGTAGTTCTGTAACTATCTCTGTATATCTGGTAGTTCTGTAACTATCTCTGTTGTATATCTGGTAGTTCTGTAACTATCTGTGTGTATCTTGTAGTTCAGTAACTATCTCTGTATATCTGGTAGTTCTGTAACTATCTCTGTATATCTGGTAGTTCTGTAACTATCTCTGTATATCTGGTAGTTCTGTAACTATCTCTGTGTATCTGGTAGTTCTGTAACTATCTCTGTTGTATCTGGTAGTTCTGTAACTATCTCTGTATATCTGGTAGTTCTGTAACTATCTCTGTATATCTGGTAGTTCTGTAACTATCTCTGTATATCTGGTAGTTCAGTAACTATCTCTGTATATCTGGTAGTTCTGTAACTATCTCTGTATATCTGGTAGTTCTGTAACTATCTCTGTTGTATCTGGTAGTTCTGTAACAATCTCTGTATATCTGGTAGTTCTGTAACTATCTCTGTGTATCTGGTAGTTCTGTAACTATCTCTGTGTATCTGGTAGTTCTGTAACTATCTCTGTATATCTGGTAGTTCTGTAACTATCTCTGTATATCTGGTAGTTCTGTAACTATCTCTGTTGTATCTGGTAGTTCTGTAACTATCTCTGTTGTATCTGGTAGTTCTGTAACTATCTCTGTTGTATCTGGTAGTTCTGTAACTATCTCTGTATATCTGGTAGTTCTGTAACTATCTCTGTATATCTGGTAGTTCTGTAACTATCTCTGTTGTATCTGGTAGTTCTGTAACTATCTCTGTATATCTGGTAGTTCTGTAACTATCTCTGTATATCTGGTAGTTCTGTAACTATCTCTGTGTATCTGGTAGTTCTGTAACTATCTCTGTATATCTGGTAGTTCTGTAACTATCTCTGTATATCTGGTAGTTCTGTAACTATCTCTGTTGTATCTGGTAGTTCTGTAACTATCTCTGTATATCTGGTAGTTCTGTAACTATCTCTGTATATCTGGTAGTTCTGTAACTATCTCTGTGTATCTGGTAGTGTTGTAACTATCTCTGTATATCTGGTAGTTCTGTAACTATCTCTGTGTATCTGGTAGTTCTGTAACTATCTCTGTGTATCTGGTAGTTCTGTAACTATCTCTGTGTATCTGGTAGTTCTGTAACTATCTCTGTGTATCTGGTAGTTCTGTAACTATCTCTGTGTATCTGGTAGTTCTGTAACTATCTCTGTATATCTGGTAGTTCTGTAACTATCTCTGTATATCTGGTAGTTCTGTAACTATCTCTGTGTATCTGGTAGTTCTGTAACTATCTCTGTATATCTGGTAGTTCTGTAACTATCTCTGTATATCTGGTAGTTCTGTAACTATCTCTGTATATTTGGTAGTTCTGTAACTATCTCTGTATATCTGGTAGTTCTGTAACTATCTCTGTATATCTGGTAGTTCTGTAACTATCTCTGTTGTATCTGGTAGTTCTGTAACAATCTCTGTATGTCTATACATACATCTGTGTATATATGTTAGTTCAGTGTATATACCTGATAGATTAGAATATTTGTTCTGATTGAACTAACTAAATTTTGTTTTGTTTTCCAGAATGCATGCATGGATGTAAGGAAGTTAAAGGAAATGGAGTACGAAATACTAACAAGTGCAATAAAAGGCTGGGAGGGGGAGGTAAGGTTCATTTCTTATACCTGGTTATCTCCCTTGTTGGGTTTGACAACTTTTAAGTTTGTGTAACATTCTTGTCACAATATTGAAAGGATCTCTGTGGCTCTATGAGCTGTCCCTTGCTTCTCAAATCATCTGCACCATTCATCTTCCCTTCCTTGGTAACTTGCAATTTTAAATTAATTGATATATAGAGATTAATCTGGTAATTGACTTGTAGGTTTATGCTAACTTTATAATTGACTTGTGGGCTTATGTTAACCTTATAATTGACTTGTAGGCTTATGTTAACTTTATAATTGACTTGTGGGCATATGTTAGCCTTATAATTGACTTGTGGGCATATGTTAACCTTATAATTGACTTGTAGGTTTATGTTAACCTTATAATTGACTTGTAGGCTTATGTTAACCTTATAATTGACTTGTGGGCTTATGTTAGCCTTATAATTGACTTGTGGGCTTATGTTAACCTTATAATTGACTTGTAGGTTTATGTTAACCTTATAATTGACTTGTAGGTTTATGTTAACCTTATAATTGACTTGTGGGCTTATGTTAACCTTATAATTGACTTGTGGGCTTATGTTAACCTTATAATTGACTTGTAGGTTTATGTTAACCTTATAATTGACTTGTAGGTTTATGTTAACCTTATAATTGACTTGTAGGTTTATGTTAACCTTATAATTGACTTGTAGGTTTATGTTAACCTTATAATTGACTTGTAGGCTTATGTTAACCTTATAATTGACTTGTAGGTTTATGTTAACCTTATAATTGACTTGTGGGCTTATGTTAACCTTATAATTGACTTGTAGGTTTATGTTAACCTTATAATTGACTTGTAGGTTTATGTTAACCTTATAATTGACTTGTAGGCTTATGTTAACCTTATAATTGACTTGTAGGTTTATGTTAACCTTATAATTGACTTGTAGGTTTATGTTAACCTTATAATTGACTTGTAGGCTTATGTTAACCTTATAATTGACTTGTGGGCTTATGTTAGCCTTATAATTGACTTGTGGGCTTACGTTAACTATATAATTGACTTGTGGGCTTATGTTAGCCTTATAATTGACTTGTGGGCTTACGTTAACTTTATAATTGACTTGTGGGTTTATGTTAACCTTATAATTGACTTGTGGGCTTATGTTAACATCATGATTGACTTGTGGGCTTATGTTAACCTTATACTTGACTTGTGGGCTTATGTTAACCTTATAATTGACTTGTGGGCTTATGTGAACCTTACAATTGACTTGTAGGCTTACTTAAACAACACACCTGTTGGTGTTACACTTGCATGCTTGTCTTGATACCTTTTGGTTTTACTTTGGTCATTCATATGCTTTCCCGAACTGTCCTGGTTGTCTTGGGCATGAGAAAATACCTGATATTAAAATCTTATTATGGCACTAAAATATAGTGACAAATGACACTGCATGGGTATATTGTTTGCATGTTTGGTGCTCTTAGGAACATGTGTACATACCTTAGGTACATGTTCCATATAGTTACCACCTCAGGATGGTAGACACAGCAATTTTTGTTCACAATATTTGATATACACTGTGTTTTGATTGGTAAGGAAGATAAAGGTAATTCATGGTGGTCAAACAAGCTTTTGTCAACTTGTGTTGTAGGTTTTGAAAGTTAAGTGGATAGAAAATCACTTTATTATTTATGCATGGTTCCTAACCATCAGATTTTTAATTAAATAAACAGAATGACAAAGTGAAAAAAATAATAAATTTGGAATTATTATACATTTTATGTTAAAATTTGTACTTACTTTAGTGAAAGTCGTATCTACACAGCTAAAATAAATGTTTGTGAATTTATTGATGTCTAAGATAGTAACCCCGTGTAATCAGCTGGAAACACCCTTATAATTTCTAATTGGGAGACGACGCCCACATTATCTGTTGAGTGACAAGATTCCAGTAATTAGGATTTATCAATGTCATTAAAGAAACCATAAGATAAAATATATGAAAATATTCAGGAATGAATAGATTTGAGTTGTTATTCCTTATGATGGCTTTATTTTACCATGGAATCAAAACCATTGATGTATAAAACATAATTAGGACTATGAATATTTCATCTGGATTTTACGCAATTTTTGCCAATTTAAGAATTGTGGCGCATTTTTTTTGCAAAAAATAGATACAAGAGAAAAAAATGTCAAATAGTTTGTGTATTAATGATGTTCATTTCCAAGAAAAGAAAAAGAATTGTTCAAAATATTACTTAACTTCTTAAACTTATGAAAAAGATAATTCCTAAAGAGTCATTAGAAGTTGTTGAAAGCTACCTGTCTGACCATGGTTATTTAAGCTACCTGTCTGACAATGGTTATTTAAACTACCTGTCTGACCATGGTTATTTAAGCTACCTGTCTGACAATGGTTATTTAAACTACCTGTCTGACAATGGTTATTTAAACTACCTGTCTGACAATGGTTATTTAAACTACCTGTCTGACAATGGTTATTTAAGCTACCTGTCTGACAATGGTTATTTAAACTACCTGTCAGACAATGGTTATTTAAGCTACCTGTCTGACAATGGTTATTTAAACTACCTGTCTGACAATGGTTATTTAAACTACCTGTCTGACAATGGTTATTTAAACTACCTGTCTGACAATGGTTATTTAAGCTACCTGTCTGACAATGGTTATTTAAACTACCTGTCTGACAATGGTTATTTAAACTACCTGTCTGACAATGGTTATTTAAGCTACCTGTCTGACAATGGTTATTTAAACTACCTGTCTGACAATGGTTATTTAAGCTACCTGTTTGACAATGGCTATTTAAACTACCTGTCTGACAATGGTTATTTAAACTACCTGTTTGACAATGGTTATTTAAACTACCTGTCTGACAATGGTTATTTAAACTACCTGTCTGACAATGGTTATTTAAACTACCTGTCTGACAATGGTTATTTAAACTACCTGTCTGACCATGGTTATTTAAGCTACCTGTCTGACAATGGTTATTTAAACTACCTGTCTGACAATGGTTATTTAAACTACCTGTCTGACAATGGTTATTTAAACTACCTGTCTGACAATGGTTATTTAAGCTACCTGTCTGACAATGGTTATTTAAACTACCTGTCAGACAATGGTTATTTAAGCTACCTGTCTGACAATGGTTATTTAAACTTCCTGTCTGACAATGGTTATTTAAACTACCTGTCTGACAATGGTTATTTAAACTACCTGTCTGACAATGGTTATTTAAGCTACCTGTCTGACAATGGTTATTTAAACTACCTGTCTGACAATGGTTATTTAAACTACCTGTCTGACAATGGTTATTTAAGCTACCTGTCTGACAATGGTTATTTAAACTACCTGTCTGACAATGGTTATTTAAGCTACCTGTTTGACAATGGCTATTTAAACTACCTGTCTGACAATGGTTATTTAAACTACCTGTTTGACAATGGTTATTTAAACTACCTGTCTGACAATGGTTATTTAAACTACCTGTCTGACAATGGTTATTTAAGCTACCTGTCTGACAATGGTTATTTAAACTACCTGTCTGACAATGGTTATTTAAGCTACCTGTCTGACAATGGTTATTTAAACTACCTGTCTGACAATGGTTATTTAAACTACCTGTCTGACAATAGTTATTTAAACTACCTGTTTGACAATAGCTATTTAAACTACCTGTCTGACAATGGTTATTTAAACTACCTGTCTGACAATGGTTATTTAAACTACCTGTCTGACAATGGTTATTTAAGCTACCCTGTCTGACAATGGTTATTTAAACTACCTGTCTGACAATGGTTATTTAAGCTACCTGTCTGACAATGGTTATTTAAACTACCTGTTTGACAATAGCTATTTAAACTACCTGTCTGACAATGGTTATTTAAACTACCTGTCTGACAATGGTTATTTAAGCTACCTGTCTGACAATAGTTATTTAAACTACCTGTCTGACAATGGTTATTTAAACTACCTGTCTGACAATAGTTATTTAAACTACCTGTCTGACAATGGTTATTTAAACTACCTGTCTGACAATGGTTATTTAAGCTACCTGTCTGACAATAGTTATTTAAACTACCTGTCTGACAATGGTTATTTAAACTACCTGTCTGACAATGGTTATTTAAACTACCTGTCTGACAATGGTTATTTAAGCTACCTGTCTGACAATAGTTATTTAAACTACCTGTCTGACAATGGTTATTTAAACTACCTGTCTGACAATGGTTATTTAAACTACCTGTCTGACAATGGTTATTTAAACTACCTGTCTGACAATGGTTATTTAAGCTACCTGTCTGACAATAGTTATTTAAACTACCTGTCTGACAATGGTTATTTAAACTACCTGTCTGACAATGGTTATTTAAGCTACCTGTCTGACAATGGTTATTTAAGCTACCTGTCTGACAATGGTTATTTAAGCTACCTGTCTGACAATGGTTATTTAAGCTACCTGTCTGACAATGGTTATTTAAGCTACCTGTCTGACAATGGTTATTTAAACTACCTGTCTGACAATAGTTATTTAAACTACCTGTCTGACAATGGTTATTTAAACTACCTGTCTGACAATGGTTATTTAAACTACCTGTCTGACAATGGTTATTTAAGCTACCTGTCTGACAATGGTTATTTAAGCTACCTGTCTGACAATGGTTATTTAAGCTGTGGTTATTTAGGGATTTTTTTATTATACTGGTGTCCCTGGAGCAGCATGCAACTCTCTTTGTATAGCCAAAAACTATAAAGATTGCTTCCCTTAGCTTGTGTGTGATACTGCCTATCTTTGACATTGGACAGCCGGTGATAAAAAACCCATTCAATATAGGAGAGAGAAGTACTTCTATCCTGCCATGTAGGGGAGATAATCAATTCTACCCTGCCATGTAGGGGAGATAACCACTTTTGCCTTGTAATCACTAATGGCAGAGATTGAAATGGTTTTTATGTATTAACTGGTTTATAGACTATCCTTATATTATTTAATAATCTGACATTAAACTACTAGGTAGTACAAATATCATTGTAGGAATGTAGGAATAGAAATTATGTGTAAATAGATTGGAATCTAATTTCCCTGTGGAAATGATCTTGTTTCTTCGTGTAGCTCCCTTTGTGATACCTAACACAAACTTGATTGGTGACAATGTCTCGAAAAATTTATTGGCTGGAAATATCAAAGCTTGATTAGTGATAATATTACAGAATTGGATTGGTGAGAATGTCACAAAATTGGATCGATGAGAATATCACAAAATTGGATTGTGGGAATGTCACAAAATTGGATTGTGGGAATGTCACAAAATTGGATTGTGGGAATGTCACAAAATTGGATTGTGGGAATGTCACAAAATTGGATTGTGGGAATGTCACAAAATTGGATTGTGGATTGTGGGAATGTCACAAAATTGGATTAGTGGGAATGTCACAAAATTGGATTGTGGGAATGTCACAAAATTGGATTGGTGGGAATGTCACAAAATTGGATTGGTGAGAATATCACAAAATTGGATCGATGAGAATATCACAAAATTGGATTGGTGGGAATGTCACAAAATTGGATTGTGGGAATGTCACAAAATTGGATTGGTGGGAATATCACAAAATTGGATTGGTGGGAATGTCACAAAATTGGATTGGTGGGAATGTCACAAAATTGGATTGTGGGAATGTCACAAAATTGGATTGGTGGGAATGTCACAAAATTGGATTGGTGGGAATGTCACAAAATTGGATTGGTGGGAATATCACAAAATTGGATTGTGGGAATGTCACAAAATTGGATTGGTGAGAATGTCACAAAATTGGATTGGTGGGAATATCACAAAATTGGATAGATGAAATTTTTACTGGTGAGAATTTTATGATTGATACTGGGGCAGAAATTGACATTTTAGACTTTGTATTCCAGGAGATGACCAAGCTCGGAGAAGTCGTACATCTTTCACATGTCCAGGTGGAGACTCTTGCTGGAGATAAGTGTGACCGCATCTTTGTCCTTTTTCCCAGTGTCCTGGTCATGTTGTCCATGAGTCCGCGACTTAGTGGGTACCAATATGAGGTAAGTGTCCACTGTTTGATAGGATATAAACATTAATAGTAAATCACTCTTTGTGATGACCTGGATTTAATTCTTAATTAAGGAATAAGTAAGAATAGCACTGGGGTATACTGTATATATTTTCATTTTCAAAGGGTTTTATTTTCCGCATCATTTAAAATTAAAATGAAATTAGCAGGAAACTGGACATCGTAATTGAAAACTTAAATGAGGACATACATATATGCATACAATAAGCTATAGTATAAAGAAACAAGTCCTTGTTCATCCTAACTGGTAATATCATTGGCCTGGTTTATGTTCATTTATTTGTCAGTGGTATACCAGATTTATTAGCCCATCATCATCAAATAGAGGACTATTCAAATTGCCCTCTGTCCATGGTCCATGATCCTTGGTCCATCGTCTGTTTGTCCGTCCGTTAGGAAACAATTTTTGTTATCACTTTTTCTTGAAAAGAGATAGATCTCTCTTAAATTTCATATGTAGGTTCCTCTTGGTCCCTGGTTTGGTCCGTTGGATTTTGAAATTGATGGGAAAAACCAAGATGGCTGACAGGTTGCCATCTTGGATTTTGACTTTGAAAGTTTGTTATTGCTATTTATTGAGAAGTGTTGGTTCCCCTTTAGCCCCTAGTTGTGTGAATAGTTATGGCCCCTGCTTGATCCATTTACCTGATATGTTACAATCAGGACTGTGGTTTACTGGTATTTACATCATCTTGTTTCTTGTATGATAAAATTTTGATATACAATAAACCCAGTGTTGATTTGACCTGCATTCTGAGGATGATTTTTGTGATTTCTTCAGCTTTTGAAACTATAATCTAATCGCATGTAGCTGTATTTGAAATTGAAATTAAAACGGCAAAAAGCGTACTGGACCTTTCATTTAAGGAAAGATATGCAACAGTTGATTAAATGAGTTATAAATAGGACCCTATGTATTACTAAATGTTGTTTAATTTTATGGTACAATCTGTTGAAGGAATATGAATTGAGTAAAAAAAAAGGGGGTTTTCTTTGAGAAGTTGCCAAAAGATTCTGAAGAAACGTAATGCTAAAAACCTTGGTGGTCTGTGAGTGTGTGTATATTGGAACGTGTTATAATGTCAATCTGGGGAACACAGTCTATACATGTCTCAAGATAAAGATTTGTCTGTGACTGGAATCATAGGCGATTAAATTGGCATCATGTGTATCTGAAGTTGAACATCTTAGCTGCGAATGAGATACGGGTGACATCTGTTAAAGCACTTGAGTAACAGTGATCTAACGTTGACATCTGTTGAGTTGGTAACATGTATTTACATGGGATGCTGTAAGAATGCAGCATTGTTTACCTACAAACACTCCTGACACTTAAAACATATGGCAAGTCTTACACTGTGGCACTCAACAACTCTTCTTATCTGGATCATTGGAGTCGATGACCTTTTGCCTGCTAGGGTGGAGTGGAACAGGTGCCCTATTTCAGTGTGATGGTACTAATTAATTGGTGGTTTTTCCTCCACAGGGCTCCCTTCCACTCAGTGGTATGAGCATATGTCTATGTGAAGAGGAAGGAGAGAATCAAGAATCAAATAGCTTTGAAATATCAGGTAAGTTCATTTACATATCAGGTAAAAACTGTTCAGTATTATGTTTACTTGTATATAATTTCATATCTACACATTTAAATACCATGCAATCTTATTTACATATTCCTCATTTAAATATTGTGCATTCTGGTTTTTATATTGTCTATTTTCATTTACATATTGTGTATTTACATATTGTGTATTCTCATTTCCATATTGTGTATTCTCATTTACATCTTGTGTATTCTCATTTACATATGTATTCTCATTTACCTATTGCGTATTCTCATTTACATATTGTGCATTTTCATTTACATAATGTGTATTTACATATTGTGTATTCTCATTTCCATATTGTGTATTCTCATTTCCATATTGTGTGTTCCTACATATGTATTTTCATTTACATATGTATTCTCATTTACATATTGTGCATTTTCATTTACATAATGTGTATTTACATATTGTGTATTCTCATTTACAAATTGTGTGTTCTCATTTACATATTGTGTGTGTGTTCTCATTTACATATTGTGTATTCTCATTTACAAATTGTGTATTTACATATTGTGTATTCTCATTTACAAATTGTGTGTTCTCATTTACATATTGTGTATTTACATATTGTGTATTCTCATTTACAAATTGTGTATTTACATATTGTGTATTCTCATTTACAAATTGTGTATTTACATATTGTTTATTCCCATTTACATCTCGTGTATTGTCATTTAAATATCATGCATTCTTATATACCTATGCATTCTCATGTACATGTCATTGTTGTCATTGAGTTCATGGATAATCAAGACTTAGGAAGTCATATCTCCATGAATTACTGAATATTTATTTCAGTATTTATTTAAGTAGATTTATGAAGCTCTATTTATCCATGAAATCAAGTGTCCACCAAAAAGTTGGGTTTTTTTTTAAAAACCATGTAAATTGAAACCCATGAAAACCTGTGATTTGACAGTAGATACAAGAAAAATTCTCAGGTAGTGTACAGATTTCATTGTGTCCTTATTTTCTGTTTACATTGAACTTATCACACTTATTGTTTTTTGACATATTTGTTGTTTATATACCAATATATGTAAAAGGTTCATAAAGGTCATTAATTATTTGTGATATTTCAATCTGAAAACTATTGAAGGAATACATATATATATATATATATTTATGCTGGAGCTTTTTTCGCATATTTATAAACCCACAGACGCCACAATAATCATCATTTTTGGCATAGTAGTTAATTGAGTTGATCATGGTACGACCTGGGTATTCATACAAAATTATCAACTAAAAACTGTATTCATAGAAAATTATCATCTAAAATATCGGGAAGCTGAGGCACTCATATCCTACAGCCATTTCAAATGTAGCTTACCACCTTAAGTCTAACTTATATGTAATGTCTATGGGGCCACTAACACATGTATATGTAATGTCTATGGGGCCACTAACACATGTATATGTAATGTCTGTGGGGCCACTAACACATGTATATGTAATGTCTGTGGGGCCACTAACACATGCATATGTAATGTCTGTGGAGCCACTAACACATGTATATGTAATGTCTATGGGGCCACTTACACATGTATATGTAATGTCACACTGTGTATAAATAATGTCTGTGGGGCCACTAACACATGTATAACAAATGACTGTGGGGCCACTAACACATGTATATGTAATGTCTATGGGGCCACTAACACATGTATATGTAATGTCTATTGGGCCACTGAAACATGTATATGTAATGTCTGTGGGGTCACTAACAAATGTATATGTAATGTCTATGGGGCCACTAACACATGTATATATTGTGTCTATTGGGCCACTAACACATGTATAAATAATGTCTGTGGGGCCACTAACACATGTATAACTAATGTCTGTGGGGCCACTAACACATGTATATGTAATGTCTATGGGGCCACTAACACATGTATATGTAATGTCTATTGGGCCACTGAAACATGTATATGTAATGTCTGTGGGGTCACTAACAAATGTATATGTAATGTCTATGGGGCCACTAACACATGTATATATTGTGTCTATTGGGCCACTGAAACATGTATATGTAATGTCTGTGGGGCCACTAACACATGCATATGTAATGTCTGTGGGGGCCACCAACACATGTATGTGTAATGTCTGTGGGGCCACTAACACATGTATATGTAATGTCTATGGGGCCACTGAAACATGTATATGTAATGTCTTTGGGACCACTAACACATGTATAAATAATGTCTGTGGAGCCACTAACACATGTATATGTAATGTCTATGGGGCCACTGAAACATGTATATGTAATGTCTGTAGGGCCAATAACACATGTATATGTAATATTTATAGGGCTACACAGCCATAAATATTACCAAGAGTCTGTTCCAAACTTAAATATGTGTGAAAAGTTCACACTAAAAAAACATTACATTTCATAGTGATTACATTGAAAAGTTGACATTTAATGAAAACATGATGATATGTGCCAAGATATTATCCAGGAAACATTCTAAAGATATTTCTACATATGAATAAATGATAAAAGAGGATCTTGTTGAAAAAAATTCCTGTCTGAATATCTTTCACATCAAACCATCACAAATTGTTCCATTTTATCAGATTTTAAGCAGACCCATGTGAGAAATTGGGTCAAGAATGCCAGTTCAAATAATGATTTGTGCAGGAGTAGTCCTAATCTTTGTACCTATGTGATGCACTTATTTCTTGATGAATGCAGTAGATATTGGTTAAAAGGAATGGAGAAAGATCCAGTGTAAAGCTTGGATGGTATTCTACCTAATAATCGCACATGATACTCAACTTGAAATAATAAGGGTTAATGCAGAATCTCCATAATTAGTTACAAGTATCTTTAATTAACGGGTTTATAGGAATATTTAAATAGTATAAGGTCATGGGATAGGATGTATAAATTTATACAAAGTGTAAGATCGAATATTTAGGAGGCGGGGTGATTTTTAGGTCAAATATAGTATATATGCTGCATTCTTGAAGTGCAAAATGCATTCTTTTGCTAATCCCAAATGAAAATTGATGGTTTTAAATTTTGGCATGTGTTTCATATAATAACAAGTCTGACTTGTACAAGCAGAAATTTTAGGAAGGAATGAAATATATTGGGTCATGAAATACTGTTCTGCAAACACAATGGAGTCTAGGACAAGACAGGGGGATGTTTGTTCTTTTTCCCATCTCTCCATACAACCTATTCGTTCACCATTATTCGAAGTTGATAAGGAGAGACCTTGGCATACTGGAATCTTGCTTTGTTTCTATTTAAGAATGACATAATCTCTTCTAACTTTGATGTAAGATGGACAAATTGTTTCTTGCAAGTACGTCTAGATTGAGAGTATTTACATAAAAGGAGGTAGTGATCATTTTCTCTTGTTCTTTAACTTGTTGGTAAGTTGATGGTGATAACATTCACTTTCATTGATGTTAATCATGGTCAGTAGAGCCAGGGTTTTTATTCCCACCTCTATCGTTAAGCTCTCTCCATTTGCTATGTCGGCAAATTTGGGCCTCCTGGGCTCTGTCCAGGCAGTCTTTATCAGTCGTCACTCCAGAATAAAGGTGATTGTGTCAATTTACACAAGTTTTCATATAAACATTTATTCTATATCTGATATGATAACTTGGCTGATGACTGAAATGAACAACTCCTTGTATCTCAAGCAACTTCATGTCTCGATGGATTTTCATCTAACTTCACATATTGGTCAAGTATCATAATACCTTGATCGTGTTTGTGTTTCAGCCTGCCAGGGTCAATATTAAGGTCATCATTATATTTGTTAGTGCTCTAGTCTCTTCATTTCTCAACAGATTTTGATCAAACTTCTCATATTGGTCAGTTACAATAATTAATACCATAGTTGAACAAGTTGGTATTTCCATATGCCAAGGTCAGCACCAGGGTCACTGTTACTATTTATAGAAAATCATCTTCATCGCTATTGCAACTCATTTCTAGATGGATTTTGATCACTTACATGTGTGTTGATAATATATAGATACAGTTATGTCAATTATCAGAGGGTGAAGTTGCTGGCATGTGTTTTAACTAGAAACTCTTAGAGGCATTTCAGAGGATGTGTTCTTTAACAAAACTTCATTATAAATGGGAGTGGGGGGATTTGTATCATTTAGGATGCTTTGCTATGTATTTAGGAACCTTCACTCCCTTGTAGAGTCTAGAATACTTTGTATGTAATGTCACAATAGCACATATGTCCCGAAATTTGTTTATAACTTTGTCAGGATGAGACGAATCAGTCTGTGGAAAAACATGTCCAATTTGCTAACCATTAACATTACTATTTTTTCTTTATTTTTCTTAAGACTGGAAATAAATGCCAACCAGGAAATGAGATATTTAGGGTTTAAATTGTGTGGTTTACTCTTGGAGTCTAAACACTTTTAAGTTTGGCACAGTACTATTAGTGTCTACAATATGAAATGTGTCGGGTTACACTTATCAACTCTACATGGCTGTTGTTACTAAACCTCTGGTGTAAAAGAGTTCTAACTCCTCAGCACTATTTATTCACAAATTAGCCTTTGTTCATTCTGACGACATGGGCCCTGTTTTAACTCTGATCCTTGGCTATTCTTTTTAAGCACTTATTATGGTTGTTTTCATGTTTTATCAACATGTGGGCTCAATTACACATCTCTAATGTTGTAGAAGTTAGAAAATATTTCCAGTATTTTTGGAACTGTGAATAAAAGTTGTTAAGATAAACAGCTTGATTGTTCACGGTGTAATTACATCAGAGTATCTTTCTAACACTCCTGACTGTTAAATGTTGTTGAAGCTTTACTGGCCAATCACACAAAGCCTTTTTCTGACCCTTTTAAAGTATAACACGCCAATTTGTCATAGAATTTTCAGATTAAAATAGACCATAGCAATAGGAAAGCTTCCCATTTTTAAAAATGGATGTGGATGGTGACTGCTGAAAACTCTCCTGTCTTATTATTGTTTCTTGATAAGATAGAATTGACTTGAATGTTTGAATAGGAGTTTGGTTACAGGGGATATGCTAAAAGGAGATTACTGTAACCTGTGTTAGTGTTACAGGGGATATGATAGACAAGAGATTATTATAACCTGTGTTAGTGTTACAGGGAATATGATAGAGAAGAGATTATTGTTACCTGTGTTTGTGTTACAGGGAATATGATAGAGAAGAGATTATTGTTACCTGTGTTTGTGTTACAGGGAATATGATAGACCCTGTGTTTGTGTTACAGGGAATATGATAGAATTGTTACCTGTGTTTGTGTTACAGATATGTGTTTGTGTTATATGATAGACAAGAGATTATTGTTACCTGTGTTTGTGTTACAGGGAATATGATAGACCTGTGTTTGTGTTAAGAGATTATTGTTACCTGTGTTTGTGTTACAGGGAATATGATAGACAAGAGATTATTGTTACCTGTGTTTGTGTTACAGGGAATATGATAGACCCTGTGTTTGTGTTACAAGAGATTATTGTTACCTGTGTTTGTGTTATATATGATAGACAAGAGATTATTGTTACCTGTGTTTGTGTTACAGGGGATATGATAGACAAGAGATTATTGTTACCTGTGTTTGTGTTACAGGGAATATGATAGACAAGAGATTATTGTTACCTGTGTTTGTGTTACAGGGGATATGATAGACAAGAGATTATTGATAACCTGTGTTTATTGTTACCTGTGTGTGTTTGTGTTACAGGGGATATGATAGACAAGAGATTATTGTTACCTGTGTTTGTGTTACAGGGGATATGATAGACAAGAGATTATTGTTACCTGTGTTTGTGTTACAGGGGATATGATAGACAAGAGATTATTGTTACCTGTGTTTGTGTTACAGGGGATATGATAGACAAGAGATTATTGTTACCTGTGTTTGTGTTACAGGGGATATGATAGACAAGAGATTACTGTAACCTGTGTTAGTGTTACAGGGGATATGATAGACAAGAGGTTATTGTTACCTGTGTTAGTGTTACAGGGAATATGATAGACAAGAGATTATTGTTACCTGTGTTTGTGTTACAGGGGATATGATAGACAAGAGATTATTGTTACCTGTGTTTGTGTTACAGGGGATATGATAGACAAGAGATTATTGTTACCTGTGTTTGTGTTACAGGGGATATGATAGACAAGAGATTATTGTTACCTGTGTTTGTGTTACAGGGGATATGATAGACAAGAGATTACTGTAACCTGTGTTTGTGTTACAGGGGATATGATAGACAAGAGATTATTATAACCTGTGTTAGTGTTACAGGGGATATGATAGACAAGAGATTACTGTAACCTGTGTTAGTGTTACAGGGGATATGATAGACAAGAGATTATTATAACCTGTGTTAGTGTTACAGGGGATATGATAGACAAGAGATTATTATAACCTGTGTTAGTGTTACAGGGGATATGATAGACAAGAGATTATTGTTACCTGTGTTTGTGTTACAGGGAATATGATAGACAAGAGATTATTGTTACCTGTGTTTGTGTTACAGGGAATATGATAGACAAGAGATTATTGTTACCTGTGTTTGTGTTACAGGGAATATGATAGACAAGAGATTATTGTTACCTGTGTTTGTGTTACAGGGAATATGATAGACAAGAGATTATTGTTACCTGTGTTAGTGTTACAGGGGATATGATAGACAAGAGAGTACTGTAACCTGTGTTAGTGTTACAGGGGATATGATAGACAAGAGAGTACTGTAACCTGTGTTAGTGTTACAGGGGATATGATAGACAAGAGATTATTGTTACCTGTGTTTGTGTTACAGGGAATATGATAGACAAGAGATTATTGTTACCTGTGTTTGTGTTACAGGGAATATGATAGAGAAGAGATTATTGTTACCTGTGTTTGTGTTACAGGGGATATGATAGACAAGAGATTATTGTTACCTGTGTTTGTGTTACAGGGAATATGATAGACAAGAGATTATTGTTACCTGTGTTTGTGTTACAGGGGATATGATAGACAAGAGATTATTGTTACCTGTGTTTGTGTTACAGGGGATATGATAGACAAGAGATTATTGTTACCTGTGTTTGTGTTACAGGGGATATGATAGACAAGAGATTATTGTTACCTGTGTTTGTGTTACAGGGAATATGATAGACAAGAGATTATTGTTACCTGTGTTTGTGTTACAGGGAATATGATAGACAAGAGATGATAGACAAGAGATTATTGTTACCTGTGTTTGTGTTACAGGGGATATGATAGAAGAGATTATTGTTACCTGTGTTTGTGTTACAGGGAATATGATAGAGAAGAGATTATTGTTACCTGTGTTTGTGTTACAGGGAATATGATAGACAAGAGATTATTGTTACCTGTGTTTGTGTTACAGGGAATATGATAGACAAGAGATTATTGTTACCTGTGTTTGTGTTACAGGGGATATGATAGACAAGAGATTATTGTTACCTGTGTTTGTGTTACAGGGGATATGATAGACAAGAGATTATTTTAACCTGTGTTAGTGTTACAGGGGATATGATAGACAAGAGATGGTTATAGCAAAGGTATGAAATACAGTCACTGTGATAGAGCAGAGATTACTGTAACCTGTGTTTGTGTTACAGGGGATATGATAGAAGAGATTATTGTTACCTGTGTTTGTGTTACAGGGAATATGATAGACAAGAGATTATTGTTACCTGTGTTTGTGTTACAGGGGATATGATAGACAAGAGATTATTATAACCTGTGTTAGTGTTACAGGGGATATGATAGACAAGAGATTATTGTTACCTGTGTTTGTGTTACAGGGGATATGATAGACAAGAGATTATTGTTACCTGTGTTTGTGTTATATGATAGACAAGAGATTATTGTTACCTGTGTTTGTGTTACAGGGGATATGATAGACAAGAGATTACTGTAACCTGTGTTTGTGTTACAGGGGATATGATAGACAAGAGATTATTGTTACCTGTGTTTGTGTTACAGGGGATATGATAGACAAGAGATTATTGTTACCTGTGTTTGTGTTACAGGGGATATGATGATTATTGTTACCTGTGTTTGTGTTACAGGGGATATGAGATTATTGTTACCTGTGTTTGTGTTACAGGGGATATGATAGACCTGTGTTTGTGTTACAGAGATTATTGTTACCTGTGTTTGTGTTACAGGGGATATGATAGACAAGAGATTATTGTTACCTGTGTTTGTGTTACAGGGGATATGATAGACAAGAGATTATTGTTACCTGTGTTTGTGTTACAGGGGATATGATAGACAAGAGATTATTATAACCTGTGTTAGTGTTACAGGGAATATGATAGACAAGAGGTTATTGTTACCTGTGTTTGTGTTACAGGGAATATGATAGAAGAGATTATTATAACCTGTGTTTGTGTTACAGGGAATATGATAGACAGGGAATATGATAGACAAGAGATTATTATAACCTGTGTTTGTGTTACAGGGAATATGATAGACAAGAGATTATTATAACCTGTGTTTGTGTTACAGGGAATATGATAGAAGAGATTATTGTTACCTGTGTTTGTGTTACAGGGAATATGATAGAAGAGATTATTGTTACCTGTGGGACAAAGACAGAAGCTACCTCATGGGTGGAAGCTCTCAAACAGCAAGTCAGTCTGTCGCTTACATCAGGGACCACAAAACCACAGAGTTTACAGGTAGGTCAAGGTCATATATTGCTTAAATAAAAGTAAAGGTCATCACCATGTAGGTCAAAGCCATCATGATTGTGATAGAGATGATCTACAGAATTTACAAGAGGGTTTGAATTGATCACAAAACCTAAATTGCAGACATGTGACCATCTTGGATCTTGAGAGAGAAAACTTGTTATTGCTGTTTCTTGAAAAGTACTTTCAGATTTCAAATATAGCCTTCCCTTGGTCCTTAGTTGTGCCTGTTTCATTTTTGAGACTAACCAGAAAATGAAAATGGATGACCAGTAGCCATCTTGGATTTAAACAATGACAGTTTGTTATTTGCTATTTCTTCAGAGGAATGTTCAAATTTCGTATGATTAAGAGCAAAAACAGAGGAGAGAAGAGAAAAGAAGGGAAAAGATCCAACTTTTATAGAACAAATAAAAATCAAACAAGGATGGGTGCCAAGATACCTCTGGGATCTCTTGTTATGTAATAATGTGCAATTCTAATTTAATAATCACATCTTAAAGTTTATGATATATTGTAGTGATGGAGCTAGTCTCTGTGTGCTCTTGATATGCTAGTTTATTTGCAAACATATAATCATATCTCATAGATATCTACGTCTCAGCCAAGTATCAGTCAACTGACTCAGGCCAAGACGGCCAAGATGACCCATTCCACGTGGAGCACTTCATGTTTACGGCCTTCCCCACCCCTCCGCCAACACCTCATCTGTAAAGAAGAGGCAATCCGCAGTCCACGGATGGGCCGAAAACCTGTTCGTCGGAAACCTGGTATGTATAGACTAAATGTTTTGACCATGTAACAGATGTCCACCAAAAAATGCCATTTTCAACATTGTCAAAGCCTCGTCATCTGTAATTTAGTCCCAAGTTCCTAAAAATGTTAGACACAATCGTGATAAAGTTGCATTCTTAAAAATCTTGGGATAGATATAGAAGTAATGCGGTTCCTATGGTTATGATATAAAAACTTGGTTTATTCAAAATGCTACATATTAACATGGCTACTGTTTTTTTCTCTCTACCATCATGGCAGTTCGGACACACTCTCAGGATGAGTATGACTACAAATGCAAATGGAGACAGTGTTAGTTTGACTTGTTATATTTTTACTACATATCTTTTTTCAATGTTGTCTTGATTTTTTCTATTTCCAATATTGTTTGTGATCCTCATTGCATTTATTTTCTAATGTTTATGTGGCCCAGTTTGTACACTTTATTTTTTATTTTGTATGCGATCCTGTTTGCATCCTTTATTTTCAGTGTTGTATGCAACCCTGATTGTATCTGTAATTTTCAATGTTGTATGCGACCATGATTGCATCCATTATTTTCATTGTTGTATGTGACCTTGATTGCATCATATATATATATATATATTATATATATTGTCAGTTTTGTATGTAACTAAGATTACATCATTGCCTTTCATGGTTTTAAGCGACACTGATTGCATCTTCACTTTTAATGTTATAGGTAACGCTGATTGCATCCTTTTATTATTGGTGTTTTTTTTATACCCTATACCTGCTAACTTTCCAGATTCAGTTAGGGGTTTCCCAATTTTCACTCCCTGTCTCCGCCTCCTGATAGTATGGATCAAAATTGGGGTAATCTTGGAATTTTAGATATCCTTCTGGGTAGGTGATAAGTAACCTTGCTATATTTGCCAATAGGAACAACAACAGGTAAGGCTGATTACATGACCACATAATGAAGGTGTCGGTATGTCAGTACACTGCCCAAATATCTGTTTTATTTCAGTAATAATCACTGTAACTTTAGTGTGCAGATACTGTACCTGCACTCATCTTTGTAGCCCTTTGTAGGGGGGGTGGGGGGGGGGGGGGGGGGCTGGCAAATAGTCAGTTAAGATGGGGTTGTTTTGTAGATAATTAAGTACTTATAACTATGTACATGGTACCTATTTATCCAAGTAACAAATTCAATAAGTAAATAGTATGAAAAAAATTATCTTTATGATGTGACAAGGTTCAGACGTTCCTCAATCAATACCAATGATTTAACCATACCAGTCTTAGATAGATTTATTAGTTGGTGTCCTGTGTAACAAAATCTGACCAGAAACATTTCACCTGCTGAAAATTTGATGTTCTCCCCAAAGAATGTGAGGATGGGAAAACAGGAAGTAGCTAAACCTATATAAAGTAGGAACAGATCCAGACTAAATTTCCAGATTTGTATCTTTCTTCAATTATTTCGTAAATATGTCGTCTGATTATGCCGTTGAGGCAAATGGGTGGATGGATGATGGATGGATGGATGGATGGATGTCTTATTTTAGAAAAATAAAAATTTGTAAAAAAAAAAAAAAAAAAAAATTATTTTGTAGAGATATGTTTGACAGTGAAAAACAAAAGCTCAAATATCATGAACCATTAGATCTAGATTAAAACACTGTAAATTTCCTGAAAGAAATTATTTCATTTTATCATTTTTTTTGCCTCTTTCTTAAAACAGTATTAAAAATTATAGCTTGAAATTTTATGAGAAAATCACTAATGTTTTTTTTGCTTGATCCCAATTTGTCAAAAAAAATTGCTATTGTTATTATAGTAAAACAGGCACATTATTAGCTTTAACTTATCCAATAGTATTAAATATACAGTAATTTTCCTCGTGACAAATTTTGTGATGCACAAGGTATCACTGCGAAGCAAAATTGTTGTTCACATACTTTTCTCCCCATCAGAATTTTGAAAAGTTGACCAGTATGAGATCCTGATAACATTTTTTATTGCTTTCATTATAAAGGTGTTTAAACCTTGTTTCCATTTTTGTTATGTATGAGTGACCCATATTCATTTTTATAGTCATTACATATATGTCCCTTTAGTTCATTTCTGAATTAAGTTTCCATTATATGTGAAAGGTTAGATGGTTTTAGTGCATGACAAAACAAGCATGGAATGTTTAATGTAAAAAGAGAACCAGAACGACATATGATCTGATATTGTTGCATGTTTGTGATATTTCCAATCTACGAATCTGCTTGTCCACTTCTTTCTTTCTTTATGCGTTGGTTTTCTGGTGTTTTCTCTCAGATCATTTACATATTTTTATTTTAATTGAAAAAGCATGCCAGGGTATTTTTGTGAAATACAAATATTTTTTTATTCTTGTTTTAACTTGAATTGAATGTCACAACCATTTTTTTACAAATTGTTTTGAGTAATTTCTTGTTCAACATATTGTAAAGAATATTTGAAAATTGTGACTATTGCTATTGTAAGAAAAATGACATTTTTCTCAAATTTTCCAAATAAGATAAGTGATTTACCTTTGTAGTTATAGTGTTAGATATGTACACACATAAACAAACACATGTAATTTTTGTTTTTCTGTTTTTGTAATGATCAAGCATTTTTCTTCTGATTTGTAATCAGTTGAAATTGTATTTTGTCAAATTTTGAATGTTTACCATCATACATCTGACAAAAAAAATCAAGAAAATACCAACATGGCAACATAATCATAATTCAAACTCAGATTCCATAAAACTAGGGCAAATATAAGCAAAAGAAAGATTAACACAGAGACTCGTTAGAAACAGTAAGGAGAATAAGACCAGGTGTTCTGATAGAGGAAGCATCTTCTGAAAAGTATACTACAAGTGTATAGATTTATTTATACCTTAAATCTGTTGATATATCATAGCTTTAAAAAATAAAAATCTCTTAAGACAAGATTGTGTCAGTTATTTCTGAAGCTCTCAGGCCATTGCATAAAACTTGAATGAGAGAGTCAGGCTTGTTACAGGTTAATGGGAATCAGTTATTGGATTTTCTGATTTAACTGCATTGTAAATGACTGGGCTTAATACCAGGTTTTTTGTCACATAGATATGGCAGTTATCTTCAGGTCACCACACAGTCTTGCTGTTGTTATTAAATTGCAAGCAGTGATTTTCACATCAGCTAAAATACAAATCCCTGTCTTAAGTTACCATGTTGAAAGTGTTATCTAGGCCATGTAAAACTAAGATGTGTTTCTGGACCTGTTTAAGTTATCAAAATTAGGTTTCATTTGGATTGATATTGTCCAATGGCTGGACACTGTATTAACTTTTGTTGTCAGATAGAAATCATTGAGCACCATATGTAAATACACCTGTCTAACATTACTATATAATATATAGGTAACTTAGACCTATCAATTTTCTCCTTCACTCTCTGGTCAGACTTTCCCAACAAGAGTTAATGATTTTACAGGTCTTTGTTCCAAATGAGATTCATTATTATGTTCAGATATACTTTTTTACTGATAAAGTAAACAAGTTTTTTAAAGCTCACAAAATATAGTTTTCAATTTCGGTTTGTGTTAAAGGTAAATATTTTCTCAAAACCCATTTTTCCTTTTAAGCAATTTTTGGTTTCATTATTTCTGAAGAGGCAACAGATACTGTATTTGCAGTAACCCTGTTTACAAATTGTGAAAACAACTTTTAAAGACTGATAGCTGAAAGGGATAGAGATCAGTAAATATTGTTTTTTTACTTTTGAAGATTGCTGTCATTATTTTTCACATAGTAATAGAAAAATCTTTCTCAACTCATTGTGTGGGTTTCCTGTGATGATTAGGAAACAACAATTTATTGAGAGGAAAAATAGAAAATATAAAAAAATGACTTCAAATAAAAAAAAAATTTTGATGGTGGGTGTCAAAATTCTTGCGAAATCTGTTGTTACATGTGATATGATGAAAACCCTCAGAAGGAGTCAAATCATGTAATATAAAGCAATTTTTACAATGTTATATTAACAGAAACATGATATTAAGTGGAATGAGCTGTATGGATGTAATATCAGTGTTATTAGATTATTTTTATATTGACTGTTCAATGATTTTTTTTTTTTTCGTGGACAGATGACCCGCGTACCATGGAAGAAGACGCTGTTATACTTAAGGTGATAGAAGCCTACTGTACTAGTGCTAAAACAAGACACACTGTGAATTCTTGTAAGTATGATGTTGTCTTCCTTGATTCCCTCTCTCATCCTGTGCATGGAACCAACTTTGGGTTAGTGATGAATGAATGTTGATACATTAAGATTGCACGCATTCATTCAATAGGTGTTAAAGGTAGACTTTTCTTATTTCTGTTTGGTTATGCTCAGTCGACTCTGAACCATTGACGTTGACGAAACAGCACCATCTTTGACTGCAGATGTCAACTTGGTCAAAAAATTATTTTTATTTCATAGGGGTCAAAACAGAGAAACTATCCTAGAGGTAGTATCCTGAAACCAATATAAAAATGGCATCCCAGACAATAACTATTTTTGAATTATTTATTTTATGGGTTATATATGAACAACAGAGACAGACAGCCTTTGTGACTTGTGAATTTTGATGGGCTTAGTAGTATTTTAAATTGATATTATGTATATGTACAGAATCCATTCTCATTATTCACAAGATCTAGAGCTGTTACAGAGGTTTTTACTTTAGTTGCTAGAAGATCATTGTCTAACCATGAACAGCTGAAAAATTTGAAAAGTTTCCACATTATTTCCACAAAAGATTATCTGAACTAGTGCTAGATATGGATTTGACACTTTGCTGTCATTACTGGAGATTTCGTCCTTTTCCATATTCTCTGTATATTGTGGTCCAAGTGATCACTTGCTCTGGTTTTGTGCCGAATGTCCTCATAGGATTAATATTCAAAACTGAGCAACCAGGAAAGTAACATGAAGCATTTCAGACAAAAATGGTTCCTGAAATTGTCTAACAATCCATATGTACAGTCATTAAAAGGCTATCCATTGTTTTTTGTAAATTGTCTTTTTGGATTGTACATGGTTCATTTGATGACAATATCTGATACTTCACAGTGCTGGTGTAAGACTGTACAATGTTTCAATTGTCTGTATGTACTGTGCTCCATGACTATCCACCCTGTTCTTTCGTGAATCAATGTCATATTTTGAGAGCCTGTGAACACGTTTCATGTCACAATTTATTTTTTTGTATCACTTGAAAGCTACTTACACTTAAACCTTAAATTTCAATGTTGCTTAACTCCGGTGACTGTCAAGGCTGCTAGGCCTCTTGTACAAGACAGATACAGTGCTACAAAGTTCCCTCCTTAATATCATACACTAAATAGGTCTTCCTTTGTATCAGATTATTTAAAACATCTTTTTTATCTAATTCCTTATATTTGTCAAACTTTGATTTGGTCCCCTCTGTTTCCATCTTTGATGTCCAATGCACTCTTTGGTGTGACACCTACATATATTGTATGTTCTCTATGTATCAAGACAACCAGATAGAAATGATCACTATATTATATCATTATATTATATTATATTATATTATATTATATTATATTATATTATATTTCACCATGTGCCGTTAATCAGGAACATTTCTGTTTTTGTTGCACACATGTTTGTTGTTGGATAGTGTTTAAAAGAAGGAAATCATGGAGATATGAGTTTTGTTTCTGTAATTTATGAAATATTATCTAAATATATGATGTTATGTCTTGGGGCAGTGTCTTATAAGTCTATATATGTAGATATTATATGAAATGGTAAATCTTGTTAAGATGTATCTCTGTCATCTTAAACTCTTGTACAAAATACTCACAAGTGAAAAACACTAAAAAAACACCTTTTAATACAACTTTAGAGTTAGATACAGCAGAGCCATATAACGGACCAAACTGCGTAGAACAGCTGTTTTGTCCTTTTAGGACTCTTCAGTTTTGAAGCCTAGGAGGCGACTGAGGAAAATCCAAAGTGATTGAAAGAAAACGGGGAGTTGCACTAGCCCTGTTACTCAATAAATTTTGGAATTTTCATGAATCTGATAACTTAAGGACAATGTCATGTACATTTGTATACTCTGAACCATACTACTATTCAAATAAATTCTGACATGGAATGCAGGTAACAGTCTCTGGGGCTAAGTCCACCAGCAGTGTCTACTACTTGTAATCACAAAGATTGTACCGAAGACTGTAAAAAGACAAGCAAATGAATAGCACCTTATGATACAACCAAAAACTCTCAGACAATGTTAAATTTTCTGTTAAAACCCGTTGTGTGAAACTGAAAAAAATCTTGATAAGTTGGATTCATGTGAAGCTTTCTGTAGTAGTCTGATTGCATTGAACTTATCATGAAATCATCCTGTGAAAATTGGGTTTTGTACATTTATCATGCGAAACTGTAAAAATTTGATTATAACACAGAATTATGGGAAATTTCTTTATTTTCATAGGGAACAGCAACAAAAAATGTTAAATGATTTTATTCCTAAATTCAATAAAGGGATAATTTACCTGTGCTGGAAAAAGATATGGTATTGGGGATTTAAATTCTATCCTAAATTCAAGTTGAAGTAAAGACAGAGTTTGAAAAGTTTCACATTCAACTGACGTTAAATTATGTATTGATGAATATTGAGTTCATACAGTTTAGAGATTGTTAAGTGCGAAGATACGGACGTTTGAAACACAAATTAGGTACCAAAATTTGGATGATGAGGAGGTCAGTGAAATGACTTGGGGGGGATACTGTATATCAAGTGTACAATTTTCTCGTCAAAGATTTTCAATTGAAAGTTCTTATTTTCTTTTCTTTTGTAAAGTTAATTGCACAGCATGTGATATTTTGTTATAGATTTGTATAGTAAACTGCATACTGTGAATCACTGATATTTGGCAAGATTTTCATTTCATTTTATGCTAAAAGCTGATAAAGCATTCAGATAGAAGGAACTATTTAACTTACAAACACCCGCATTATTAAAGAAAAGTTCCACTTTGAGAAGAAATGATTTTAGTGAATCAGTTATTGCAATAACAGTGATGAAAACGAGTGGAGATATAAGTTGTGATATTTAGAAATTGAAAGCGGGTGTTAAAATGGAAGTGATTTACGGTGACGGGTACACTGATTGATTAGATCTTCACCTTATTTCTCTGTTTCCCTTACTGCTGCCTGGAAATGTGTTTGCCTTCTGCCTCAACTACTAACCCTCTCCGTAACCCCATAACATCATTCTATAGTGGATCTGAAAAAACTACGCCTCAACGAGGATGGCACAATACAAGGCTATGGCGACACACTTATGTCTCCCGAAATGGAGGAACTGCAATTTCTCCATAGCAACCGAGGAATGATTCCCGGCTTCTGTTGTGCTACGTTCCCTCTGGCAAAGGGACTGGCAAAAACGATCAAACGGCTATAGAAAATCAGCAAATTATGGGGCCACACCCACATCAAAACAAAGTCTCAAAGACAAAAAAAATCACTTGAGACATAATTTTAGATATTGGCCATACAGCCAGAAAAAATCATACTAGAAACGGTTTATTACTATCCCTGCATAAATGTTTTGGATCATAATGTGACTAAAAATGCCCGAAATCTTGATTAAGATAGAATAGTAGATTTCTATGGAGTGCTGTTTCTGTTCAAATTGTTTACCATGTATGACAGAACATAGAGGTTTCGTCCGTGACAAATATGTCTCCGATAAAAGGATCCTTCTGAACTGGTTCAAAGGAATCATTCTATACACCAAAGTGTACATAGGAAATTCCTATTTTCTTAACAATGAATTATAAGTGTATTCTGCCATGAACACAAGGTAAAGAAATGCCATTAACTTGTCCATGTTGCTTAAACGCCCATGCATGGGTTATCTCCCCTTTACAGAAATGTTTGTTTTGACTTGTTATAGCTGTCTCTATCTATCTATATATAGATTTTTAGAGAAAATGTTGCATTTACTGGTTGAAAGATTTATAAGATTATGAAATATATGTAATTGTCATGATACATGAATAAGAAATCTTGTAGAACATTTTCGGAAATTTTGTAACTGGGAGAGTGTTTCCGATTATCTGATTGTACATCTGTAATTACCATAGCTATATGGAGATGAAACATCACTGTTACATGATTTTTTATTCTGTAGTTGTGTCATTTTGAGGAAGACCTTATACATTGGATTCCGTTTATCTGAACTGCTGTTTCTAAAAAACTGTCAACATTTTTATATTATCTGTCTGCCTGCCTTGTATATGCTTTTTGATATACAGAAACTGTCTCTTTAAGGGTGTATGTGATGTTTTGTCACTACAAACAGATGACAAAATAGGTTTTGATATTTGTTGCAAATTTTGGTAGTCTCCCAGATATGTAAATAATTTTTTGTATAGCACAAAAAGTTAAAATATATCTGATATTTAAGTGACTAACTTTGAATTTATCATACAGAAAAAAATGATCAAACTGACAAATTTTTTTAGCGTTAAAGTGACAATTAACATACCAATAAAGATAAGAATGAGTCAGTTTTATATTTCATATGAAAATAAGATTTTAACAATGTATGTTCAGTTATTATTGACCCCTCATCCTAATTTTTAAGTTGCCCAATACATGGCATCCACATAAATCAATACAAAGAAGCCGTATTCCTGATTTATAGCCTTCATTTTTTCATTTTCTAGTAACAAGTAAATGTGTATTGTGCTTAAGTGAGATTTGTTTACTTTTTTTTAAAAACTTTTATGTACTGGGGTTTGTTTGAAATTGTCCGACAGGCCAGTGATATTGTTTGATTTGTGATACGATGAATTTACCTAGCCTTTGACATCCTCCAACCTTGCTTTGAGTGTGAAATATTGCCACCCAAACCATGCCAGGAATGAAAGCAAGCTTTGCAGTGCATCATGTTAATCTTATTCAGAAAGCACCACCCATCCATGTTACTTACATATGCCTTGCATGGCTGCATAGTAATGAAAATCATAAATATATCACTTTCCTTATGAGTTCTAAGGAGGCTGTCTTAATAATTCCATGTCATAACAATAGTGCTAAACTTGTCTTAATAAGTACTTAACACAAAGTCAGAACATTAGTGCTAAACTTGTCTTAACTCCAAGTCAGAACATTAGTGCTAAACTTGTCTTAATAATTCCATGTCATAACAATAGTGCTAAACTTGTCTTAATAAGTACATAACACAGGCAGAACATTAGTGCTAAACTTGTCTTAACTCCAAGTCAGAACATTAGTGCTAAACTTGTCTTAATAAGTACTTAACACAAAGTCAGAACATTAGTGCTTAACTTGTCTTAATAAGTACATAACACAGGCAGAACATTAGTGCTTAACTTGTCTTAATAAGTACATAACACAGGCAGAACATTAGTGCTTAACTTGTCTTAATAAGTACATAACACAGGCAGAACATTAGTGCTAAACTTGTCTTAATAAGTACATAACACAGGCAGAACATTAGTGCTAAACTTGTCTTAATAACTCCAAGTCAGATCATTAGTGCTTAACTTGTCTTAAAAAGTACATAACACAGGCAGAACATTAGTGCTTAACTTGTCTTAATAAGTACATAACACAGGCAGAACATTAGTGCTTAACTTGTCTTAATAAGTACGTAACACAAAGTCAGAATGTTAGTGCATTAGTGCTTAGAACATTGTCTTAAAAAGTAACACAAAGTCAACACAACACAAAGTCAGAACATTAGTGCTTAACTTGTCTTAATAAGTACATAACACAAAGTCAGAATGTTAGTGCTAAACTTATCTTTGCTCCAAATCAGAATAGGCAAAACTTTTCAGTCATGGAAGGTACTGTTGTACTGTTCTCATTTGAAATGGTGTTTTGGTTTCAGTATTGATTCTTTATCATTTTGCAGTAGTTTAGTTGATTGTTTTGAAATATTTTTAGTTTTGAACATTAAATGTTATATCTAAACTATTTGAACAATTGTTTAGAAAAAACATCTTTTTTTTTATGAAAACTAGTGTAGTGCATGTCATGAAAATGCATGAAAGAATATATTGGAAGAAAAAATCTGAGCTAGAAACCATTGTGTATTGTATATTGAATATCCTGTATTCAGATCCTGTGATAGTAAGATCATGACATGTTGTTGTATTTATCCAGGAATAAGCTGAGGGACCACCAAGTAACCACTACCTCACAATCACAGGATGGGCTTTTCACAGATCAATGAATCTATTTGTAATTTTACCAAACATCAGTAGGGCTTATTTCCTCAGCTTATTTCCAGATAAATATGGCGATGTGTCTGGACACTTATTTATGGTTTTAATTGGTTTCTGTGTAAAGATATGGAACAAATATGAAGATTGTAACGGTATTAGAGTTTAGTTTTGAAGTGTCAGCAGAGTGATAGCGACACAGAATATTTTGTTCCTACAAAATCTTATACTATTGTTGTTCTAGCATTGGCAAAGGAAAAATTTAGTCTGGTGCGACCACTTCCTAACCCTAACCTCAGTCCCATTACCGAATCATCACAGGACAGTCCCTCACCAGGTACTCGCATCATGCCTTGAAGCATGTTACGACACACCTAGTGTAGAAGCCCGGACCCACAAACACATATTTGCACCTATGTAGTATACAAGGACATGATGAATGAATACCCATCTATATATCATAGACAATAAATATATTGTTTGCCTTGGCCTGAAAGTTTAAGATAGAAGTTCTCTTTTTGCATCAATAAAAAGAGATACCTTTGTCCCTATATCATCTAGCCCATCACCTTGTCTGATTGTAACCACTAGCTCCTGCCATGATATACCCTTGATATGAACCACTTAGTTTTATCCTGTCCTGAGATTAAAGAAGAATGGTTATCTTGGTCTGTTATATAAAGATGACTTTAAATCCTGTTGTAACTCTACCTGTTTAACAGCAAGGGACATGCATGTGTCATTGATTGAAGTCCAACAATGGCAGGCATCAGTTTAGAGTTTGAAAATCCTGGTCACAGCACCAATATTGAAAGGATATGTCTATTTCTATGACATAAAAAAGCACTTTCTTCTGTAAAATAGGGGATTGTTTCTTAATGAAATATATATATATTTTTACTCACTCAGTCAAATTGTGGCTTTTAATAACATAAATGTCTATCTCTCTGATCATTTTTCTCTTGCCTCCAAAAGTTCTCAACCATGTGAATGGTAGCCAGATAACATAGCTAGAAAATGCACGTCTCACAATCCGATGGATTAATCATCGATGTCTCACAATATCCGATGGATTAATCTTTGGGACTGTGCGTCCGCATTAGACACTTAGATATCTGAAGTAGAAAGTGCATGTCTCATGATCTGCAGGGTTTATCACCTGAACCCTATGCTTCGAAGTGTGCTTTGTTTTACATGCCTTAACCCAGCTTTCTCCATAGAAATTTGTTGATGTAAACTGTATGACATGGTTACTCATTTCAGTTATTTCTTTGAAGAAATGCAAGTACAGTGAAAATGATTCAAAAGGTGAGATACAAACAAGGCTGTTGTTACAGGAGAAGAGTTTACAAAATCTATGAGAGAAAAAAACAGGTGATTTCACAAACAGAAATCAGAATAAGTAAGAAGGCAGGAGATTAAACAGATATATGAACATTGTGACTTGAGATTGTTGTTAGAACAAGTTCTATGTTGATGTATTCTCTAGTAGTATTCATTGATGATATTTCAATAGGTTTGAATCTTTTGAAATCTTCTTGTAGTAAGGATTAAACCTAGTAAGGTTTTAGAGACAGTTTGTCTTGTGTTATATATTGTCACACCGATCTCCAGATGGTTGTACATGTATCATATCATTAAAAATATTATCAGGTTTGGATGGATATCTTAATTTACTTTCACACTTGCCTTTTCTGTACTCAATCAAATTCTTTCATAGATTTGAAATTAAACCACTTTTATTCATTTCTTTTATAAAGGTAGATTTGAAATTCAATCATTAAAAATTGTCTTTAAAATATAGACTGTTTTACTGATAAGAATGTAAAAAGGTAATTTCTACAAGAAGTTGGCATACAATATTCTGATGATACTAGCCCAAGGTTTTTATGTGTCAAGTAATAGCTCTAAGTATCAAGTTTTATCCATTCTAAGTCACAGGGACTTTCATCTCACCATTGTCTCGGCTTAACAAGAAATCCTTCTTGTTTTGAAATTCTTTTTCTGGCTACAAAAACAGAAAATACTGATGTCTTTACAGGTTCATAATCCAAATACAAGTTCAGTAATATTAGGGCAAAATATAAACAGGATAAAGATTTACACAGATTCATAAAAAAGTACAAGGATATGATATAGTATGAAATGATATTTTTGGAAGATGGCCTCGCAAAACGGCACAAGAATTTTATACAGAGAAAAAAAAACAAATGCCTGATAGTGTACTAGGATATATATAAATATAATTTATATAGAAGAAAAATAGTTCCAAACCATATCAGGAAATAGTCCATGAGGGATTGTGCAATAGGTACGTGAAGAAAAATGAGGACTCGCATGACTAGAAATGTTTCATTTGTTAAAATCAAGGATCTGCATGTTGACGTTTGGTGTATAGAAGTTGTACTTTTTGAGTTTCATAGAACATTTCCTTGCTTGTTGATTTCAAACATACCAAGTTGAATCTTTGAAATGTTGCATCTGAACGAACATATTTACTACGGAGAGATTTGTATCCATTTTAAGTAATATGTATATAAGTTTCTTCATGCTAATATTATTGAATCTTCATCATCATTCCATTTCATTTATTGAAATATATGATAAATGATAGTAATTAAGATATAGTGATCGCCTTTTTGTTAAGGTTTTTGTGTACAATTTTCTATCTTTCTTGTTGGTAAATATTCTCTTGTGATTTACGCCTTGTATGACTGATCTCAAACATTTTTGTCTAGTAGATAGGTGTTGTCATTTTAATCCAATACTCTGCAGTCACATTTGATTTTCAAGCTTTGATTGTTATGCGTAAATTATATTTATTAAGTAATTGTCCTTTTTATTCATGATTTGATGAAATGTGATGTTTTTTCTAATTTAACCTAAGCTGTTTTGTAACATATTATTTATTGAATGGGTTTTTTGGCTGCCTGTTTTGGCTTTCCAGCCTTTCAGCAGACAAGAAAACTTGTATCTTTGAACAAGGAACCTTATCTAGTCATGTGATCTAGTCATGTGACCTACCATATCTAACATATGCTCTATGCCATTCTAGCCATACCAAAAGAGTCCATTAACGTGGTGAAGCCCATGTTGCCGGACGCAAGCCCAGGCGTCCGACGTGACGTCGGTACCCAAGGTATACAACCCAGCCTAGGATTTGTAGTACACAATACAGTTCCTGGATGTCTGAGACTTAAAGTGATCATCTTCATGAACACTTTATTTCTCATGTAGTATCACTTGTTTTAGAACATTTCCAACATTTTAGAACAATTTATCATATTCTAATATCGATGGTAGACATGAAAAATTACTTTAGAATAAGAAATTATTATAAATTGAAAGTAAATGGTTATTTTGAACAAGACTCCCATCTATGATGATTTTCAAAAATATTGTTATAATAATATTGTGTATTACAAAACCCAGACACTGGGTACAGTGTGAAAATATTTTCATGTGAATGCCTTGAACCTGCATTTTGAACATATTGAATTGTTCTAAATTCATTTGCTGTGCACATAACAGTCCTGTTGTGTTTAGGACAGACATGGACAAAATGTGTTTGTCTTAAAGAAGTAAACAGAAAAGGCTCTAACATTTGAGCTTTAAACTCAATTGTTTCTGAATGAATGCATGGTGCAACATTTACTAACTCCTTACATTAATGTCTTTAACAGCATCATATGGAATGTAATCCACAACACAGGGTTGTCTGTACTGTAATCCACGACACAGGGTTATCTGTAATGTAATCCACAACACAGGGTTATCTGTGATGTAATCCACAACACAGGGTTATCTGTGATGTAATCCACAACACAGGGTTATCTGTGATTTAATCCACAACACAGGGTTATCTGTGATGTAATCCACCACACAGGGTTATCTGTGATGTAATCCACAACACAGGGTTATCTGTGATTCAATCCACAACACAGGGTTATCTGTGATTTAATCCACAACACAGGGTTATCTGTGATGTAATCCACAACACAGGGTTATCTGTGATGTTATCCACAACACAGGGTTATCTGTGATGTAATCCACAACACAGGGTTATCTGTAATGTAATCCACAACACAGGGTTATCTGTGATTTAATCCACAACACAGGGTTATCTGTGATGTAATCCACAACACAGGGTTATCTGTAATGTAATCCACAACACAGGGTTATCTGTGAAGTTATCCACAACATGGGGTTATCTGTAATGTAATCCACAACACAGGGTTATCTGTGATGTTATCCACAACACAGGGTTATCTGTGATGTAATCCACAACACAGGGTTATCTGTGATGTAATCCACAACACAGGGTTATCTGTGTTTTCCTACATCTTCATTAGGAGTTATCAGGATTTATTCATGTTGTTTGCCTTATTGGAATCTCATCTGTTGGAGTTAAAAAGAAGTCTTGTCAAGGTATGGCAAGATTTTGGTGCAAAAAACAAAGTGTTGGAATGGAAAATGTGTCTAAATCACAGCATCTTAAGGCAGTTAAGTTGAAACAACAAACTTCTTATAATGAAATGAAAGAAACGTGTTGATCAAAGATTTGTCATTTCATTATTTAACTTTAACTCTTTGTTGAAAAGGAGAAACTTATACCTCATATATAGAAACTGGTCTGACCAAATCTGATACATGTGAGGAAAACGTGTTGAAATTACTGAACGGCAACATCGACCATATTTACTGTCACAAATACTGAAAACGGCAGATCGATGTCCTAGTTGATTGATGTTTTAAGTTGTATCAATAATTCTTGTCACAGAATTAAGGAAAAGCCCTGCTTAGGTATTTTATTATGATGTAAATGGTCTTTTTTGTATCCTGTCAATCATTGCAGTATTTGTCAGATTTTTGGTATTGAAATATTTTTGTGAGATTGTAAGAAAATTTCAGAAATCTGTGCAGTGAACTTAATTTGCATGTTTAACTATTTTTGTACATTACCAACCCAGGAATGGGATTGTTGACCAAGTTTTTGCTAACAGCATGAGACCTGTTTAGGTTTGTTCAGTGGCACTGTAAGATCTCTTGGTTGTGAATAATTTACTTAATATATATTTTCTTATGAGAGCAAATGGTTATCAGACTCTAAGTGTTAAGAGGAATAAGTTAGATACTATTTTTCATCCTAAGATTTTTATTTAATTAAGAATAATTCTTTGTATAATTTTTTTTAAAAATCCTTTGTGTAGAAATTAAAACGAAAGTTTCTTTAGTATTGTCACTATTTAGACTTTTTCAATTAGTGATTTCTTTTTATAAACAAATGTACTTAAAAAATATTAGATAAAAAATAGATGGTCAATAGTTTCATGATAATAATATTTTCATCCAAAGCAAATGCACTGTGATCCAGGTGTAGATGGTTTTGTAGCATATATATATCACATGATACTGTACTGTATGTCACATGGCATGTCACATGATGTGTCACATGATGTGTCAGGTGTTCTATCATCTGTATGATCTGTATGTATATTGATCTCAATCATTCATGTAAATAAAACCTATGGAGAGATGTTTGAATAAAAGTTGTCTTCATCTGATCATGGTACTTTGTTTGTCCTGGATTTGCATAAAAATTAACTTAACAGTTTATAATTCATCAACATAGAATATGATGGGAACAGTATGTACTAATTCTCACAAACATTATCTTAGAACCAATCATTTTATTTGCTGCCAGTTTAAAAACGATAAATTCATTTACCACTAGATGAATTGTAAACAAAAGTCAGTCAAATGGCTGAATTATTTTCAGGGAATGCAGATGTTTTAAAAGCGGAGGAAGTGATGTTTATAGTTAATATAAATCTGGTATTATTAGGATGTTTTGTTTCTATGTATTAAGGGTTTGAATAATTTTTTATCCACTGGTAGTGAAATTTGTGTAATAGCATGTGAGTGGTGACTATTATGTGGTAGTACAATAGTTACGGACAGTTCTGTTTGTTGGGTTATATATACCTAAATGTTGTGTTGTTGTGCTTTGTTTGATTAAGTTGCAGATTATTCCACATGTGTAGTATCTTTGTATGTTTTATATTATTGTAACCTGGATGTTGTGCTCTCCATTGTTGGAGAAAAGTCTCATACCTGATTAACTGCATGAAAGGTTGACTGTACTACATGGGTTTATCAGTCACTCCTGGAGAAAACCATTATTTGTTTCCTATTTTTAGTTTAAGTTATATAGTACTGATGAAGAATAACAAATTCTGATGAAGATCTTATATTGTTAGTTAATGTATATTTATTTATTTATTTATTTATTTATTTATTTTCCTTTTTAAAAAATTATATTTCAAAAAAGACCAGATTAACCCTGTAGGTGACGTAGTATTTTTAGTTCCAATATTATTTGATAAGATCTAGACTTTCATATGATTCATTCATTCAGAAATAAATTTCCTTTAAAAGCAGACGTGGACGAGCCATGAATATTACATATAGTCTATTCATCACATGCTTGAGCAAGGAGGATTTGGATCCAAACACAAACACGGGTTTATGACTCCCAACTCAAACCAGTTAAAAATTGATTGGAATTTTTTGCTTGCATTAATAAAATATCCGTCCTATGTTATTTTTATTTTCAATCTGTGTAAATATTTATAAAACTGTGTTTACATTTAGAGTTTACACTTCGAGGAATCCACAAAACTCTGGTCAGAACCCAAGTTATGTAGATTTTACCGTTTCAGCCTCTGATGGTTTCATGCATGGTTGATGTTTAATCCTTTTTGCATTTGATAAATGTTGTTGAGTTCTTTTTATTTTATTTAAGCAGCAGCTTAGTTCATATTGTCTTTATTTATTCATTGAATGATTACTAAAATTTGTAAAAATTGTAAAATTTCTTGATCACTGCAAATACACGACCAAATGTTATTTAAAAAAATAACAAAAAAAATTCAACATATGAAATAAACAGTTAATTTTGGTTAAAAATATATTCTATATGAATCACCCCTGGGGCTATTACTCTATCTATTCTAGTGAATCACCCCTGGGGCTATTACTCTATCTATTCTAGTGAATCACCCCTGGAATCTATCTATTCTAGTGAATCACCCCTGGGGCTATTACTCTATCTATTCTAGTGAATCACCCCTGGGGCTATTACTCTGTCTATTCTAGTGAATCACCCCTGGGGCTATTACTCTGTCTATTCTAGTGAATGAATCACCCCTGGGGCTATTACTCTGTCTATTCTAGTGAATCACCCCTGGGGCTATTACTCTGTGTATTCTAGTGAATCACCCCTGGGGCTATTACTCTATCTATTCTAGTGAATCACCCCTGGGGCTATTACTCTATCTATTCTAGTGAATCACCCCTGGGGCTATTACTCTATCTATTCTAGTGAATCACCCCTGGTGCTATTACTCTATCTATTCTAGTGAATCACCCCTGGAATCTATCTATTCTAGTGAATCACCCCTGGGGCTATTACTCTATCTATTCTAGTGAATCACCCCTGGGGCTATTACTCTGTCTATTCTAGTGAATCACCCCTGGGGCTATTACTCTGTCTATTCTAGTGAATCACCCCTGGGGCTATTACTCTGTCTATTCTAGTGAATCACCCCTGGGGCTATTACTCTGTGTATTCTAGTGAATCACCCCTGGGACTATTACTCTATCTATTCTAGTGAATCACCCCTGGGACTATTACTCTATCTATTCTAGTGAATCACCCCTGGGACTATTACTCTATCTATTCTAGTGAATCACCCCTGGGACTATTACTCTATCTATTCTAGTGAATCACCCCTGGGGCATTTACTGGGACCAGCAGTTTTTAGGGAACTTTAAGGGAGAGTTCGGTGTTAGAATGAGGTGTGTGTACTTTATATGTTTCGGTGGAATAGTCAGGATTTATTATAGATATTAACATACGTATAATTATTTATAGGCATCAAGGCAAGGGTGGATCAACGGATATTTTATTATGGGGTGTTCAATAGAATAAATAAAGCAGATTTTGGATTTACATGATAGAGAGGTCAAATATGAGCTGGGTTGCTGTAAGCATGTGCTTTTGTATGCTGTTTGATTTGCTCATGTGTTGTGTATTGTGCCTGTTATGCCAGCTTTGCTCACCAGTCCCCATGTATTGATAGCCGAGGAGGAGAAGATCATCGTGGACGAAGGCGACCCCTCCACCATCCAGGAAAAGTAAGTGATCATCACATTGAAAAACAGATAACATCGATTAAAGTCGTGTCATTAGGGCATTGGTAACAAAGATTAAAGTCGTGTCATTAGGGCATTTGGCAATTACAACAAGAAACAAAAGACTTAAGTGAATAGCACCTTTTGATACAATAATATGATTAGATACATTGAAGCCAAAAATTAATTAAACTGCATCATACAGCTGTTTCATCCTTCTAGGACTAATGTTAGTCATAAGAATATGAGAGTAGTGGTCTGTTCTAAAAGTATGTAAATTGAGATAGGATTGTTTAGCTGACCTCAGGTGTTCTATAATGTGTATGATTGCCCTCAGGTGTTCCATCATCTGTATGATTGCCCTCAGGTGTTCCATCATCTGTATGATTGTCCTCAGGTGTTCCATCATCTGTATGATTGCCCTCAGGTGTTCCATCATCTGTATGATTGCCCTCAGGTGTTCTATCATCTGTATGATTGTCCTCAGGTGTTCTATAATGTGTATGATTGCCCTCAGGTGTTCTATCATCTGTATGATGTTCCATCATCTGTATGATTGCCCTCAGGTGTTCCATCCTCTGTATGATTGCCCTCATGTGTTCCATCATCTGTATGATTGCCCTCAGGTGTTCCATCATCTGTATGATTGCCCTCAGGTGTTCCATAATGTGTATGATTGCCCTCAGGTGTTCCATAATGTGTATGATTGCCCTCAGGTGTTCCATCATCTGTATGATTGCCTTTAGGTGTTCCATCATCTGTATGATTGCCCTCAGGTGTTCCATCCTATGTATGATTGCCCTCATGTGTTCCATCATCTGTATGCTTGCCCTCAGGTGATCCATCATCTGTACAATTACCTTCAGGTGATCCATCATCTGTATATGTGCTAACACTTAATTAGTAGTGTCAGTCTGAAAATTAATGTGTGCTTTTTTCCTTATAGAACCCTTGTAGACACAGTATACTCCTTACGGGACCAAGTGAAGAACCTTGAGCAAGTGAGTGTTACATTACAGTATCATTAACAATATGCAGAAAATATTTGCAATCGGCTCAAAGTATTTCATAAACTACTGTTATTACTAATCTAGTGATTTGAAAAAAACAGTCTCAACTTGGTTTCTTGATATTTAAGTGTGAATATTAATGTTTAAAGAGATTGCAGTTGATGATGATTTTAAGGTCATATTCTTTCTTACACATTGACAGTAGAGTCTGTCTAATTTAGACCTACATTTGGTGGGATCCTTGGGCCTTTATCTTTTATCAGTGTTGTCATCAATTGAACTTTGTGTGTTTTCAACAGGAGCAAAAGAAGATAAAGAGGGAACTTGAAGAGGAAACAAAAGCACGAAAACGACTAGAGACAAAATTTCACAAAGCATTAAAAAATCGTACGGATTTACCGTGGGACGAGAACATGACATAGAGAGTAGAATTTAATATAATGTATTTATATAAATCCATGGTAGAATATTTATCTTCATTCATGTCCTCTGTGTTGGAATATAGTCAGAATCACAATAATAGGTCACAGCAACAATTTATCAAGTGCCAACATCGTACTGTGTTTCTTACGATCATTAAACAATGGCGGCCATATGCTGGATCACCCCTAAAGTGTCCTGAAGGGGAAATCACCCCAAAGATATAATGGAGAGGAAATTCCTGAAGTGGGAATTATAACGTGTCTGAAGGGGAAATCATCCAAGTGTCTTTGTGGGAAATTCTTCCCTAAAGTGTCTTAGAGGGAAATTCTTCCTTAAAGTGTCTTAGAGGGGAATTCTTCCTGAAGTGTTTGAACAGTAATATGTAACAGCCACAGTAATCATCACTTACAAATGATAAAGTCATTCTCACAGGAAAATTTTATCATCAGTTAGGAAACTGTTACACAAAGTTTACTACTAATGACGTGAAATGTTTAAAAAGTCTGTCTTAAATGTTATAACAGACAGGTGATGGTGAACTTCATTTCTGTGATTTGTGTAAATCAAATTTGAGTCAACTGTATTGTATTAGGTCCTGCATTCATCAATCTTAGCATGTTATTTACACGTTTTCAAGGGAGGTAACTCTTCATTCTGCAATGGTGTCTAGGAAAACTCAGGAAGTGAACCAAAGAGTTTGTTTGGTACATCACAGTCGTGATATTCCTCACTGCTTTAAAAATAAACCATTGGTATAATTGTTTGATATATGCTGAGAGTGATTTTTAATGTTAGGCTGTGATTTCTTAATCCTTGAACAATATATTGTGGAATAATTTGTACACCAAACAAATATATATATATATACAAACACGTGTAAAGTTCCTTACATATGCAGTTAGCCCACCTCCCATCAACTTACATTGAATAAAGAAGTATTATTATATGAGAAGGATTGAGGTCTGAAGTTTTATAACATTGTTAGGTCAACATGAATAAAAAAGAAATGATTGTTATGTTTTGAAGTGAGATTTGAGGACTAAGTGTTACTGAATATACCAGTCCACTACCATTTCACCATCTTTTTCTACAGTAAATATTAAGTGGAGCAAAAAGTGTATTTTTTTGGGGTGTTTTTTTTGGAGGGATAGAGTATGCCCATATTTAAATGCTAATACAGTGTCACGTTATCCCCACTATACACAACAAAGATATTGTCAGAAATCATTTTCACAATTTCTTCAGTATATTTCATGTTGAAATATTTATTCCAAAATTTTGCATTGGTAGCTTTGAAACTTGATAGAAAAAGTTTCAGAAATTGGTTATCCCATATCAAAGGGGAGATAGCCGATGAGTATTTAGAATTCATTTTGTAAACTTTGACACATTTTTGACCATATCAAACAGTAACTTGTCCATTCTCTACAAGTCTGCATGTATTGAAGTTCGCAATGATAATGATGTCCGGTGTCATCTTTAAAGTCACCATGTGTTCAAAAAGCTCAATTGTTTACCGTCCTAAAAACTCTACAGATAACAAAGTGTAGATCAGAAACAACAGATTATGGGGTAGCTGTAATCATGTTTCACAAATTGTGATTAAATTGTCCACTTAACAGTTCTGTTAGAGTGTAGTGATACATTATTATGATTCCTGTCCACAAAAGAGTCATCCTCGGAACATTTTGAGTAACATCATCTGAAAAGTAAATAAATTTTTTTATCTGATATTAAAAAGGGCATTTTTTGTCATTGATTATTGCCTGACTGAGCAAGCGTTGTTATCATGTTCCTAGTAATCCATATCATATGAAACTTGTAGAGATTTAGCATGTGAACATAAGTGAATGGCGCATAATAATCTGTTTTAAGTTTTGACGATTGAATAAATTTTCAAATGAAACTTTGGTTGCAGAAAACCACCGTTTTGATTTTGAAAAAATCAACAATTTCAGCAAATCATTTAACGGATGAACATAATTGAGTGGCAAAAAATGAAAAGGTTGAATGTTGTATCAGTAATCTTGTGATATGCCAAGGTACTTACAGCTTAATGAAACCATTTTGGTGTATTGATGACATCCTTGCTGTAGAATGGTACATGCTGTTAGTAAAGCTGTCTCGTGTTATGTCATATTCAGTTCTCTCTAAATTGTCATTTACTTTCTCATGGGACCAGACTCAAAGTTGTCTTGGGTATGTAGTCGCACATTAAAATAATTTACAGGTAATTGACCGAAACTAATCAGGGAATCTGTTTTTGTTGTTCACAGAATCAGCATATCATGAATTCATCAAATTTGTTAAATTGATTAAAGATTAAACATATTGTACACAAGGTCTCTCCAGAACTATTGCCCCAGATGCACAAAATGACAGAAGTCTAAATTGCCTATGTTAGTTTTCCTTTTGTATATCTTTGATTCTGCAGATAAATCAGTATTTAAATGTTGGTAATTACACTGTATGTGGATTAGTATATAAAATTTAATGTTGAAATGTTGGAAGAGTCTAAATTTTTTTCATGAACCTATGCATAGTTTTGTTTAAATTTGTTGATAAAATCTTTGTTTTGTCAGGCGTATTATTATTACACATGAGAAAACATGGTATGCTGATAATTTACAACCATGTCAAGGACTGCTGTTTCTTTGTAAATCAACAGACCATGAATGATTTCTTGATACTGTGGAGATAATTCTGTTGTACTGAGGGAGTTCTTTCTACTGTATTGTGAAGAATACTTCCTGGTATAATGGTGTTTTCTCTCAGTATCCTGAAGTCATTATCTATAGTGTTACAGAAATAACTCCAGTGTTTTACTTATTTAATGTCTCAGTTCTGTTGTAGAAATATAAAATGATAAAATTAATTTGAATGAATTATGATGTAATAAAATTTAAAAATCAAAATAACTTGTTTGTTGTAATTCCGGCATTTTAAGCCAGCCAACGTCACTCATGCCATTTTCTGTAAGAAATACCAGTGGAATCTATTTTGAAGTCATGTTGAAGGTAAGTAAAGCAGATGAATGACATCTTGGATTTTGACATTTTGAAGAAGATAAACTTAAGTCTTTTATGAAAAATTTTCATGGTTCTGGAGACTAAATGGAATGCTTAAAGAAAACTGACATATTAGAAATCCTTCTTCCAAACACTAATCCTTGTCAATAAGTCAAATGATGCCTTTGATCAACAACAACTGCCAGCACAGCATTACTTATCTATATATCAAAGTAATGGGTAATCAGAAAACTGAAGATTACCCCCAGATCATCAGATAGTGACTCCAGGATCATCAGATGGTGACTCCAGCATCATCAGATGGTGACTCCAGGATCATCCAATGGTGACTCCAGGATCATCAGATGGTGACTCCAGGATCATCAGATGGTGACTCCAGCATCATCAGATGGTGACTCCAGCATCATCCAATGGTGACTCTAGGATCATCAGATGGTGACTCCAGGATCATCAGATGGTGACTCTAGGATCATCAGATGGTGACTCCAAAATTATCACATGGTGAATACAGAAATCATCAGACAGTGACTCCAGGAGCATCCTATGGTTACTCCAGGATCATCTGATTGTGACTCCAAAAATTATCAGATGGTGAATACAGAAATCATCAGACAGTGACTCCAGGATCATCCAATGGTGTCTCCAGAAATCATCACATGGTGAATACAGAAATCATCACATGGTGAATACAGAAATCATCACATGGTGAATACAGAAATCATCAGATGGTGACTCCAGAAATCATCAGGTGGTGACTCCAGAAATCATCACATGGTGAATACTGAAATAATCAGATGGTGACTCCAGGATCATCAGATGGTAACTCCAAAAATTATCAGGTGGTGACTCCAGAAATCATCTGATAGTGACTCCAGAAATCATCAGATGATGACTCAGACTCCAGAAATCATCAGATAGTGACTCCAGGATCATCAGATGGTGACTCCAGGATCATCAGGTAGTGACTCCAGGATCATCAGGTAGTGACTCCAGAAATCATCAGATATTCCCCAGATCAGAATTATGACAGACAGATGGACAAACAAACAGATGGACTACACAGCAATTAGGTGATTAAAAGTCTAAATTATGAAACTTAGCAGATGAAGAATGAAAATCAAAGGAGGTTGAAAAAACTTACAAAACCAAATATGGAGGTGTAGTTAACCCCTCAATCTAAGGAATTTCAGATTGTCAGAAGACCGTCTGGGCTATTTGAATGAGTGACTGACAACACAACAGTAATATTTTTTAAACATGTTTTATTAAGTCAAATTGTAATGAGGATAATTGTCATCACAAAACATTTTAATTATTATGTTTGGTTACGTAAAGGTCTAAACATCATATCACAGTACACTACAGCACTACCTGTTACCTTAAATTAGAGAGAGGCACATACATAACATTAAATCTGGTTCAATGTGGGCTCTTCATTATTTCAGCAATTAATCTGATTTCATTGGAAATAATTACTGGAGAAACAATGATTATTTAATATTAAATAAAAACGTACTTAGGTAACTAAAAACTATCGGTAACTTGGAGTATTTAACCATTTTCAATCCATTGAAAGACACCAAGATGGTTTAGTATAAATCTTGATGATTTAGCTACCAAAACAGTTCAGATATGAGGTAATTGTGTAATTTATTTCCTCTGTATGATGTAGACAAAAATAATTTCGAATTTCAACATACAAATTTATGAAGCTAAACATCCAAATAATTATCCAAAAGGATGATATTCTCTGTCTACACCTCACAGGAGTAATTGTTTCCTTCTCAAACTTTTGTGCTGAAAGTTGATAGAATCAATGATGCATGAAATAGGTGACATCAAGCTTAGGGTGACATGGTTGAGTCAGCACTTTTACTGCATAGAAATGATGTGGGTGAAACCATTTCCACATAGGAATAGGAACACACAGTTAATCATTTTCCTTTTGAAAAGAGACACAAGTATTTATGAACGGTTGCAGTATCCTAAGTATGGCATTGCCTACTACTTCTTCTTAAAGAAAGACATCATGGTTTTCTGCTTGGTGTTGCCAGTTGGTGGTGATTTCTTCACAGGTGATTTCTGTAAAAAAGTAAACTCAAATCAATTAAAACAATACACTTCTGTATGATTAAGTTATAAATACTTGTTTCCTACAATTCGCATATTCTGTATAGTTTAAAACATGCAGGGAATTTGAAACTGTTTAAAAATTCCTTTTCTATTAAATATTAATCCACGGTTTAAATCTTCAAAAAATTTATTATAATACAGGCAGTTGGAAAGCCTTTTGACGAGTACTTCATTTGTTTTTACTTATGGAAACTGTTTAACATATTTTCACATTCCATTTAAGAGAGACATGAATCTTATTTTCATACACTGTTACTGAAGTCAATAAACTTGAATATTTCTAACTTACCTGTGGAGACTTTTTCTGTTGCAGTTTAGGTGTCTCCTTGGCAACTGCAGGAGCAGGTTCAACGTCAGAGGCATCAGTTGATTCACTCTCCCAAACTTTTTCTGTCACTGAAACATTTAAAAAAAAATTATGTAATTAATTGTTAAAGATAATTTGTTGTTTTAGCATTTTAATTTGATAAATGGAAATCTCTGTTTTTCTGAAACAATGTAGGCTTTAAAATCATTAAATGAAAAGGTGCTTTCCTTACTGGCATTGTCATTTTACAGTTTTTGGAAAGAGTTATCGCCCTTTGGTTTTGGCATTTCTTCTTGTACAGAAATCTTCCCCTCAGTTTTCAACCAATTACTAAGAGTTACTGTGCAAAAGAACTGTAGGTTACAATACTGAGAGTTACTGAGGAACAGAAATGTTATCACTGGTTTCTTATCCATGCAATTGATATGTGAGATAAACGGAGTGCTCAAAACTTTCTAGTATTAAGAATATAACTGAAGGTTTACTCCGACATACGTCAGGTTTAATTAAATATTTGCTTCAGGATTTTATGCAAATAGTCTGAAAACTAAGTGCACACAACAAAATCCTGTTATACAAGATTCAGTGAAACCAATATATTGTACAATATTTTCTGGTCAATATTGTTTATTATCTCTAAAAGCATGCATTGTTTCTGATCATAGAACTCGCTTTTATTGTGTTCAGTTAAGTCTAATGTTTTCTTTCTCTTTGCAGTTCCAGCGTAATCATTTGTTGTGATAACATACAAAGAAATCATGAGATAATCATTTTTAACCAGGGAGACATAAATATGAAATTTGAGAAAGATTACTTTGTGACAAAAGGCAATCCTAATCTTTAGATGTCTATTTCTCCCAAATTAAAACTGAACAAACACAGTTAAGGAGCATGGGAAATCTGTATACAAAATGTGAGGATGATTCATCCTTATCTTCTGTAGAGCAAAACATGTAACAAGAACAGTTTATGTTCAAACCTACAATTTTAGTGACGCAGAAGCCACTAGGCCTCTGATCATCAACAGCCACTGCTAATTTCAGCTGTGGGACAGTTGAAACTCTAGGAAATGCTTTAACTATGGTCCTGACACAACTTCACACTTACCCATATATCCATCTTCGTCCATAAATGTTTTTGGCACCTGCCGACGTCGCCGTTTGCGTCTCCTCTCACCTGTCTCCCTTTTCTCTGGTGAAAGCTTTTGTGGTGAGTGTTTCTTTGGTTGTGTAATTTCCATTTCCTCATCAGAGTCTGAGGCGAGGACAGCCACAGGCTCTCGTACTGGACTAGGGACTGCAATGTCTATCTCCACATCTATAGTGATATTGTTCAATAATGAATATAAAAAGCGGGTTACTGATGTCTACAGCTATTCTGATAATTGATGTTTCTCAAACTCAAAAGATGGGATGGAGGCTGTAGTGTGTGTTTTGAGACAAGATCATCGCTGGAGTAAGATATAAATAAAATTACTTCATGAAACAATGACTGACTGATACAGCGTGCATACTGATATCTTTGTCAAGGTCAAAAGTCAAATAGTGATGAGAATTATCACTTTTGGGCTATACTTTCCTGTCATATTTTCATGGAGCTAAAATTGTGGGGTTTAGCACTTCATTTCATTGATAAATATTACTCATGACATCAATCAAATGGCATGCCATTTTTTAACGATTGATATTTCTTGGATGTGTGAAGTCTTGGATCAATAGATTCAACAAAATACATGAAAATAAAGCTCCAATGAAAATTTTAAAAATTTCAAAAGCGATTCTCATAAAATACAAAATTCTACAAACAGGACAACCCAGCCGTCATCTGTGGTAACAAGAGGCATATACCTACATTTCCCTCCGTTAACTGAATTCAATCATCATTGTTATACTGTTGTGGCTGTATAAACCTACCTTCCTCATCACTACTACTTGTTATACTGTTGTGACAGTATAAACCTACCTTCCTCATCACTACTACATGTTATACTGTTGTGACAGTATAAACCTACCTTCCTCATCACTACTACTTGTTATACTGTTGTGGCTGTATAAACCTACCTTCCTCATCACTACTACTTGTTATACTGTTGTGACAGTATAAACCTACCTTCCTCATCACTACTACTTGTTATACTGTTGTGACAGTATAAACCTACCTTCCTCATCACTACTACTTGTTATACTGTTGTGACAGTATAAACCTACCTTCCTCATCACTACTACTTGTTATACTGTTGTGGCTGTATAAACTTACCTTCCTCATCACTACTACTTGTTATACTGTTGTGGCTGTATAAACCTACCTTCCTCATCACTACTACTTGTTATACTGTTGTGGCTGTATAAACCTACCTTCCTCATCACTACTACTGTCAAATAAATCCTGTTTTATCCGTCGTCGCTTTTTCTTGGTTTCCAACTCATCGTCTAAAAGGTAAAGATTTCAGGTCAGAGGCAGAAAGACAAAATGATGGAAGGCAGTCAGTAGAGAAAAGGTCATTTGTATAGACAGAGGCAGATAAAGACAGCGATAAAAAACAGTAGAGGTAACAGAATATATACAGACACAGTAGAGGTAACAGAATATATACAGACACAGTAGAGGTAACAGAATATATACAGACACAGTAGAGGTAACAGAATATATACAGACACAGTAGAGGTAACAGAATATATACAGACACAGTAGAGGTAACAGAATATATACAGACACAGTAGAGGTAACAGAATATATACAGACACAGTAGAGGTGACAATATATACAGACACAGTAGAGGTAACAGAATATATACAGACACAGTAGAGGTAACAGAATATATACAGACAAAGTAGAGGTAGCAGAATATATACAGACACAGTAGAGGTAACAGAATATATACAGACAAAGTAGAGGTAACAGAATATATACAGACACAGTAGAGGTGACAATATATACAGACACAGTAGAGGTAACAGAATATATACAGACACAGTAGAGGTAACAGAATATATACTGACACAGTAGAGGTAACAGAATATATACAGACACAGTAGAGGTGACAATATATACAGACACAGTAGAGGTAACAGAATATATACTGACACAGTAGAGGTAGCAGAATATATACAGACACAGTAGAGGTGACAATATATACAGACACAGTAGAGGTAACAGAATATATACAGACACAGTAGAGGTGACAATATATACAGACACAGTAGAGGTAACAGAATATATACAGACACAGTAGAGGTGACAATATATACAGACACAGTAGAGGTAACACAATATATACTGACACAGTAGAGGTAACAGAATATATACAGACACAGTAGAGGTAACAATATATACAGACACAGTAGAGGTAACAGAATATATACTGACACAGTAGAGGTAACAGAATATATACTGAGGTGACAATATATACAGACACAGTAGAGGTAACAGAATATATACAGACACAGTAGAGGTGACAATATATACAGACACAGTAGAGGTAACAGAATATATACAGACACAGTAGAGGTGATAATATATACAGACACAGTAGAGGTAACAGAATATATACTGACACAGTAGAGGTAACAGAATATATACTGACACAGTAGAGGTAACAGAATATATACAGACACAGTAGAGGTGACAATATATACAGACACAGTAGAGGTAACAGAATATATACAGACACAGTAGAGGTAACAGAATATATACACACAGTAGAGGTGACAGAATATATACAGACACAGTAGAGGTAACAGAATATATACTGACACAGTAGAGGTAACAGAATATATACAGACACAGTAGAGGTAACAGAATATATACAGACATAGTGGAGGTAACAGAATATATACAGACACAGTAGAGGTAACAGAATATATACTGACAATGTAGAGGTAACAGAATATATACAGACACAGTAGAGGTAACAGAATATATACTGACACAGTAGAGGTAACAGAATATATACACACAGTAGAGGTGACAGAATATATACACACAGTAGAGGTAACAGAATATATACAGACACAGTAGAGGTAACAGAATATATACAGACACAGTAGAGGTAACAGAATATATACTGACAATGTAGAGGTAACAGAATATATACAGACACAGTAGAGGTAACAGAATATATACTGACAATGTAGAGGTAACAGAATATATACTGACAATGTAGAGGTAAATGTTGATCACAAACCATAACGTTTATTTACCTGAATCATGTTTTCCTTTGTTTATTTACCTGAATCATGTTTTCCTTTGTTTATTTACCTGAATCGTGTTTCTTTTGTTTATTTACCTGAATCGTGTTTCTTTTGTTTATTTACCTGAATCATGTTTTCCTTTGTTTATTTACCTGAATCGTGTTTCTTTTGTTTATTTACCTGAATCGTGTTTCTTTTGTTTATTTACCTGAATCATGTTTTCCTTTGTTTATTTACCTGAATCATGTTTTCCTTCGTTTATTTACCTGAATCATGTTTTCTTTTGTTTATTTACCTGAATCATGTTTTCTTTTGTTTATTTACCTGAATCATGTTTTCTTTTGTTTATTTACCTGAATCATGTTTTCTTTTGTTTATTTACCTGAATGGTGTTTCTTTTGTTTATTTACCTGAATCATGTTTTCTTTTGTTTATTTACCTGAATCATGTTTTCTTTTGTTTATTTACCTGAATCATGTTTTCTTTTGTTTATTTACCTGAATCATGTTTTCCTTCGTTTATTTACCTGAATCATGTTTTCTTTTGTTTATTTACCTGAATCATGTTTTCCTTCGTTTATTTACCTGAATCATGTTTTCTTTTGTTTATTTACCTGAATCATGTTTTCTTTTGTTTATTTACCTGAATCATGTTTTCCTTCGTTTATTTACCTGAATCATGTTTTCTTTTGTTTATTTACCTGAATCATGTTTTCTTTTGTTTATTTACCTGAATCATGTTTTCTTTTGTTTATTTACCTGAATCATGTTTTCTTTTGTTTATTTACCTGAATCATGTTTTCTTTTGTTTATTTACCTGAATCATGTTTTCTTTTGTTTATTTACCTGAATGGTGTTTCTTTTGTTTATTTACCTGAATCATGTTTTCTTTTGTTTATTTACCTGAATCATGTTTTCTTTTGTTTATTTACCTGAATGGTGTTTCTTTTGTTTATTTACCTGAATCATGTTTTCCTTTGTTTATTTACCTGAATCGTGTTTCTTTTGTTTATTTACCTGAATCATGTTTCTTTTGTTTATTTACCTGAATCATGTTTTCCTTTGTTTATTTACCTGAATCGTGTTTCTTTTGTTTATTTACCTGAATCATGTTTTCCTTTGTTTATTTACCTGAATGGTGTTTCTTTTGTTTATTTACCTGAATCATGTTTTCTTTTGTTTATTTACCTGAATCATGTTTTCTTTTGTTTATTTACCTGAATGGTGTTTCTTTTGTTTATTTACCTGAATCATGTTTTCCTTTGTTTATTTACCTGAATCATGTTTTCTTTTGTTTATTTACCTGAATGGTGTTTCTTTTGTTTATTTACCTGAATCATGTTTTCTTTTGTTTATTTACCTGAATCATGTTTTCTTTTGTTTATTTACCTGAATGGTGTTTCTTTTGTTTATTTACCTGAATCATGTTTTCCTTTGTTTATTTACTTGAATCGTGTTTCTTTTGTTTATTTACCTGAATCATGTTTTCTTTTGTTTATTTACCTGAATCGTGTTTTCTTGATGTTTTCTTTGTAACTTTAGTTGGTTGAGCTCTAAAAATGTAAAAAGAAAATCAGTGAAACTGATGAATGCTTCCGTAGAAAAACTTCATTGGACACAAAATTTTAACAAAGGGCAACAATTTCATAATTAAAGGTTTGCAGGACCTGAATTTGTATACAGCACATGCTCTTATTATGACCAATGTATTGAGTACACAGGTTTATAGTACAGCCAAAAAAGTTGGTCGATTCCTTACCATCTCATACACTACATGTCAGCACTGGTTTGCTCCACATTGGTCAACGGTCTGATGAAGGTGACCTTGTAATCACTAAAACCTAACACTTTAAACTTCTACTGGTTGTGTTATAAGAACTTCTATTGTACTGACATTACCGACCCGAAGTAAATGTTCCAAAAGAAACAAATTTACACGATGGAAACAAAGCAATGCAACTCTGTAACGCAATTAACGAATATATCTGACCCCACTCCTCCTGCTCAAGGGAGTTGAGGCACATCATTTATACAAAATTGATTTCTCTTCACCTAAGAATGCTTCAGACCAAAATTTGAGCAAAATCCAATCAGTCCTACAGGAGAAGAAGGATTTTAAAGAACTTGTGACAAAATGTGACAGGACATTAAATCACAACAGAGTCAGTGCCTCAACAACATCAGTCATGAATTATGAACACTGTATTAATTTATCCCTTTGACAAGCTGAACCAAGGTTGCTCATGTATTTAATAAAAATGGAACTACTGATCTTACTCAGCTTTCTGACAAGCCTTTTGAGGACTAAATCAATATTCACAGGTCAGTTCTGCTTGAAATACTGTGTTGACAATGTCATGTCCGCAACATGCCCCAGATCTACAAAACCATATACCCACTTTTTCTTTGGAGGAGAAGGATCATCCTGCACTTCCTTTTTGACAGTCGGTTTTGGCTCCTGTTTTACTGACTGTTCTGGCTTTTTATCTGAAATAAACAAAAAAGTCTGCTGTCATAGAAAGAAACTATCTGTTCAGTAATATTTTTCCAAATAAAATAAAAAAAATTGATGTTTTACTGGCTTTACAAGAGCAGACCTTGGCGTAAGCATCTAGCTCTATCTACCTGGAGATAATAGGATATCTGTCTCTTCTCACTAAGGGCTAGGCTGAGGTAACTTCTGACAGAATATCAAGGGTTGGGCTTATTACAAGACACAAGGAAGATAGATAACTTCTGACTCAATATCAAGGGTTGGGCTTATTACAAGACACCAGGAAGACACATAACTTCTGACTCAATATCAAGGGTGGGGCTTATTACAAGACACCAGGAAGACACATAACTTCTGACTCAATATCAAGGGTGGGGCTTATTACAAGACACCAGGAAGACACATAATTTCTGACTCAATATCAAGGGTGGGGCTTATTACAAGACACCAGGAAGACACATAACTTCTGACTCAATATCAAGGGTGGGGCTTATTACAAGACACCAGGAAGACACATAACTTCTGACTCAATATCAACAGGGTATGTAAATGGTAGCATGGTTTTATTGCCACATAATACAAAAAATTACTGAACATCAACTCAAGATATCCTATTTATCATCTAGACTTAAGAAATTGAAGTAAAGAATAAACACAATATTAGTACCTGTTTGTTTGGAAAAGAATGCCATCATTCCTCCCTTCTTAGCTGATGAAGAGCTCTGAAAAAATAATACACAGAAAATATTTACAATTACTATATTCAAAATTTCATGAGAACACAGCACATCGTCAAGCCAACTTGTCTGTCATTCATCTGATCAACTCAGTACCAGGAAGTATGTTTGTAAAACTGAAGGGAATCTTTCAATGGGAAAAGACTTACAGTTAGTGATGGACCAATAATCAAAATCAATTATAATTTAATTAAGGAAATGAAACAAACTTAACCACAAAAAATTCAAAGTTGGTTTGCCCAATCTTATGTATTGTATAGAAAAAATGCTCACTGAGTACAGACGTGTGTTAATTTACAGAGAAGTGAACTTATTGCAAAGTCACTGTTATAGAGCAAATGAGTTCATGGGAGAAATTAAAACCATGCTATCAGATGCAGAATGACCTAAGCAACTAGATATTAATTTGCTGGAGAATTGTTAACTTACTGTTAAAGTTGATTTTATGAGAAACATGTGTTGCCTGATATTTTTTGTAGTAAACTCACCTTGTCAGCTTTGTTTTCCTTTATTCCATTTTCCTGCTTCACCTCCTCCTTCTTTTTATCGTCCACATTTTCCTGCTTCACCTCCTCCTTCTTTGTATCGTCCACCTTCTTTGCTGCTTTGGCAAACATACCAGCGATGCCTGCTTTCTGCTGTGGTTTGGTAGGAGGATTGCTTTGTCCATTTGTAGTTGATGTGCCATTTGTCTGCAATCAAATTGATATTACAGAGCAGTTAGTCATCAAAATTACACAATTCCATAGGGATCATGGCACCCACCAACTTCTTAAACTGTCAAATCCAAGATCTTACTGAACAACATACAGGAGGCCCATTTCAACCACATCAGTCCCCAAGGACATGACCATGACAGCACAGACCATCCATTTCTCAGCTTCCTGAGAGACACGAACCTCCAAGACAGTGTCAGTGTTGGTATCAACTGACACACACACAACTTCACTTGAGGTTATATAAACCAAAGCTCTATTGACTGCATTATTGAACGAGTTATCATAGCCTTTAAATACATTAATAAAACCAGAACTACACTCAATATCTTACAGACCTTTTCTTTCTATACATCTTGAATCTTATTATCAAACAACACTTACTCTGACCTGCTTCTTTGGTTGTACTGCTTGCGAGACAGAAGTTTTACGTAACGCCTCGATCTCTGTTCCAGATCTTAATTTGGCTTTGGGAAACTTGATAGATGTGAAACTGGAAATACACAAAGGAAAATATCTTTAAGACAAAAATTGAAATACATTTGTTCACAATAATTCATCAGAGATAGATCATAGTACGTATTAAGATATAAAACTAGGGGTAGGCAAGAATATCGCACAAAATTTGTCTATTTACATTATACTGCGATATAATTTTCGGTATTGCAATATATTGCAGCAACTTTCAACAATTGCTTGAGGAATTTAACAGCAGAACATAAATGATTTTGCAGAGAATTTTTTATTCCAACCCAAATTCATCTTGTTTGATGTATTCTTAAAATTTTGAGGTGTTATATAATTTCTATGTAGTTTATTGTACATCACTGTATCAGCTATTGCTCTATAATGTACATATCTGTTCCACAAATATAACTACACTAAAATACAATATAACATTCCTTTAAATATTGCAATACATTTCTATACAAAAATGTTTGCAATACCAACGTGGATATCAACTAAGGAATTTTTCCGTTTTTCCCCGAGGTCATTGTGAATCACTAGTATAAAAAGTATAGTGATATTTAACATAAGTACAAGCGATATTTCCAAGTTACAGATCAAGTGTAATTGATTAATTCTGTCACAATAGGAGTTGCTACATTTTATCGATTGGTAAGTTTTCAAGTTTGAAGCACTGTACACAGGGTACAATAAATCTTGTTTTTATGTTGGAAATCTTCGTCACAATATTATCATTACTGATGGTCTATCTCTAGAGACAAAATACCAAATTACCATATATATGTATCTAATATTAAATAGAAATGAGGGACTTTACATATTTGTAAATATTTTTTAATTCAATTTGAGGAAGACTCAAAACTGTAAGGGTACTTAATTTAGTGCATTCAAATATTAGCAAACTACCAATTTGCAGCAAAGGACCACAATGAATTCATGTATCGGTAAAAATCAGATTACTGTTACAAATATATTTGTTTACTGGATAACAGATATTCTAAGCCTTAAGAAATTGCATCATCAGACACAAGCAAGCTGAATGCAGATTTACAATAACATTTCCAATACCAACTCATCGTGTATTTCACATCCCAGAACATTATCTTCCCAGTATTAGTATCTGTTGACCAGACTTCAGCAAATTTAAATATATAATCAATTAACTTCATGTGATCTGTAACCATATATGATTATTGAACTTTTCAAAATTCATGAAAATTAACATTCTTGTAAAGTTCTAAGTTTGTCCAATAATAGAATTTGTGGCACTTACAAACATATATATTGTATACTCTTAAAGATTAGCATGCTTTTGACAAATACAGATGACCTATATTTTATTAATCTTGTTTCCTCACATTTCTTGAAATCAAGAAAGTTGTTTTTTTTATTTAAAATTTAAAAGTTTTCTTTCACTTACTTGCTGGATTCCTTAATAGAATCATATTCTGCTGTGTACAGGGCACTAGGATCCTGTGAGAAAGAAAAGCAACCATATTCTTCATTTTCAGCTTTTGGGATTTTTTTTTAATCACGTGACCCTGAGGATAGGTATGAAGTAAACATTTTGCTTCCATCTTGGTAACTTACTGGTCAAATACAACACCAGGATGTGGACTAGAGCTTCCACTAAATATCCGATTTGAGGGTTGACTTTATAACAGCTTTTTTCCTAGTGCAAATAATGTTTACTATATTTGAAATGAAATCAGAAAACAAGCATTGCATCAACCTAGTAATGTGGAGTAGTTTAAAAAAAGGACACATAATTAAGATACATGGCTGTGTAAAAGCTTTCTGAAGATTTGAGATACACATTTTTACCATAATCAACCTACTTTTAGTTTGGCTTTCTGTACACTGTATATATGAGAACTGGTTACCACAGCCAGAGAACTACGATATGCCTCCAAGTCTTCCTCTTTCACTACTGTGCATTTATGGGTCTATAAAAAAAAAATACATTTTCTTCATACAAACAGGAGAAAAATATTTCTGAGCGCAAATTGATTTTCTGTTTTATCTTATAACTTTTTTAATATTTTGTTTGCTGAAAACAGTAGTCAAACAAGATGTGTTTATGTAACACTATGCCTCTGGTTGCAGTAAAATTCTGAAATGGGTCAAAAATGGTAAAAAATTTTGGTACCACCAGAAAGGTCTTGTAAAAGCAAGAGGCACAAGGGCCTTTATGGTCAGCTGAGTCACAATGCTTTTTGTAAAAGTCACTGAAATGATTTTGTTAAAAAAAAAGGAAGATAATTTTAACTACGTTGTACACATAATGCAAATGTAAATTGTGCATAACATTAGCTGCTGTCTCATGCTAAGGCTTCTAACCAAGTTTGATTTAAAAGAAATTACCCTCCTCCTATATAAAATCTGCCATCTAGGAACAGTAGAACATCTTTGAATTTTCATTCAATTTGACCAATTCTTTATCCCACCTATCAGCCCCATAGGGGTCAGCTGAGGTCAATATATGCATGTCATCAAACTGTCAGCTTGTATTTATAAAAAAGAAATTCTATCTTTCAACTATATCCAAAAGAAATTAGACAAATTATGCTCAAAAATGTAATATTTTTATATAAACTACAGTAAATGTTACCCCTCCCTAACGGGAAATATGAGACCCCGAGGTCATAAAACTAACAATTTTGGTGAAGTACCTTAAGATACTTTCATTCATAAAAAGTATTTGGTTCTAAATTATCTGGGTACTGAGAAGATGGAATTTTTTTTCAAATTCAACCCGTTTCACCTCACATTTCACTATATGTCCTAGATATTATTACATGGCATGTCCCAGATAACATTACACTGTATATCGCTGATAATATCAAGGATGCCTGTTTGATACTGTGTATTAATTACCTGATGACCATTTAAAGGTTTGGTCAGCCCAGCTACAAAGTAGGTCACAGACAAATTGTCGTTGTCATGGTTGTTCCTCTGGTCTTGGATAAATGCATAAAGCATTCTGCAGGGGAAGAAACAAACAATTAAGTATATTTATGTGTGTTGGATTCCTGTGAAATAATTACACTGAGTAGATATCCAATGATAAACTAAGGCATCACCATATCCAGAATTCGATATTTGGTGTTTAACCAAGATATCCTTAACACTGAGAGAAGACAGCAGTGCTATATTTATTAAAATATTCATCAACTGTTTGTAGTAAAATATCCACCACGCTTTTGTAGATATCTAGTAATAACCTTCAGGAAGATATCAGATAAACTAAAACACACTTCGGTAGCATGGACTCCCAGAAACAGAGATAAACCTTAACAGGTATCTAGTGATCAATTAAGACATCCTCCACCCTGACTTGAGATACAAACTTCATCACATGGCATATCAGTTGTGAAACTGGTGTCGTTCTAGAATAAACTCTAGATATTATTCACTCTGTGTTAGACATCTACAGACAAAGACACCCATCATAAGTTTGCAATGATATCAATGATATAAGGAGTTTACTCATACTCACTTCAACCCGATGCAAAGAAATAAAAACATCTTTAAAAAAAATATTGAAAATAATGGATACATGATCACAAAAAATTGGTACGAGACTGCCAATTTCTATGGGTACTCGTTAATCAAACCTGGGTATGAGTGGACATAGGTGGGTACAAGTTGGAATGAGTAAGCTAGATACCAGATGAAATTAGATATTCGTCTTACTGAGGAAGATATACTCTGATAAATCAAGATATCTCTTACACTGAAACATATCCAGTGATTTAATAGGTATTTCATAATGTTTAACATATTATATTAACACTATAGTAAACATATGCAGTAAAATACATGGTCTGCATGTCCTTTTCACAGAGTTGAACAAACATATCCTCATATCTTACTGTTTGGCCTCATTGACATGGACTTTTAAGTTGGTACTAAACCATTTGTACGTCACCTGAAAATCAAAAATATTCCATGGATTAATTTCTTTTTCCAATGTATGACAGTGTTTACAGAAAAGCTAATGTACCATTTTTTGTAAATTGCGCTATTATTTCTTCTTGTTTACGAAGTTCCTTGACGAAGCCAACTAGGACATATTACAGCTTCCTAAATTGACAGTCCAAACCAAACAAATGAATCAGTGAAATAAGCAAATACATAGATTAAATGCAATGTTAAACTTACAATTTTGTTTTCGTCGTTAACATATTCCTCTAAATTTTCGAGATAGAGCGCATCTGTCGCCATTTTCATTTCCCGCTATAATCAGCACTTCCGGTTCTACTTTCGTTTTTCAAAACAATTGTCTTGCAGCATAATTTTTGACGTAATAATCATCTTAAAGTTTAAATTATGGATTTTGTTATCATTCAAATTGATACAACAGTTACATTCAAGTTATTGTTTAAAATACACAATTATCTAAAGCATGCGATGGCACACGAGAGTTCCAAAAATGTAAACTAATATGGCGGAAACAGGGCAAGTTCCATAGTTCTGTCAACTGACTTTTGCTGATTTTGAGATAATGGCAAATGAGGATGCTGTCAGAGCCACAAACGACGATGCAGCACAGTGTAAACGTTTTGCGGTTGAACGTGGGTACTGGGAAGATCCGTACATTTCTCTGCTAACGACAAAAGGTCAGGCGCGACATGCTCCAGAAATCAACAGAGGTTACTATGCCAGGGTGTCGGCTATGCGGACTTGCATTCACAGGTTTATAAAAGTATGTTCATCTAAAAGCATCTGAATTTGATTGAGCAGATAGCTATTTATGGTAGTATGGAGCCCGAACGCATCCTTATTTCAGAGATTGGGAGTCGCTTTACTAGTCGCAGTCAGGGTGAATTTCACTTTTGTCTTGTGGTATCTATGGGGACAAGTCGTTTCGGTACGAGGTTGTTTCGGTACTTCCAAAATATGTCGTTTCGGTACTTTTAAAAATGTTTTGATTTATGTAGTTAATTTGGTTTTTCAAGTGTTTTGCCATGAATAAATATTTCTCATTCCTTTACTGAAAAACTGCTTACTCAAAATGACACTCTAACTGTGTAAACCAATTTTGTAAGTACCAAAACGACTTCTGTAAGTACCGAAACAACTTCGTACTGAAATACAAGAATTTGTAGCTATAGCATGTCAGACTAGAGACTAAAGGGTTACTATTTTAAACTCTACTGGATGCACAATATTTTTCATTACGGGTCAACACATACATATGTACAAAAGATAACAAGCCATGAAATCATGTTGTTAAGTGTTTGCTTACCTCAGATTTAGGTATATGGTTCACTGCACTAAGCCCATGGTGGTTTGTATTTCTTAGAAAGCTGAGAAACAGACCAGTTGGTGCTGTCATAGTAATTCTCCTTAGGCTTTGCCTCAGTTGCTAAGGATTGCACATGAAGTGAATTTCACATCATGTTTTCCAGTGAGATAAGCTACCAACTGCTACACAGAGATGCTGCCTAAAAATGACTGTGACTGTTGACTGAGCGATTAGCCCAGCAATCATTAACAAATCTCTATACCACAGACTTAAGAAAATAATGACAAAATTTAATTCATTTTCATTTTATATCTAGTTTTTACAAAATTGTATCCCATATACATGTAAATGAATGTTGTATTTGTGTCATTACAGCTGACAGATTGTAAGTGCCAAATCATAAACTTGGGTGCAGGGTTTGATACCACATATTGGCTATTGAAAGACCAGCAATTATCTCCAAAGAATTATGTTGAAGTTGATTTTTCGATGGTGACATCGAGAAAGTGCCATCAGATCCGAAGGAATGAAGCGCTACTGAAAGCAATTGCAGGGGAAGGTATGTTGGTAATTTGGGAGTTTAAGTCACCTCTCATAATTGTAAAGGGATCATGTTAAATATACTGGAGATCTCTGTTTTGTAGGCCAGTCTCAGTCTGGAGACATGATGTACAAATTTTCAAAAGAATATATTGTATAGTAAACATTTTAAACCTACTCTTTCTGGTTCAAATATATAGAAGTTACACAAGTGAAAGAAACACTGTATACAACAACCACAGTTTTATGTGACCTGTTTCTACCATAATGAAAAATGCTATTCTGAAGTTGAATTCATCCGTTCTATACCTACCTGTGTTTTGTTTATGTCATCAGTTGGGACATAATAATATGACCTTTAGTAAAATGCTGCTAATTAATATGCAAAACTGACAATTTCAGAAACTGATGGAAATATTATAACTCATTAAAATTGTAACTAGAAATAAATTGATTTGTTATATGTTCAAATGAAAAAAGGATAGAAATCGAAACAAAATCAAATTATTGTAAAAATAATTGTGAAGTACTTATTGCACATTCTTATTTCTGTTAGTGCATGAAGTGCAAAGTTCATCCTGTCAGCCAATCAGAACATTCTAAACAGTTATACCACATGTAGTGTAACATGTATATTTAGGGGCATATTAGATATTTATGTTTGCATTTACACTGAACAAATTAAACAAATTTTCAGGGATGAAATATGTTCTTGAAAATATTTCAAAATAGGAAACAATTAATATTTGGGATTGGAAATACTTTTGATATGATTAAAAAAATTCATACTGATATAAAGAAGAATGGAGAACATAATTCATAGAATTGAGGTTATGATTTAACAATACAGCACTTTTCACATCTGCTTTCATCAATCATTATGTGGTGATGTTCACAACTGAATGTTCTATTTTGAATTTTTCCTAACTAGTGACTGTGCAATATTTTTTTATTATGCTTTGGTAGCAACGTATATTAGTTTCATGCTGATGTGAAAGAATAACAAAATTGCAAGCTGAATGAATGTGAAATAACACAACACATGTCCATGCACAGCAGAAAGTTAACATAATTCCATTGGTGAAGAAAAAGGATTTGTGACCTACAAGATAGTGTGTTGACCTGGACTCATCCAATCAATATCAAGTGGTCAAAGCTGGATTTTTTTTTTCATCAAGAAATGAAAAGAAAAAATCTGACGAATCATAAAGCAACATTTTTATACAAACAGTGAAAAAGGAATCATTACATTATAAGATCTCTGCTGTATCCTGTAATGTTGGTATAGTGTATCACCTGCAGGTTAGTTTTTTTTTCAAGCAGTATGATATTTATCACAGATATTTTAACTGATCATGAAATTAATGGCTTCAACAGCAATGTTTGTGTTATGTAGATGGAGAGGTCAAGATAAGCAAGACAGAGATCCATGCAACAGATTATCACCTCGTGTCGGCTAATCTACGCCATCTTGAGGAAGTGAAAGGAAAAGTAACAGAGTGTGGCATAGACACCTCCCTCCCCACTTTGTTTGTGACGGAATGTGTCCTTGTCTATGTCGACACAGATAGCACCAACAAAGTCCTAAAGTGGATTGCTGACACATTCCCAGTGACTTTGTTCCTTAATTATGAACAGGTGAGTGTTGTAATGAATTACGAAATACTGTAAAATTGATTAATTTTTTGTGTACCACAACTTTCTTTTAAATTTTTATTTTAAATTAAGAGCAGCCATGTATTCTGTGAAAATAAAAAACCCACAAAGGTTATTGCTTTTACAGTAGTTCAAATGTCTCATGTTTTCTGGACAGCAGAGGTAGATAGTATTGTCATAATATATACCGTATTTCCATACGGCTTCCAATTTTCCAGCTTTTGAGGAAATAGATAATGTGAATTATGAATTAATTGTATTTAGAAGACACAAAACCTGAAACAGTGTTACATTTATGTAAAGGAAAAAGGAATGTCATTGTACCTTAGATAATTAATAAATCATGTAAAAAATCTGATTACCAGCAAACAAGCCTTTAACTAAAAGGAAAACTCAAGAAAATAATGATTTAAATGTTCTTTATTTGGTGCAGTCAGATTTTAGGGCCAAATCACATTTTGCCAAATTAGTGCAGTGATAACACAAAAATTACCATTATAGAAGCATATGTAAACTTTTGATATACATTTCAGACTCCAAGAGTGTTTCACAGGTCTATACCTCTATGGTGTATGTTTCAGACTTGAATCAACAGTGTTTCATAAGACTATACTCCTCTGGTATTAATTTCATAACTATCTTCCTAGGTAAACATGACAGATCGTTTTGGCCAGGTGATGATAGATAATCTCAAGACCAGAGACTGTGTTCTTATGGGTGTGGAGGCATGTTCCAGCATGGACTCCCAGAAACAGAGGTAAGTCAGTCCTTATGGGTGTGGAGGCATGTTCCAGCATGGACTCCCAGAAACAGAGGTAAGTCGGTCCTTATGGGTGTGGAGGCATGTTCCAGCATGGACTCCCAGAAACAGAGGTAAGTCGGTCCTTATGGGTGTGGAGGCATGTTCCAGCATGGACTCCCAGAAACAGAGGTAAGTCAGTCCTTATGGGTGTGGAGGCATGTTCCAGCATGGACTCCCAGAAACAGAGGTAAGTCGGTCCTTATGGGTGTGGAGGCATGTTCTAGCATGGACTCCCAGAAACAGAGGTAAGTCAGTCCTTATGGTTGTGGAGGCCTGTTCCAGCATGGACTTCCAGAAACAGAGGTAAGTCGGTCCTTATGGGTGTGGAGGCCTGTTCCAGCATGGACTTCCAGAAACAGAGGTAAGTCGGTCCTTATGGGTGTGGAGGCATGTTCCAGCATGGACTCCCAGAAACAGAGGTAAGTCAGTCCTTATGGGTGTGGAGGCATGTTCCAGCATGGACTTCCAGAAACAGAGGTAAGTCAGTCCTTATGGGTGTGGAGGCATGTTCCAGCATGGACTCCCAGAAACAGAGGTAAGTCGGTCCTTATGGGTGTGGAGGCATGTTCCAGCATGGACTCCCAGAAACAGAGGTAAGTCAGTCCTTATGGGAGTGGAGGCATGTTCCAGCATGGACTCCCAGAAACAGAGGTAAGTCAGATCGTCATAGTAACCCATGTTTTTTCTTCACTGGTTTTGGATAAGACCTTTTTGTTACTTTCTTTGGATGGAAATTTTCAGGATTTCATATTTTAGTAATTTTGCTTTAATTTGAAGAACTTCAATTGGAAATGGGCCAATTATTTGCCTGCAAAAACCCTAAAAATATGTCACACAGAAACTCTAGTTTGCTATTTGTGACCAGGAGGTAGTTTTGAACAAAAGTGATTAAAGATAGTAATAATTTGAACTGCAGTCCTACTAACGTCTTGTGATTGCAGGTTTACCAGCCAAGGTTGGCAGGGAGCTGATGGCATGGATATGAGTCAGATCTACAAATGTTTGCCCGACTTACACAGGTACAGTCTAGATCTATGAAATATTATAACTGTAGGCCTGTCCTAAAATCAGATATAATTGTTTCCTAATACGGTACAGTCTGATATTTCTGTGTGAATGATTTCTCACTCACCAGACCCAAACAGCCAAGTTGACTTACAGTATACTGCGGTGTCCTTGTCTATCCCTTAACTGTGTTCCTAAAACCCACTACTAGTCATAAATGATTTACAGAATTTTGACCATGTCAGAAGCAATCTTGGGGGAAGGGTGATGGGTTCCAGCCCCCAGGGGCCTTAGGGGTTGGGCCAAAAGGGGAAATTTGAAAATCCTACTCCTGCTGTAGGGATGAATTTGCATAAATTTGGTCTGAAGTATTGTTAAGTGAACGTGAATCAATTGTGTATAAAAGTGGGTCTTCTCTCCCTGGGGCAGGAGGGGTGAGACGGATACTATAGGGTAAATAGAGCAAATTATTTAAAACCCTACTCCTCCTGTAGGAATGATTGGATTGTTCCTAACTTAGATCTAAAGCATTCTTAGGTCAATGGAAATCAATTTTGTATAAAAAGTGGGTTTCTGCTTCCCTGGTGCAGGTAGGTTGGGGCTCGGACCAATAGGGACAAAAGAGCAAATTCTTTAAAATCCTTCTCCTCCTGTGAAAATGATTGGATTTAGCCCAAATTTGGTCTGGAGCATTGCTGGGTAAAGGGAAATCAGTTTTGTATAAATGCAGAGTCTCGGCTTCTGTAGACAGGAGGGTTGGGCCAAATATGGGCAAAAGAGCAAAGTATCTAAAACCCTACTCCTTCTGTAGGGTAGATTGTTCCTAACTTAGGTCTAAAGCATTCTTAGGTTAATGGAAATCAATTTTGTATATATGGTGGATCTCTGCTTCTGTGATGCAGGTAGGGCCCAATAGGGAAATTACAGCAAATTATTTAAAACCCTACTCTTCCAGTAGGAATAATTGTATTTTCTCAACTTAGGTGTGAAGCATTCTTAGGTTAATGGAAATCAACTGTATGATTGGTTGGTTTCTGCCTCCCTGGGGCAGGAGGGGCTGGGCCCAATAAGGGGCAACAGAGCTCATGTTTTAAAATCCTAATCCTCTTTTAGGAATGATTGGATCTTGTCCAAATTGGGTCTGAAGTATGTTATGGTGAAGGAGAATCAACTTTGAATAAATGAAATATCTTTGAAGCAGTTGAGATCTTCAACCTATAACTATATGTCGCAATGATGAGGATTAAGAGATAAACACAATCATGATGTAAGAATTGGCCCCTGGGGTGTAGTTCCACATCTCAGAACTTAGTCTCTTGGTTACATCTTTGAAACAGTTGAGATCCCCACACATTTCTGTGAATGGGCCCATACATTGTATGACCTCTCTGAAACAGAGGTCACCAGAACCTTTTATTTTAACTGGGTTATATAAATGTCATATTTATAGGGGATATATAGATTGCAGCATTTGAAAGATTGTACAAACAAGTGAAGAGCACCTTTCAGTACGAATTTAGAATAAACTAAGACTAAAGAGAAACCATAACATGCCTGGGATAGGAGTTTTTTATTTATTGGCATATCAGAAACAAATGTTAAGTCTTGATTTGATTGAAAAAGACCTGATTGTCACAGACTTTCACTGTTGACACTTCCTAGCACTGTGAATGATCCTCACATATATAAAGTTATATTCTTCCTTGCTTTGTTCGTGTGAATATAAAATAATAATTATCTAATGAAAAAACAATTCAAACACAGAAATGGAATAAGTACTCACTGTAATCTCGAACGTTTGCCAAAAATGTCACAATAACAGACAGTCTTCATACCAAAACATCAAGAAAATAGAAATATATGCTGCATATGAATACTATAACTGCATTAAATTACACTCCAGGTACAAAGCTATATGAAAACAAATATTGTCTAACCTTAAATATCAAATGTAAATCATGTTGCCACTTCCTGAAAAAAAATTATTATTTGAAATATTCATCAGTTGTTTGCCACTAAAACTTAGCTGACCAATAATATACACCCTGTACTGACTACAGCGAGTCCTCGAATGACTCCACACCGGTGATGATGTCACGAAACCGCCCAGCACGTGCGTTCGCCTTTACCTGGAAACGCCTTTACATGTACGGACCATAATACACATGAAAATCATTTTATTAAGGGACTACTATCACTGATATACAACAAACAACTGGTGTCCATCCTGATTTGCATAAATTATAAGTTGATGTTTTAATTTATGACTTTTTACATACATACTACGAGTCTTACTCCTTCGGTATTATTGTTGTAGTGTTGGCTGTACAATATGTGTAGTGCTGGCTGTACAATATGTGTAGCACTGGCTGTACAATGTGTGTAGTGTTGGCTGTACAATGTGTGTAGTGCTGGCTGTACAATATGTGTAGCACTGGCTGTACAATGTGTGTAGTGCTGGCTGTACAATGTGTGTAGTGTTGGCTGTACAATGTGTGTAGTGCTGGCTGTACAATATGTGTAGCACTGGCTGTACAATGTGTGTAGTGCTGGCTGTACAATATGTGTAGCACTGGCTGTACAATGTGTGTAGTGCTGGCTGTACAATATGTGTAGCACTGGCTGTACAATGTGTGTAGTGTTGGCTGTACAATGTGTGTAGTGCTGGCTGTACAATATGTGTAGCACTGGCTGTACAATGTGTGTAGTGCTGGCTGTACAATGTGTGTAGTGTTGGCTGTACAATGTGTGTAGTGCTGGCTGTACAATATGTGTAGCACTGGCTGTACAATGTGTGTAGTGCTGGCTGTACAATATGTGTAGCACTGGCTGTACAATGTGTGTAGTGCTGGCTGTACAATATGTGTAGCACTGGCTGTACAATGTGTGTAGTGTTGGCTGTACAATATGTGTAGCACTGGCTGTACAATGCGTGTAGTGCTAGCTGTACAAAGTGTAATTCTAAATCTCAGTATTGATATTGTAGGATTGAGCGCATAGAGTTTATGGACGAGAAGGAACTTCTGGACCAGTTGCTAAGTCACTACTGTATAGTCTGGGCATGGAAAGATCCTCACGACCTTGGTCTCTGTGATATGACCTTCACTTGACCATGACCACTCCTTTGTGACCTTTGCTTCAGTACCATTTACCAAAGGACAGTTCATTTCAACTCTTGAACAAGTGCTCAAACCATGTGTATGCAAGAACTTTGTGTATGTAGGAATGTTTCTTGTATGTAAAAACATTGAATGCTTTAGCCACTTTTAAGCAATTGTATTATGTGATTTTGTTGAAATTTGTCTTATTGGTTGTGACTGTTTTAAAATCAATAATCTGTATTTAATATTAAGCCACGGTGTAAGTGACATGGATTCTTGTGACAATCAAATTTAAAAGAACAATTTGCTATTAGTCCTGGTGATCACAACACAAAGAATCTAGTCCAGTCATCAAATATTGTCGCCGGTTTCTGTATGACATTGTGATTTAATATTCTTGTTGAATGATGTACCTTACAGTCAAGCCTATCTTTAGAGGCTACTCAAACAAATTAGAGAAAATTGGCTTTTAATGGCAGGTTAACTTTATACAGGTTCGAGTACATATAATTCCACAAGTGATTCACAGTAATGTGTTTGTATATGAAATAAAACGCATGAATTATGGGGGTGTATTTTTGGGACTGGGACACCACCTATCCATTGATAAAATATTTTTAGGAATTCACCATTGTTCTTTAAAAAACTACTTTTTTTAGAATTTCCAACTGTTCTATAAATATGTATCTTTTAGAAGTTAACTTTCACATAGTTACATTAAAGTAGGTTTGAATTTTTAAAAATTTCATGATTTTCTAATGCTTTCTTAATAAACCAGCTTGCAATGTATTTGTAGCTTGAATTTCTCTCCATCTTGTGACACTGGAAGGTATCTTTTCCAAATTATCGGAGTAATATTGTGGTTGTTAACCATTGTAGTGTAGAGTAAGTGTATTATGTAACATGTCTTATTTATTTTGTTGTATGATGAATTCCATGTGTGCCAGAAATAAAGTATGAAATCAAAGTACTACTTTTTTCATTGATTCCATTCTGGCAAAACTCTATGAGAAAGAAATGAAAAGGAAACATTTCATAAAGTTTGTTCAATTGAATGACCTTGACTTTTCAAGATCACTGGGGTTAAATAATTGTTTTGAAATTTTATTACCCTGTGACATAATGCAATGAAGACATGTTCAGTTTTGAATAAACATGAATATTGCCTGAATAAACCCTACTAGTGGTGTATTCACTTTTTAGGTCACCTGAGCCAAAGGCTCATGGTGACCTATTGCCATCATGATTTGTCTGTCGTCGTGCGTCATTAACTTTTCACATATTCGACTTCTTCTCAAGAACCACTGAATGGATTTTGACCAAACTTGGCACAAAGCATCCCCATGGGAAGCCGCTTTAAGTTTGTGAAGAAAAGGGTGTGGCCCCAATAGGGGGAAAAAGGGGGTAAAATTAGGTAAATCTTTAAAAATCTTCTTCGCATGAACCAACAGTCAGATTAACCATGTCTAAACTTGATACGAATGTTCTACACAAGGTCCTGGCAAGTGTTCTAACTTTTTGGGGCGATTCAAAATCCAAGATGGCCACCCTGGCCTCTGTTTGGCTAAGATATTTTGGACTTCCTCTGAAGAACCACTGGGTGGATCATGTTCACACTTGGTACAGATGTTTAACACACGGTCCTGCACAAATGTTGTTACATTTTTGCAACATTTTAAAATCCCCAGATTATTGACATATATTCCTCAGGTGACTGTTAAGGCCCCTTGGGCCTCTTGTGATTATAAGCCAATATTTTAACCTTTTGACCAGATAGCACTCAATAACCCAGATACCAGGACTGTAAGCTTTTCAGTTTTGAAGAAGCATTTACATGTCTATAGGTTCTCCTTACTAGAAGACACCACCAGGTAAGTTGACAATTCATACTTGTGCCAGCATGTTTCTTAGGAGGCTAAGAAATGGCATGCAATGGGCCACCCTAATGTTGTGCGTAATGCAGACTCCAGCTACAAAGACATTCTGCTTCAAAACGATCCTAGCTGTCAACAGGGAAATTAATCCAGCCATCGAACAAAGGTGAGATGTGACATGAATGGAATCTTCAGTACTGAGGCTTAAAACAGAATAAAACAACAAATCAAACCTTTCCAGTTTTTCTGAGATTCATTTTATGAAGATAAATGCAATAAACACCATAACCTAACACCAAATCAGACATAAAATAATATCTATTTACCTGTGTATTCTGACACTAGGATACAGCATTGATTTACCTGTATAATCTGACAATGTAACCATACACCAAATCAGACATAAAATAATATCTATTTACCTGTGTATTCTGACACTGGGACACAGCATTGATTTACCTGTATAATCTGACACCTGTAAAACATTAATGAACTTGTATAATCTGATACCCTTTGGGATATGATCTATTTACTTGCTGTATTTGTCATGATGTGAGATACTAAAGTATCAAATTACCTGTGTAATCTGATGCCTTTCAAAAATAGCATTAATTTACCTTTTTGATTGGACACCCTGTGAGAAACAACTTTCAAAATGATGAGAAAGACAGAATCACTGTGTAATTATTGAATGATAGTTTAATAAAACAATGTTATATACAAAAATTGTAGAATCATCAAGTTCTTTGACAAATTACAGTCTGCTAAGTACAGCTATTGGGCAAGATTGATAACAAGTGCTTCTGAAGAAATACTGATCACAGATATGAATGAGTGGTTGATTTGAACAGACCGATTTCAGTAAAATAATATGATAGATGACAAACATTGCAACTTGGCACAAGCTCATAAGACAGCCAGGAAATTAATAAACATCAAACACAACCTCAAAATGATGTAAACTCCAAATAATCAAATTGAAAAACATTTTAATGTTAAATTAAATACTTCATCACTATGTTTACCATTTTATGTCAAAAACATACAAACTGTACAAACCAAGTGGTAAGTCAGCTACCTTTTCACTGTTGGCTCTGAAAAATAATATTGTCCATTTATATGTACAGAAGTCTGCTACAGGTTGTGGTCTTAATGATGTGGGTATTTGTATCCAGAGCCAAACTAGATATTGTGATTGCCAGTAAACACAGAATCAATGTCTCTCCGCCCATGTGAAAGATTTTTATTTAATTCATCAACGGTCCTACATTCCAACCTATCAGGTTTCTCAGTCTGGTTGCTATGACAACAAAACTCAGTTCCTTGTCTTTTAATACACTTGAATACAAAAAAGAACAATGTTTCAACCCATCAGAAACCTTATGTAGCTAAGTTGCTAGAGACATCATCTAGGATGACATTAGTTGCACTGTGTATTGCCACAGATCCACACCAAACTTAGGCAAAGATTTACTCTAACTGGACAAGCACATTTGATTATAATTCTATTCACATGACTTGTGCCTGAACAGCAATCCCATTTTAAATATGCTCACATTTACATATATAGCTGATAAGAATGGAAGTTATTCAAGAAAAAAAAAGCATGACTGTATTCATATTTTCAAAAATAACTCACATGACCTTTGACCCTTAGACCTGAAAACCCATCCCATGATGCAACCACTTCATACAGGCAAACTACATACCAAATATGGTTATGATAAATCAGATCAGCTACAGCCTACTGAAAACAAATTATGTTCCTGTTATTCTATTTTCAACAATTCATGTGACCTTAAACCTACGACCAGGAAAAGTTACGAGTCCTTTCCATACAAACAAGGTGTGTGCCAAATATGGACATGATTAACTTGTCCGCCGAGAGGGTGGAAACCCGTAATAATGGATGAAAAACCTGTTAAATAAATAACACAGAAGAACAGAAGTTTTCAAAAGTTGACACTAATGAAGGAAAGACATAGTTATTATCAACAACGTTACAACCATATAACTCAATGAATATGATTCCAACATGTAACATAGATGTCCAGAGATTCATATATTGCGAAGAAAACAAATTCTGAACGATAGTAATTTTCATGCCATTCAAAGGCAAAACATCTATGAAAGTGCTATCTATTATGGCCAGTAATTAATGATCACTGAAAGTTGTAATCACTGGTAAGCATCATCTTATTATTGTTAGGATTGTCCTTGTATAAAAATACTCAGTTTTGCTATTGTTACATTTGCCCTAAAATTTCAATAAAAAATCATGTCAGTATTGATTATTTGCTGACCTTTAGCTTCTGGATGTTCTGTGACAAAATGGAGGATAGAGTCCACATATACAGTATCCCTCAAATATTTCAGAAAATGGCATACTTTTGACTACTAAAGACTAGAACTGTCCTCATGGGGCCAACTTATACCCTCCCCTCACTTGATTTTGGGGGCGGGAGGGTGGGAGCTGAGCATGTTTGTACAAATAATCAATGATGGACAAGTCCATGGAAAGCTTTCGATGTTGGATATTATCATAAAAACAAAACATGAGCAAATATAAAGAAGTTAACAAAAAAGTATGGAGGAACTATATGTATAAAAATTTCCTGAGTTGGACTGTTTAGCTAAAGTTAACCTTCGAACATCGGAGATAACCCAACCTGACATAGATAATACACATTTGCAATGTATTTGGATTATAGCCAGTATTGTTGAAATCAATTATGTAGTTAAGGAGGAGTAGCTGGTAAATTGTTATATCTACAGACGGACAGATAACTTGACTCCAGTATACCTCCCCCACTCCTGATTTTGTTACTGACCTCATCTGTTAAAAAATCTGTGACCAGAGTCAAGATACTGTAGAACTTTTGATGATCACTTTAATTTCAAAAACAACACAAATGAAATGGTTTTCAAGAGAAAAAGAAAAAAAACCGTGTTAAAACACAAGATAAAAATTTACTCATATCTCAAAATCAGCTTTAACTGAATAAATAAACATCACATAAAAATATTCCCTGGTGTACAACAAACTTCATATTCAGCTAAACATCAAACTTTTGTTAAAGGACCTTGTAAAAATTTTAAAATGTGTCATAAAAATCAAAGCATTCGTTAGTAGACCTACATGTAGATAGTTCACAGTGAATGGCTTGTTTAAACAGATCTGATTTTTGATGAGTTTCGCCACCTGGGTACATTATATATACATTAAGTTGTTCTAACTTCCAAGTGCTGAAAGCATTCACTGAGAAATGCATGTAAATCATGTTTAATTCTGTTGGTTCAATTCAGGGATTGCAGTGATGTAAAATGGTTAAACAATATCATTGAAAAAATAACTCTGGATTCAAGCAAAGTTTTTGTTTCTATTTTTTCAGAATGATCTAAAAATTTCAAATCCTTGTTCTATATCAGATATTTCATCTGTCCATCAACTGGAGAGGTCTTTTGTTCATTATTCCACAGAACCAGATGGTATTTCAGCACTGTTAGGAGTGTCCATAACAATGGAAGAAAATTCAATGTTTTCAGAAGATACTTCCACATTGTTTGAGCAAACTTCTGTCTCCATGTGGACATTGTCAATGACGATATTGGAACTGACTGTTTGGAGATCTCCCACACCAATGCCAACTCCCTGTGGTATATAAGTTAACGTCTGGCCATCAGATGTACTCAGTTCCACTTCACCGCCCTCGGACAGTTGAAGTGATTGTTCTGCAGCCAGCAGCAGACTGGACAACTCTTGTGACACCACTGCAGTTTCCCCATCCTCTTGTAACTGAACATAGTGGATAGTGTTGTTACCACTAGCAACCTCTAACAGGACTGAGGCTGCTTCAGCCAAAGTGTCTCCAGTCTTCGTCTCAGCAACTTCAACACACTCCTTGTACTCACCACTGTTTACCTATAAAATCAATGATACTCAAATCAGGCAAGTTACGGTAAATGTTGTCATACTGCTTACATGCTTGAATGATTCTGGAAAGGTTGTATCGAAACAATTATGATAAATTTACACAATATAATATCAAACTTTAAAGCATTTCTAAAGTTATTTTCCAGGTTTAATTTCCAACTACTGGAGAAATCTACTGAATTTATCACCCCTTGAAGACCCATGTACATTTTGAGGTCTCCGTGAAGTAGCTATTGGTTCTAGATCTCAATACAGATTATCAGAAACCTTCATGCATGATCGACTTCACTGTTTTTCTTTTTTATCTTTTTACCTGGTCACCTGGGCAATTTGAATAGCCCACCGTCAAGAGAAGGTGGGCTAAAAATCAGTAAACATGGAAAAGCCAAAATATTACACAAAATACCTGCATATCTGCATTTTCCCTGATACTCTGTGTTTGGGTGGATCTCTCCCCTTTAATTGTCCCCTCTGACAGTGAGTCGTCAATGGCTTCCTCCTCCTGCATATCATTATGGGCCTTTTTTAAATGGTTGGTGAGGAAGTGTTTCTCCAGAAAGCCCTGACAACAGTGTTCACACATGAATGGGAACTCTGTCCCATGATCAATATGCATGTGTTCCACCATTTTCGTTTTATAACAGAAGCTAAGACTACAGTGCGAGCAGTAGAACAAATCTTCAGAGTTGCGGCCATACTTAAACCTTCCCCTTTTGACATCTAGGACTTTGATATCAGACATGTTATGTGCTTGAGCCATGTGTTCCTCTAGTAATTTCCGTCGACCCAACCCTATCTTACATTGAGGACATCTAAATGGATATATATTGAGGTGGACTTTCTGCACATGACTAACCATTGCACTTTTCAGATTAAATCCTTTCCCACAATACGAGCAATGAAAGTTTTCTTTCACAGGTCCATGTACTATTTTCAAGTGTCTCTGGTAATTACATTCATACCAGAACCCCTTTCCACAGGTTGGACATACAAGCCGTTTTGACTCATCTGATCCATGAATACGTTCATGTCGGGTTAGTTGGGATTTCCGGGCAAATTTTTTGTTACACACTTTACAAATTATGTTCATTTTCCCTTCATGTATTTCCTCAATGTGCTGTTTGAGGGTCATTGCCCACTTGAATTTAGCAGGACAGTGATGGCAAAGATGTGGCTGTCCTTTCACCCCATGTACAGCAAGTGTGTGATTACGGAGGCTTTGAATGTTTTTATACATCTTTTTACATACTTTACATTTTACTGTTTCATTTCGAAAGTGATACCTATTCTCATGAATTTGTAGTTGAATACGATCTACACAACTTGTGTTACATATACGACATGTCACAATCTTTAGTTCCTTGAGTTGGTCCAAATATTCTTCTACATCCTCCTCCTTCATGTGCCAACGCCGCACATGACAATCTACACCAGTATAATCACAAAACATTTTAGCACAGTATTTGCAAGATTCACTTCGCACATTATTTCTCTGTCTTCTTTTATATATTGGTATATTGTCTCCAAGATCAATGACTTTTCTTACTTTGCGTGGAATTTCCATCTTGAATTTTTTGCGAGGCCTTCCTGGTTTTCTCTTCTGAGTCCATTCATTATCGGTTGAACTGTCATGACCAATTTTGCCAATGCTTTGATCATCATTTACAACATCTGAATTGTTGTTTGATTTAGGGATAGCCTCTTCATTTGATGCTATAGAAACAGAATCTGGCAATATCATTTTTTCTGGATCAACTTCAGTTTTTATTTCAGTCTTAAATGAAGTTTGATAAATTTTTTCTTCTACATTATCACCTATGCCCTTTTCTGCTCGCATAATGACAGATGAGAGTTTGACTCCTCTAAGACCATAACGGCATCCTGTATCTGAAACAAGGCCACATGTAGCAGTGCTACTAGGGGAAACAGAATTTTGTTTCCGAACCTCATCCTTGTTTTCCTTATTAGTTGAATCTTTACGCGGCCTACCTCTCTTCCTTTTGACTGGTATATGTGTGTCTGTAAAATTCGATGAGGTCCCAATTCTGTCGATGGAGCTGGCATCCACTGATTCATGTGTACTTACAGCATTGTCATGCACAAAAGTACTTTCCACTGGTAACGTTTTCCGTTCTGAGCTCGGACCCCCTTCCTGAATGACAACTGATCTTGTAATTTCTGGAAAATTACAAACGATTTTACCTTCTAGGATATTGAACTTGACGCTCTTGACAGATATCAGGATGACTTTCTGTTTTTCTCCTCCTCCAACTTTATAGCTTGTAGTGTTAGATTGGGTTGCAATGCTAGTTGTTTTTGTATCATAATCTTTAGCAACCCATTGGATAACGTCCGCATTTTCACTTTCATGAGCCAACAACGACTCTTTCAAGAAAGAAAGGGGGAAAGTAATATCCAAGCTTGAAAATGTGTTGACTGAAACCGCTTCCATCGTCTAAAACAATGCGGCAACGGTTTATTTTTCATTACAGCTGACACTCGAGCTTCTGCTTAAGTTGGTCAAGCGTCCCCTCGCTGAAACATTTTCAAGACGTAGAAAATTACCGAAAAGTAGCTACCGTTGCGGTAAAGGAGGGATAAATGAAAACTGAGATGATTGATTTTGAACAGAATATTGAATCAGATATTAAAAATGTACTTCCAAATGAATAAGCTTTCTTTTGAAATATTTTCTTATCACAACTCATTACATGACGAGAAACCTTTTTTACGACATCAGTACACGTTGAATCCAAAGCAGACGAGTTGACAGAGATTGACGAGTGAGAGGTTCTCCTCTAATATTAGGGGCCATGGATGATATATTTAAATTAATGAACTTTATCTAAGGCATATTGCTATATAATGACGAAGCAAACAATTATTTTCATCTTTCTGACCATTTTCAATATTATTTTTAAAATTAATGCCAAAACCGTGTTAGGTTCTGTATCAACAGCTGCTTCTCAGAAAGAATGGGGTCAGTTCATCACGACGTATTGTTTTCATGGTATGTATGATGATTTTTGTTTAAATTGAAAATGTAAATTAGATTATCTCATCGGTTGACATGTGTCAGTCTCCTTACTTTGATGTGATGTCTGAAGGGAGACAATCACAGTTGAGAGAGTATTTCTTTCAAGTATCCAGAATTTTTGTCAAAACCGAAACATATTCAGATTTGTGCTTATTCAGCTCATAACTGCTTTTTACTTAGCCTCGAGAGTTTAGTCGTTAGGGTGTTCCCTGTTTGACTTGGTGATTTACATGGCAAAACATTTATGTGCAGTTCATTATTCAGTGAGAGAACTACCAGCTGCTGCCAAGACATGCCATCTCATATGACTGTACACCGGACAATAAACACAGCAACTGATATAATCTGACTAAGCAAATGTGTTTAATCCCCTCATGTGTCTTGAGCTGGGATGTATAATCAGAGGATGTATAATATAGAGGAATACAAAAAACTGCCTACATCTCTTTTTAACACTTTAGCAAAGAAGTTTTGAGTTACCTTGCCATCTTGTCTTTCTAAACCATTTTCCCCCAAAAGTCCTATTCTTATATTTTAGAAATAGAAGAAAGATTAATAATTTCCAAATTGATTCTGCTTAAAGCTAACTTTTGAGACAAATGATTTATGCTAACTTTTGATATTTATAAAACTAAATGTATGTTTAAGCTATTTACAACTGAAATACTGCCCTATATTGTATGCCTCATCTGGTCCAAAATATAGAAGAAATCATCTTTAAATGGATAGCATTAAGAAGCTGAGTAATTTTACATTTTAACTTATGTAAGTTGTTTTGTAATACATCACAGAGATACTTTTGTTGCAAAAATGATTTTCTCTTTGCAAAAAACTGACCATTGAGAAGAGAGGAATTCATGGCTCAGTGAACAAACACAAAAGCTAATGAGATAGAAGTCTCCACTGGGCCTAGTCAAGAACTTCTCTGTATTCCCTGGCCTGGAGAGTGGAGACCTTGTTGATTTATATGAGAATAGAGTTCTTTATGTTTGGTTGCCGACTTCTGATTTCTGTTTCACAAAGATACCATGACGTATTGGTTAGGAAAGAGCATATAAGTATCAACACAATGATGACAATATTTTGTTAGACTAGATCATTGACTTATTTTGGGTTTTTTTTCTTGAGGTATTGATGACACCTAATTATACAATAATATTGTATTAAGATTTTTGTTACATGTGTAGGTGACGCCTTGTTGAATTACACCCTGAACACTACCAGCAGCACACCACCAAAGCTCTACCTGTTTCTAAATGAAGACTGGCGTGATGCTCTTCTGACAACATCCGATTGCCGACACAAGTTGTCAAAGTCCAGGGCAGTGTGTGAGTATACATGGAGGAGAAATTCATTTTTATTTAAGAGGATTCAGTGGTATCAGCATGAAAATACTGGAAGAGAATTACCAATGTTTTAGAAATGTCTAAGCAAGTCCTTTTTTGTTTTACCGTATTTAGTTTTACCTGGATTTCAGCTTTTTGGGTGTTCTGTCCATCTTGTATTAACATATCACTTTTCAATAACTTCTTATTATAAATCAGAGAGCTTAACAATTCTAACTCCAGATGAACTGAATGGAACTAATGGCAGCATCACTGTATCCCACTACAAACAGCCTCGCCTGTGGAACATTCTTTATGCGGATTCCTACACATGTGATGATGACAGACCCATGTTTCCTGGAGAATCTCCAAATTATATCGCCTACAAAATACAACTGTTTAATCCCGATGCTCTTGGCAATCCAACTGAACATTTTGGTGATGATGAAACAGGTACAATTTTACCAAAGTTATTGTTGGTTTGCCTAGAAAAAGTACTTTGAAGCGTCTTTCTGACACAGTATATATTTTACTAACATTCAAACTTAAATTTTTTCTTACTACCACTTAGTAAAGGGGTGCAAACCTGATTTTACACATAAATCAGTGATTCCTATCAAAATTTCTTAAGTTTTGTAGATACAATTACATTACAGTTTATTTGTATTTCAGGAAAAGAAAATTGACTGAAATCTTGGATTTTTAAAAACATTTGAATATTTTAACACTCTTGAATTTTAAGATGAATTTTATTCAGATTTGATAAATGTAGCCTAAAGATAAACATAGATGTAATTAAGTTTTATCATTGTATGCAGGCCTTTTGAGATTTTACCAGTTGCTGATTCTGGCTTACTTTGTGATTGGATGTATATTTATTCCTCGCCTACATGAGACATTGAAGAAAGGCGGGCCGATGCAGCTTGTCCTGATCTTGCTGACAGTGTCTACTGGACTGCAAGCCTTCGGCGCCTTCACCATGATGGTTCATCTGCAGTGGTCAGTGCTTGCTCAGATCTTGGTGTTACTCATCTGCAGGTTTATTTTCTGTATATAAAGATGATAAAGGTTCAGTCACCCAAGTCTTTTTCCAAGCCACCAATTATAAGCTCACCTTACCCTAAGACCATGGTAAAGCTATCCATCATCTGGGCCAGTATGGCAGATTCATTAGTCAAGACTTGTGTTCTCCTATACAAAGAGTTAAAGTCTTTTGTTATCATCAGTCCCATTCATGGGTTGTTTGAATTACAATGCCTTATATTGTGTATGGTAGAGAAGACGGTTGTAATGTTACCCTATTCTATCCTTTCAGGTACTCTAAAGATGGCAGTGGTTCTCCTTTCTTGGAACTCGTCGCAGAATGTAAATATCTTCTTTCTAGTCCATACCAAATAAATATTTTGTTACAGTTCAAAATCTGGCAATTAAATCAGTAACTGTTCACAAGGTCAAGTTAGGCTATACAATTCTCAAAATTGTAATCTAAAATATCCATCCATTACCAGAAGTTATGAACATTTATGAACATAGAAGTCATCTCTGTTTGCCATTTTGTACAATGTTGTTGATATCATGTTGTCAGTTTACAGTTGTTGACTTAATGTTGATGTGTTACAGTTGTGGATGTGCTCTCCCAGTTTGCTATGCTGTATATGTTGCTGAGCTTAAGTCTAGGCTGGACCCTGGGCACTTCCTACCGGTTCTCACACTTACAGATGATTACACGAAAACCTGCTGCCAGGGTTATAGGGGTCATGGGGGTCATACAAGTAAGTTTATTGTGAAACAGGTAAGGCTGTCAGAGGGAGCTTTACATGCTGGTCACCACTTGACTACAGGAGTTGTAGAGTTCATAAAGGTCATCTAAGTCACCAAGAAATCTGTTAGGCATTAGGAGGTGTATGTTACAAAAAGGATACCTAGAGATGTTCTAGTATGTAAGCCTTATCCTTATCACCACTCTAGTTACTTCATTCCTAGAGGGATTATTATTAAACTTAATAGATTTATAAAGAAAAATTAATGTCTTAATCAGTAAGGAATTCGAGAGTTTTAGGATCAAGGTCAAGGTTACTGTTACTATTTCCAGATATTCCTTTTGTCAGCACTCTAGCAGTGCCATTTGATGAATCTTGAAAATACTTATAAAAGACCATTATGTCGCAGATAAGTTCACATTTTAGGGTCAAGGTCAATGTCATCTTTACTTTTTTAAGAAATTCTCTATTAGCATTCTCTCTTGTGGTTTTTTTATTAAACTTCACATACTTTGTGAAGTGAAGGACTTTGTATCAACTTGTTGATATTTGAATTATGATACATTATATACATATAATAGGTACGTTTTATGACAATCTGAGTGTTATTTGCTAAAGGGCTAAAGGTTCAAAGTCAACAAATGCTTTTGTCTATTAACTTATTAACATTTTGTTACCAGTTATTGTGTTGTAAATGATACAAGTCAATTGATCCATGGTCTTACTGACCAATGGTCAAGGTCATCAAAAGTCTTATTTTGTATCTCTTTCCTGGTAAATATGTTGTTATAACATAATAAAGCAAAGTTTGTAGGAATCAAACAGGAAATCTACTCACTTCTACAGTTTTTTTATTGTTGGTCACATTTTCCAATCCTAGGCTGCCCTGTTCCTGTGGGAACAGTATGCTGACAGAGAACATCGGATGTATCATGCACAGAGGAGCTATGGTGGCCTTGCTCTTGTTTTTCTTCGTATCCTGTTGGCCGCAATGTTTGCCTGGAACCTACAAAGCACTGTATCCTCAGAGAGAAGTGCTCTTAGAAGGGAATTTTATAAGTCTTTCACAAAGGTACAGTGGACTAGCTTTATATGATTTACTGTTTTAAAAGTCTCAGACATAATGGGGCAAAATGATCTATCAATCATTACAGATCATTAATGTTACGATCAAACACAGTTTTGAATTTACCACTAGTTAAAATTTTTGTTCAGAATTTGACAAGATCAGGAATCTTTTCCTTGTTAGTTGTATAGGGGCTTCGTTCTCAATAAGAAAAAAATAGTAGCGAAAACTTAAACAAATAAATGCAAAAACAATCTTTGTTGTGTGCTGTGGTTTACCATTTCATTTACCGTTTATAATCGTTGATCTTCATGCAGTGTTCTTCAGTAATGATATTTGATCTCCTTGCAGTGTTGTATGCTGTGGTTCCTCTGTTATCCAGTCATTGTTGTCCTTTCCTGGTTGTTGTATGAATACCTCAGATACAAGGTGAGTCACAGAACTACTGAGATCATGTCAAAGTAAATTTTGTACCAGAACTTGAAAATTTCACTTGAAGATTCATATGATCTTTCTCTTGAAAATTTGCTTTCACCTTGTGTGTAAATTCTTCCTGTAGTAAACACTCTTCAACCAGAACAGCTGGAGAAAAATATTTACGGAATAGTTATACTGTTTCCTTTGTGGTAACTGCTCCATATGAGTAAAGAGAGTTGTGTCCATTTTGTGTGATCTCTGACCTTGAATTCAATTCACATCATGGATATATATGTATCTTGTTCAGATAAAAAATGAGTCTTTTGCAACAATTTGAGGAAATGGCTTGAAAAAGTAAATACTCCATGATAAAGTCTAGCACACTGTATTAGAGATTAAAAAGCCTTTATGCAATATGTAAGTACAAAAAAATTCGGAAATTCCACATATTTGTTTGCTCCGCACAAAATTAATGAAAATCCATGTGATGGTTCACTCTGAACAAAATTGGTGAAACTTCGTATAATGATGAACTCTTAAATGTAGATAGAAATGTAGGTTTAACAAAGAGGTTAGTTTCTAAAAACATAACAAAGGGATGAATACCGTCAAAGACATGATTAAGGGCATATTATCTGGTATCTGAATATCTCCGCTAAAGATGGTTGCCATGTTAGATGGAATATTTCAATCTGGCTATTTTCTGTTGGTGTTGTTCCTGAATCCCTAAACTAGACTTATTGATTATAACTGTTCTAGTCTGTGTGATTATTTGATTTTTTTGCCAGTTCCAAGATTTCTGTAACATAATTTAAGTTTCTGTTTTTCAATGGCAAATATATATCATGTCTATAAATAGATATTCCTGTTTTGACACCACGTGATGAAAGTTATGGTACAATTATTTTTATGTGTTTTTCACCGTTATTTATAAGATTTAAAAACTTTCTGCTGAATGGTTCTTTCATATGGTCTCATATGTTTTACTTACAGATGATAACAATGAGTGTTGTGCTATGCCAGTGTTTCGCAGTGGCCATGTTGTATAAATTATTTCTATCTCGGAGTCTTTACTGGGAAATATCAGCACTGTCCAGTACCCTGCCACTGAGGATTGATAAAAACTTTGCTATGAAGGCATATTCCTGACAAAAATATGTTGTATCATAGAGTATAAATTTATGTTATAATAATGGTTCTGAGAGAATGGAGCCTGTATTTTGTGATAGAAATGGTTGTTCATGAATCGAACAAGTCTGTTTGATATAAATGTATATTGAATTTCATATATTGTAGATGTACATATTTCAGGGATGTTCATATTTTAGCACTGAGAGTATTTTGTTAAAATATGACTCCATAATTTAAGTTTTGTTGCTTATGTAGTCATTATTGTGTATTGGTAATTTTGTCATTCAGCTTATTTGTAAGAAAGTGAAAATGCGTTAAAATTTGATTCCACTAAATTATGTTTATTCATTTTCAGATGAAGCGAGATTTTGTAACAGAAAATGTTTGTTGAGCAATACATATTTTTGTTGGTTAAGTATGAAAGCCATTCAGAAATAAATCAAGATTTCAGCGATGACAGTGAAAATATTGTATTAAAGTTATGTTTATTGAAGGATAGAAATGGTGATACACAATTATGTATAAAGGCACAGTCCATTATACCAGGTCAGTTCTCTTTACTTTAAATAGCAGTGTCGTGAGAAGTGACTGGAAGCTTTAAGTACTGTATGGCGGTTTTACTTTGCAGGACTAATGGTTTGTTGTTGTGCTGATTTATGAATTAAATTTTTTCCTATGTCCCACATCTGTATCCATGTCTACAGGCATTTTATGAGATTTTGATTCACTGTTAAATGTTTGCTGGGTACTAAATTCGGTGCTATCTGTAATAATCATGAACATAGCGAAATAAAATCCCCAGAAATATTCACACGTATAAAATACCCATACTAGAGAGGACATTGTGTAATTAGCTTACCTGGCACAAAGGGTCAAGTGAGCTATTGGGATACTGCAATGTCCGTTGTCCATCCATCCATCCATCATCTTTTCCTCTAAATCACTACTAGTTACAAATCACTGAGCAGAATTTGACCAAATTTGGTGAAAAGCATCTTTGGCGGAAGGGGAACATATTTTGTATAAATTGTATGGTCCGTTCCCCGGGGCCTGAGGGCAGGGCCCGAAAAGGTAAATAGACCAAATTATTTAAAACCATACTCCTTTTGTAGGAATGATTGGATTTTGACCAAATTTTTTGTCCACGTGGTGTGAAGGGTGTTTGGGTTAAGAAAACTTGATTTCATATAAATTAGTGCTCCTCCTGTAGCAATGATTTGACTTTGTCCAAATTTGGTCAGAAGCATGTTTAGGTAGAGGGGAATCAATTTTGTATAAATCCCATCTTTGAAACAGTTGAAATCCCCACCCCATAACTGTATATATATATATATATATATATATATATAGCATGCTTGGCATCGAAAGATAAACTCATTGATTACCTATGAATTGACCCTTGGGTGTTGAACACCTGTAAGGACATTACTTCTGGGTAAAATTTTTGACATAGCTGAGATACCAACTCAATAATCACAATTAAACTCTCTCCTAGCATAGAGAAAGAAAGACAGTCATGATATATGAATTAACACATTAGTCTTGTCCCATCAAAGAGATTAAGTGACTGAGCTTTAATTTGGAAATATTTGAAATACCCAACCTATAGGTATATAGGTATACTATTGCTGGGCTTTAAGATCCAGATGATTGCTACAGGCCATATGGGCCTCTTGTTATGAATTATAACTCAAGTTAAACACTGAAGAAAAATAATTTTTTTACATTAGGAAATATGTATTATAAAACTTTTTCTTGAGTATATTGTATAACCATTTGTAATTGTAAAAATTGTCTGTCATCGTAAGCTCAGGTATTTTGTTTGGTGGTCTCTATAACTGAGGCTGGTACAAACACAACCAACAACTAAATTACTAAGTGAACATGCACACAGTGATATCATTTACCAGATAGAGCAAGTCTTTATTAAGAGGTCAAAATGTGAAGTTTCTGTATAATGACTTGTTGTAATGTGTTTTCATATATCTGTACTGGGAGCAATGAACCTGTCCATGTTGAATGAGTCTTAGTTCCTTTGCGAGAATCTCCATTTAGTGTTAAAGAAAACAGTTTGTAGTAATGTTAATTCTCTTGTCATCTCTTAGTATTAAACTTACAAGTAACATACTATTCATGAGAAACAAGTTTTTGTGTAAAGCCAACCTGTCAAAGTTTACAAAATTTTCCACCAAACTGTCTAATGTGACCACATTTAACACAACCCTGTCTAATGTGACCACATTTTCTGCCACCCTGTTTTATCTGACCAAATAGCTATATAGACACTTAATGATGTTTTGTGGAGATAATTCACTGTATAAACTGAAAATATGTTTTAATAGTACATTTTTACTAGTGAAATATAGGAATACATTCATTTGATAAAAACCTATGACCATCTGTGCGGTGATGATATAAGAAATATTTTATCATCCCTTTTAAATATTACCACTAATGATGATACAGCTTTTTGTACTTTCGACCAACCAGAGCAGTGCTTTTTAGTCACTGCATTGAAATTAGTCAATTTTCCTGAATGAACGGTAGGTGGAATAAGTTTTCCATGAAATAATTCCTGTAAATATTTCTGGTTTTCTTTATTTTTGCATATAAAAACATATTTCAAAGTGTTTCTTACATCAAATCTAACCTCAGATGATCAGAGTACCACATAAAACGGGCTATTTAAAATGTTGTTGTCTTGTTAAGCATAACATTAAACTTTTTGATGTTATAGTAACATACTTATATTTCCAGAACTTTTCTTAAAACAGCTTTATCTTAAGATTGATTTTAGATTTTTTTCATTTGTTTGTCCTTTGAAAGTGCAAAAAAATGAAGAAAATGTTTTTTTCTTCTTTTTTTTAAATAAAAAGAAAACTTTATGGGACCCATTAAATATTTCACTAATGTGACAATATTCATGTGTATTTATCACTCATAAAAATATTGATATTCTGTCATATTTGTGGAATTTATATATTAATGGAAACTATTGATTATCTACTCTATCAAATTTTCATGAGTTTGATCATTTTTCAACTACTGGTACACGTTGTTTATCTGTATCTAATAGTGTTCTAATATTTTACATGGTGTTCAATTTACCTCAGTCTTTATGTTGGACAAGTTATTTTATTATCAAGGGTCTCAGATGAAGTGTGAAAAACAGGTTTCAACGAAAACTTGGTTAATGCCACAATAAAACTGTTAAAAATGTAGTGGTTGTTTGAATCTTTTTTTATATCCCAACCATTTCCTGGTCAAGACCAGTGTTACCATTGTCTTGTCATCATTATTTTGTTTCTGCTAATTACCACTTTAACAGATACAGACAAAGAAATACAATTTAGTTCAGGTTGTTAGTATACTGGTCAAGTTCTGATTTGGTTATCAGAAATTTTTTCAAGTGGTTGTTTAAATATATGAATTTTAATCAATTTTTTCACAAAAACAGTAAGACCAATATTAGAGAGCCTTCTCCGACGCCATTAAAAATTTGTATCAGTCCGACACATTTAGTTCTACATGAATTATAGATATCAAATTATGTGGTCTATAATGAGAATTTAATTGCGTATCTTGTCACTTGCACCAGGCTTGGAGCTCGTGAAACATCACATTCTACTGAAAATTCAAACTTCATCGTGGAAAATTCATATCTATAATGTTTGTTGGGTTATTGTCCTGGTAGTAACCGATAGGTACCTCACTTAACAACATTCAGGAGGTCCTTTGTATGCCATCAAAAGCAATAAGGGTGCCAACGCTATAATCATTTACAACCCCTATCTACAATATTCACAAATCAAAATGTAAATTAATCTGTATCTAAATTCAAACCCTTTAAATAAAGTTTTACATACTGAGTCCTGAGACATGAAGAGAAAAATAATTACTCTCTAACTTCTGAACCTGACCAGTAGTATGACACAGATTCTCCCTACTGGTGATCTCTGGGGCTTCAACTCAATAATCACCATTTAATTTCAGAGAAAAAACAACTTAATATTTCAACCATACATTTTCATTTGCTCTATTTCTGTAAGTGCATATTACAAAACAATATTATTACATATACATTTTTCATTTAAAAATACCTTGAAGAATCTAATACATAGCTTTCAATACATTTGAAACTAACCACAAACACAATTTATCAAACCTGCCATGTCCTGTGATACACAAAATTTCAAAAACACAACATACCACACACAACTTACCATGCATGACTTACCACACACAACTAACCATGCATGACTTACCACACACAACTTACCATGCATGACTTACCACACACAACTTACCATGCATGCCTTACCACACACGACTTACCATGCATGACTTACCACACACGACTTACCATGCATGACTTAACACACACGACTTACCATGCATGACTTAACACACACGACTTACCATGCATGACTTAACACCCACAACTAAGTACACACAACTTACCATGCATGACTTACCACACACAACTTACCATGCATGCCCTACCACACACAACTTACCATGCATGCCTTACCACACACAACTAACCATGCATGACTTACCACACACAACTTACCATGCATGACTTACCACACACGACTTACCATGCATGACTTACCACACACAACTTACCATGCATTACTTAACACCCACAACTAAGCACACACAACTTACCATGCATGACTTACCACACACAACTTACCATGCATGACTTGTCTCACATGACTTTCCACGCATGATTTATCCCACAAAACTTACCACACTTGATTTACCACACACAACTTGCCACACAAAACTTGCCCCATACACATTAAGGATTAAGTTAAAATGCCTGGCTTGCTGCCCTGTCATATAAAATTATGGTACATACAATTAAGGAAAGCACAGATGTACATCATGGCACATAAGATTTCAATGGTAAATTAAACAACAAAAGAAAATGACTGTCTGTGACACTGTTGAATGATCCTTGAAAACGACTTAATTGGACTGTCCACATTGGGCAATAATTCTGTGATCAAGGTGTTGCATTCTCTCAGTATGATTACTGTATACATCAAGTTTCATTATCCTAGTTTGGACGCAAATTATGCTCATGACACAAACTTTTTAACTATTTCCTAGTTTAAATGCACGTAAAGTTAAGTCCAAGACAGAAAATTTTAACAAAGGGAAATAACTCAATAATCAAGGTATGCAGGGCCCTAATATTGGTAAATTGCACATTGTCTTCATATGACCAATGTATGCACCAAGTTTTATGATCATTGCTTAAATGAAAGCAAAGTTATGCTATGAATACTTAACAAAGGGGCCTGAATTTGGTACACTACACATCCATTTAGTATGATCAATGTATACTCTAATTTTCATTATCCCACGTTTTATGTTTTATGCAAGCAATTAGTTGGATCGCTTTCTGAAAATGGAGTGCTGGTATATGACATTGTATAAAGATCTCTTCATTGTTTATCGAGGAATGGCGAGTCATTAGTCCCACAATGCAAACATTCCAATTTTCTGAGAAAGAAAATCATTCAATAGTTTTGTAATTTAAACTGGGAACAGATATAAATTTATAGAAGATGGAAATTAAAGTAAATAGATATCAAATCTATTCATAATACTGGTAACCCATATTTTGAAGAGGAGTATTATTTTTGTTGATCAAAAACCCATTACATTGTATCTTATGACTTTTCAGTCTATTCCTCAAGCATGCTGACACAAATACCATGACCCACGACCCACAACCAATTGTTTTACAAAAGCTACTCACACATGGCCTATGAAAGGTCAAATTCATTCATTAAACTAACAAGGTAGCCCTTGCATCCGGCATGCTACAGGCCAAATATCAGTACCCCTGTAACTTTAAAAGTGGGTCAAGATCATTCGTTTTAACAAACTTGGTACTACTTCATCTTCGCAGGCCCAGCTAATATCAGTACCCTGTGCTTCGGCAAAATTTACCTATATTTTCGACTCATGATTCACAATTATAAGAAATATTGATATCCTGGCTTACACAAAATTATACACATTCTTACCTGTGTCTTCTGTAATCACTCTCATTGTCTCGATACCTGTCATTTGATCTTGTTCGTTCATCGTGAAATCGTTTCCTGTTTTCATCTGCCAAGCGGTCATCACTTCTATCCCTTTTCCGTACATCTTGTCTTCTCCTTTCTCGCTCACCATATCTTTCTCTGTCCCTATCCCACTCTCTCTCTCCATACCCGTCCCTACCCTGTTCCCTCATCCATTCATCCCTGCCTTTTCCCCTTACTCCATCATTTGTCCTTTCTCCAGTCTTTCTCTCTCTTCCATTTATAAACTGATCATCTTTGTTCACCTGCTGCCTTCCAAAATCAATATCGGTCTCTTTCTCCCTTCGACCCCTTTCTCTTTCATTGTTGTATTTTCTCTCTCTGTCCTTAGGCCCCCTTTCCTCAAGTCTCTGCCTGTTATTTGATCTGCCATCAACTGTATCTTTGTTAGTTCTACTACCACTAAATGGAGCTTCATGTCTTTTGCTGTGACTCTGTCCACTGTAAGTGAGAGCCTTGTCATAAGCACGATCAACTTTTTCTGCCTTAATTTGCACATGTGTCTTGTCATCATCTGTAGAATTTTCATCACTGTTGCTGGAGTCTGATTCGAAGTTTTTCTCTTTCTTCTTTTTTTTCTTCTTTTCTTTCTTCTTCTTTGATTTCTTGTGTTTTTCTAGGAAATGTAATAAGTGTTAAACAATATTATTCAAATGATCTTATTTTACATCTTTTCGTTAACTTTTAAATTTAAGACAGTTAAAAATTAGGCATATTCCTGTTACTTCTCTGAATAATTCACAAATCATTAAACTGGTATGTACCCGATGGTATGTACCAGAGACTCAAAAACTTTAAGTTCATTAAAACAATTTGACATCTCCCTTTACTTCCATTCTTGCTATTTTTGATGTGGTTGAAAAAAACTGAAAATTCATCATTTTATGAGCAGTTTTTATATAATCTGAATTTTTTTCATGCTATTTCAGACTCTGAAAGAAGCAAAACAGCTTTAAATACCCTGAAATGTGGATGAGAAGGAGCGAGATGGGAACATTTGAGATTGAGATAGGACAGGGACATATCTGTGAGGAATTATTAGTTTGGGTGTAAACCCATGAGAGGGAGTGAAGGTGGATCACCGAGATTGATATTAAGTAGAAACATATCTGTGAAAGGGGTAGAGATATGTTTACAAGATGTAGTTCTACATCTACATGTAAATGTAGGGATTATACTTATGGGAGGTAGTGAGGGTGGAGATTTATGCAGAGGGAGTAGGAATTGTGATATTTTCATTGTATTTCTATAAAAGTAACGGTATGTGGGAACGGGAATCCTTTTCATTATGAATGACACTGTTCACTTTTTCCTAACCTTTCTTTTCCTTCTTTATTGGCAAAACAAAGTCATCTTCCTCTTCATCATCTTCATCATCATCTGCCACTTTTGGGGCACAGCCTTCTGCTCGCAGCTTTTGCGTCACTTCATCTTCATCTCCATGTTCTTTGGGCTGTCTGTAACCTTCCACATGATCCACACGGATTGTCCTGTTTAGTAACTGGTAAAAATGTAGAGAAATGGATAACAGTTTAGAAAAGCCAGTCCTTGATTTACACTGCAAATCCATTAAGTTGGCCTGCTTACTCTTTTTATCATGATTTCACTATTATCTATGAATAAATAATAGTTGTTAGCTAATAGGAATATGAACAAAAAGGAATATTTAAAGTGAACTAGGACACTATGTACCAAAATATTGGTGTTCAAGCAAACTCAAATGTTGTTTGTACTCAAAGCACATTCAAGTACCATCTGTTAGACTTCTTAACTTAATCTTTTTTCGTCAAGCAAAACTGAAATCACAAACTTAACAAGTACATAGATACAGTGAAAAGAGAAAAACCAAGAGATCCCAGAGGGATCTTGGCCCCCACCATTGTTTGATCTTTATATGCTCTTTGAAAGTTGGATCATTTCCCTTCTTTTCTCTGTTTTCGCTCTTAATAATCAGACATTCGAACATTCCTTTGCAGGAAAATCAATAATAATCTTTACTTGCCAAATCCAAAATGGCCGCCTGGAAGCTACTTTGTTTCAGTCCCAAACTCAAACAAGCACAATTAGGGACCAAGGGGAACCTATATATGCAATCTGAGAATCCATCCAGTACTTCTCAAGAAATAGCAAAAACAAAAATTGTTTACGGACAGACTGACGACAGACCACAGATGCAGAGCCATGTGAATAAGATTATAGGTTAAAAAATAATTGGAACAACCATGCTTTTAACTTAAAGGTATCCATTTTCATTTTCACAAAAGTTTTGATAGGATCACCAGAAACATCATCTGAAGCGGTTGAAGTGGGAAATTTAGTCATTTGTTGCTGGTTGAACTGTGCTAAATCATAAAATACTAAAGGTGACAGATTCACTGTAAATAGGAAACCAAAAGAATATTTCATCAGCTTAACAAATAGTTTTATTATTATATATAATGTGTAACTAACGTTGAATCCGTTGAGATTGTCCACTGCCAACACTGTGCTCCGTTGGTCCTCATAACACAAGAATCCAAAGCCTTTAAACTTTCCTGACTGTTTGTCCCGCACTAGATTCACATTCACTACCTCACCATATCTAGAATTCAAAAACAGATATCAGATAATCGTTCTTTATATTACTCTGTGTCTCAGAAATACTTCACTACCAGCTTATTAATCACTCATTCCAAGAACGTGATCACAGCTTGAAAGGTTTATTTTCATTATTTTCTTATGGAGAAAATCTTTATTGTCAATACATAGTTTATGTTTGGCATTTTCTAAATTGAACCAATTTCAGATTAGATTGGACCCGTCTCTTCACTGTAAAATCACATTTTCTTTGGACTAAGATTTCCTAATTTTCCAAAAATATGTATTTTTGTTGGCACTTGATTTCAATGATAAATCTTGCATCACAAAATTCACAAAATAAACTTAATTCACAAAATACTTTAAAATCTTGTAGCTGTTCATTATTTCCTAGACATGTAAATTAGTGAGTTCACAGTGCCCAAAAACTCAATGAAAATGAATTCCCCACAAAAATTAAGAATCATACAGGGGTTTGAGGTGAAATACTAAAAATAAATGGGATACCTTTTAAATTTCTATGCTTCAGCTTTGAAAGGCTGTAGGGATAGCTTAAACACAAAATCTGCCAACTTCACTGGCCATACTTACTGTGAATCTGCTAACGACAATGGCCGTACTTACTGTGAATCTGCTAACGACAATGGCCGTACTTACTGTGAATCTGATAACGACAATGGCCGTACTTACTGTGAATCTGATAACGACAATGGCCGTACTTACTGTGAATCTGATAACGACAATGGCCGTACTTACTGTGAATCTGATAACGACAATGGCCGTACTTACTGTGAATCTGATAATGACAATGGCCGTACTTACTGTGAATCTGATAACGACAATGGCCGTACTTACTGTGAATCTGATAACGACAATGGCCGTACTTACTGTGAATCTGATAACGACAATGGCCGTACTTACTGTGAATCTGATAATGACAATGGCCGTACTTACTGTGAATCTGATAACGACAATGGCCGTACTTACTGTGAATCTGATAACGACAATGGCCGTACTTACTGTGAATCTGATAATGACAATGGCCGTACTTACTGTGAATCTGATAACGACAATGGCCGTACTTACTGTGAAAACACACAGATTACATCACCCTCTGTAAGTTCATAAGGAAGTCCTCCCAAGAACACCCAAGCACTGTCTTTATACTTGTCATGCCACGATTTCTTTCCAATTAGTCCAAGTTCTAACTCTTTCTTGTTTAGCTCCTGAGTATTCTTTATATTGCTATTATTAAAACCAAATCAAAAGAACTGTTAACAACAGGATAAATAAAACTTCTTCAAGGAAATATTATTTGGTGTAACAAATACTGGGCACTTTGTAAAGCTAGTTAACACGTTGTTGTTCTGTAAGATTATTACAAAAGTTTACCTCATGCTCAGAGTATGAAGGTTTAAAGCTGAAGATGACTTTATAATTGACAACAGAGGAAGGAAATGTATACCGAAGATAAAATGACCAACACAGATTACGAACAGACCAACTCCCTACCCTGTTAATCCCAGGACTTTTTAAACAATTGTCCAAAACCTCAGTAAGGTAAAAACAGACAGAGCATGCAGGATAAATACTGTATAAGAAATGAAAGGAATCCCTTTGAGCGTCCTTAGTTTATCTGAGTATCGATGTAGGACACCAACGAGAGCAAGTAATTAAACAGTTATATTATACGAACAATTGTGATTTTTTAAAAGACTAAACAGTCCTTTACCTGCTATGATGTATATAGCTGACAAATAGTATAAGCTTACTCACGTCAAAGGATTCATTGTCGTCCTAAACGTAAACGACCATGTACGTCTCCTCGATGAATGCGTCTGAAAGCCATAGAGCCGTAGTTTCGTATTTTAAACCGGAAACGGAGAGACACAAAAAGAAAGTGAAAGTAAAAGTACATATCAAATGTCTCAAAGTATTACTTTTGTTGACTCAAAACCCGACTCAGGACCTATTGCTTTTTCAGAAGTTCCCAACACATCTGGCCAATGTATGGAAATACAGAGGGATAATAAACTGACTGTATCTCTTTGTTATATTGTAGCGGATAAATTTGAGTTAACTAACCTTGCCATTTTTTCTCCAAAAGTCCTTAACTAAACTTATCAAAATAATCTGTAGTGGAAAGCTTCATCCTTTTAAAATTGGTCTTACAAGTTTTTGTGACATATGATTTCTGTTAATTTGTGATATTTATAAAACAGAATGTATGATTAAGGTACACCCCATATTTGATACCATTTCTTGCACAAAAAATGAAATAAAATCAAATTTAAATAGATGGCATTAAAAAACTGAGTAATTTTCCAACGGACTTGTGTAACTTTTGTGATACTTCACTGTAATTAATCAGTCCTGGTCTAAAGGACTGGTGGGCAAGGGCTCAAAAAGGGATACTGAGCAAATTCTGAAAAGATCCTGCTCCTTGTGTGTTTGGGGATAAATTTTGTATAAATAGAGCCCCCACTCCTTGGTGGGAGGGGTCTGGACCCACCCCAAGGGACATAGTTTCCTTGTTACATCTCGGAAGCAGTTGAGATCCCCACCCCGTCACTACATATAGCAATGTTGGAGGTTAAGAGATAAACACAAACATGATTTAAGAATTGACCTATGGGACTTATTTTCCATTAAACTAACATGGTAGCCCTCACCACAGCATGCTACAGGCCCAATATCAGCAACCTGGTGACCTTGAAAGTGGGTCAAGGTCATTCATTTAAACAAACTTTGAACCCCCTTTGTAAAAGCATGCTACAGGCACAAGCTAAGGCACTTTTTTTTCATCTTTTGTTATTTGTATCGGTAATTTGAAAATAAACATTTGTGTTTCTGATAAATGATTACAGTAGTCAAAGTGGATATAAATGTTATGGATTTTATCATGAAAGAACTATGATTACCAAACAGTAAACAATTGTTAAGGTTAGATTTTTTCTTTCGCTTTTAAACTGTCGATGTATTCCTGAAATACATGTTTATCTGTGATATCAGTGATTATTGATGGTAATTTGGCTACAATTTTTACATATTTTCTTCCCAAAAGTGTGAATGTTATGATCAATGGCATTTAAGACAGTCAACAAGTGTTTCCTTCGTTGGTGCTGTCAGGGGTGCCATCATATTTATGCAAAACATCAAACTCTGACCCTGACTGTGAGGTCAATTATTGATAGTCTGTGTGCTGCGTATTGAACAGAACGACAACTCTAGTAGAGACTGGCTCAATATCGATGCCCTGTGCCTTCCGCTTACTATAAATTTACATAATTCAGCAAAAACTGAAATTTCATTTATATTATCAGATTTTGGCAAATTAGTGAACTGATGAATTCAGTTATCAGTCATAATTGTTATCTATGTTATAATTACCACAATATTAACTGTGCAAAAAGACGTGAAGTAAGATTATCAAAATTAGTTGCACGTACAGTATTCTGGAGAAGTTGAACATATTTTACTCCTGTGACCTTGGAAGTGGGTCAAGGTCATTCAAATAAATATACTTGTAGCCTTTATCCCAGTATACTGCATGTCTAATACCCTTAGTCTTTTGGTTATTGAGAAGAAGTTGTTAATGAGAAAGTTAGCTCTGGACATCAGATGCCAAACGACAGATGACGTACTACAGCATAAGCTCTCTTGCACTTCAGGCAATATGCGTGTACTGTATATTTTTCTTTTTTGTAACGGGCTTAACTTTAACCTTTGCTGACAGTCGTTTCAGACCAAGGTTTGTCAAGCTGTCTTTAGGGCTACATTAACAGATATCAAGAATAGTATTATGTGATATCTCCAGGAATAGTGATGAAACTGATTGAAAAATGCAGGTTCACATCATCATATCATGTCTACCCCATATAGACGTTGAAGTCGATTTGGATAGTATCCATACATTAAAGCTGATGTTATATCCTGAAATCAAGATGTCTCTATGGACATGGAGCACCTCAAACTACACCTGTTGAGACCCGAGGTCATAAGCTGAAATCAGGATATCTATTTGGGAGTACAGTACAGGGTCACAATAAATCTGATATCTGAAATCACAATATGTATTGTAAACACTCGTTAAAATCAGAATACATGTTTCCAGGTCTATGGTATCCTCACATTACCATGTGTCTCTATTGCCTAACAGTATCCCAACATTTTGAGTATTGTTGCCATATTTTGTTCATGTAGAAATTAAATAAAACACAAAGACAAATTCACTGTTTGTAGATCACATGTATTCATACTTGCATACATTCATCAGCATACTTAATACAGGACACTTAATTGGTACCAACATTATATAACTCAGTTGATCATCTTACAGTCAGCAAGCAACCAGGGACCACCTGGAGGTCTATAATCTGTTACAAGGAACCTCAATGGTGGAGGGGTTCCAAAAGACCATGAATTAGGAAGGCTACAGTCTGTAACAAGTAACGTCAGTATTGGATCTAGAGGAGTTCCAAATTAAAATTTTAGAGGTGTACCATCTTCAACAAGTAACATCACAGATGGATCTAGAGAGTTTAAAAGGAGCATATTCAGTTCTATAATCTGCAATATGTAAATATGACCTCAATGGTGGATCTAGGGTTTCAGGTTTTAGGAACCGACTCCCTTACAAGGAACATTCTTCAAGTTTTTCCCATCTGGAAATGCCTCCGGATCTGCCAATGACTGGATATCATCATTAATGTTTCTGGGAAGTTAAATATGAACTAGGCTATCATTTTCCAACCAAATATATAACAAGTTTTCTGTAAACATATAAAAAAAATGGTTAAACTTTGTACAGAATCGTAATCCTAGTCAACCTATTTATGTTGACTTACACAGATGTTTACGAAATAAATCATTACCAGTACTTGACAAAATACTGCAATAATCCATCAGTAAGGGGCACCTCTTTATTTCTACTTGTCCAGTTAAGTACGAAACCCTTTATATCTAAAGACTAGCTTAACCTTGTAAACAGTCAGGGTCATTTGAGGCAGTCTCTTTGAGATGCTGATCACTACCACTAAAAACAAAATGTAAGAGGTCTGTCACATGCTAACCAGAAGCATTGGGGTGAGATGTCTTTCTGAAGGATATCACAATTGCAAAACAGTACTGTCTGTGATGTCTGCTACCTAAGAAACAGAAACCAATCAAGTTGGGGATCAAACCACTTATCTTGGGTCTTCACCACTGCACTATAGCTGTCCACGTCAACCAAGAGGGCCTACATCTCTCACCTAGATGCTTCAGTAATCAGCCCAAATTCTCTGTTCTCATTCAACTCTACTTCTGTTTACCCAATGACCTGTTCACATCAAAACATCTACTTTGTTGTTTTCAACAAAAGTTGTTTTAAGGAAATGGTTGACACATGAATGATGCAAAATTCCATGACCTCTACAGTCCATCAGACCAGGGAAACTGAAAACCTATAACTATGCAAAACATGAGATTCAATAAAGCCAATTCTTTAGGGTCTTGAAAGTTGCATTTGTTAGAGGATGAAACTTAGGTGCTCAGTGCTTATTCAATGACATTAACTCTCGACATCAAAACGAAAATGATTTTTCTTCACTATTGTACCTTTTCAAGATTACCATCTGGTCTAAACTTTTATTCTTTTGTACAATATCCTTTTATCACCATTGAAAATCATAAACAAACTATTGATACAGATATTCATTTTTTTTTAAAAGAAAATCTGTTCCTTCCTCCCTCTGAACTGGATCCAACCAGCCAGCTGAATTCCATATGGTAACTTTAGAATCTTCTTAAAAATCTACCCAACATATTGTTCTGTTTATTGAAGAAGTGAAAAGTTATGTATCAAAGCAAGTAAGGCCTTGTGGGCATTTTTTAAAATCTACCTCTCATTCAAATTTATACATAAATTACGAAATGTACCCTGAAATCTTTCAAAATGGTAAATCATACAACATCTTGTCTCCATCAAGTTTAAAGCATTGTATGTCATTTCAACCAGTTCATAGTAATTCACTTCTCTTGTACATTCATCTGATTCCATAGTAATTCATGTCTCCTGTATATTCATATGGTGGTAGATTTGTTAGGGGTTCCACTCCTCAACAAATCTTTAATATACATAACAGAAATGTAGTTGTCTCCCTTTCTCCCTTGAACACCTTCTTGCAATTCGTCACTTTTTTAAGTATTCAATTTTCAGTAAAATCTACTGGCAACATTAAATTCTCAACAACAAAAATTAATATATTATGGATACATATAACTAAGGACTTCTTTCTCTTGTTTTACACTAAGACGCTTTTTAAGCAGCTATTGGTAAGTTTATTATAGAACAATGAAATTCTCAACAAAACCCACTTACAACTGACAGGTAACTGTTCCTGTGATACACAATCACAGGTAACAGATCACTGCTTTATTTCATAATACATTCAAACATTAAGGTTTTTTTCTGTATTTCTGAAAAAAGGTAATTGTTTACTTCCAATTTTGGGACCCTTTTAACATCATAAATATTTTTTTTGATTTGCACATTTACTCATGGAGCAAACACATCAAATTAAGACAAAATTGTCCACATTAGGTTGTTTCCGTGTACCAGGATCTCCAAAAGGTATATACCTATTCTGTTCTTTAATTACGATGTACGAGTCCCCTGGTTTCAATCAGAATGGCAAGTCTACCTGGTTTTTCAATCTGTAACTTCTTCAGCTTTCAGTCTTTGACTGTCAAGTGCACATTTATAATATATTGCAAATATGCATAATATTTAAGACAATGTATTTAAGATCTAGAAACCACTCACTCCCAGAACAACTTTGTGTGTCCATTACAGCTTCCTTATACTTGTTATGAAATATCACATCTATTGATGACATGGTAGTAGTCCACAAGTGGTTTCCTATATAACATCCACGCTGCCAAAAATACAGACTCAATTACAAACGGAAACATCATCTTGCAATCTGTGACTGTCACATTGGTGAGCGATTCGCCAAAAAGTCATCTGGAAAACATGTCCCCGTGGGATACCAACTGAAACTTCATCCAGTCTATTGAAGAGAATTGGCGATCAATAAATCTTCTTCCTAACGCCTTATGCTACATATGTGTATACTTTCCTGTAAAAAGAAATCACACTAATGAGTGCATGTATAAACAAACAAGAGTTCCTCGGAACTGTATGTGTCTCCTGCTTAAAGTGTCACGGACACCAAGAAATCAAACTGGATGTGCAACGTTAACCATAAAGTTGTAATACCAAATTTCATTTCTATGCTCTGCAGGCGACACAAAAAAAAACCCCACAAAAATTAAAACAAGAACAAATACTGTATAATAAGATTTTTTGTCTGACTTCTGTTCCACCATATATGATTTAGTCCTTGCTCTTTAATGTTGAAAAGATAACATTTGAAGCAAATGCAAAAATCACGAAACAGACCAGAAAGATTTCTCTGCAGATACATTGATACATTTATTAATATATCTTTTTTCTTTTAAATCTTATTCCACTTGCACAAAATTTAACTCCTGGAAAAATCAGATCACCCTACCAGTGTTTCTACTCTGTAAACTGATTACTATAACTTGGAAAGACAGCAGTTCTTACTTTGATGCAACTTTGTAACATAAAACCATAAAGTTTTTTTCAATAAAACACAAAAAAAATGATATTCAAAGTCTCGTGTTACCCACCTGTCATCTGGCGTACGAGCAAGGTATTCTCGTTCTATTAAGCCTTCTATCCTTTTCTTGATTATCACAGGACTAGGCAGGAATCGCACTTTAAGTTGTTCAGTAACCTGCCCAACAAATGTGACAATGGTCAAATTTTATTTTCTCTATTTACAGTTTTACAGCAACAAGTCTCTCTATTTAATATCAAAATAAGGGATGTGAATGAATATTTGAATATTCTTTCCTAAGGGCAATATCTGAACAGGAAATGACATTTTAATATTTGTGTCCTTAATTGTTAAATATCAACATTTGGTAGAGGGTTAAAATTAATCTGTTCACGTCAACAAATTGACTTGGAATAGAATTCTATCAGCTTGATCACCAAGTCATTATTAGTGTTCAAAGTGTTCATCATTATTGTTAGTCACTTTCATAAGCATTTTCCGTTGGACGTTAATGGATATTATTTATAAGTATTGTGTAACTTAAGGCCCACAAAAATATATGATTTTACAGTCTGAATCTAAACAGCACAATATATATTTGTTAGAATTCTGATTTGCTGACTGTACTTACCTCTGCAACTAAAACATTGTGCTGTAGTTTCTTCCTTGCCTTCATAATTCTCACTATGGCTGCCTCAATCGTGACCAACCAGTCAAGGAAAAAAACACTAAAATCATATTTCTTTATGCAAACATTTAACATATTTTTCTTAAATATTAGCTAGGACAGGTTTTTCAGCTTTGTTGACACATATTTCTGAAGAACTTTGCTTTACTGAAAATCAAAATTATGACTACCAATTACCAGATGCAAAATTTGACAATATCTTTGACGTTTAGTGACATGCTAACAAAATGGCAAAGCAAGTTACATTTGCCGTGTCTATTCCTTGATCTAGCAACTCAATAATGATATGAACTTTTGACAATGACCTCTTCGCTCAACTAAGCTTCAAATGAAACAGTATCTTGAATGTTTTAGAGAATATTTCTTCAGTTTGTTCTTCAGAAATATTATTAAATTCTGTTGTCAAACCTCAAAATGGCCTCTGGCAACTATCATAATATCTCTGTCAAACTCAATCATTACATTTGAAGATGGGAGAAGATTGATTCATATTTTCCAGATATAAAACCACAAGAGATCCCAGTGGTATCCTGGCACCAACCACTGTTACACATGTGCCTTTCCTAATATATACAACACCTAAAACACATAAGAGTAATACTGACAAGTCCTTGAATTACTATATCTGTCAGTTATAATAAGGACGTTAAATACAATATATTATATGACCGTTAGTTACTATACAAATCTTCCAACAATATTATGTAATACATAAATCTGAACAAGATCCATCCAGTTCTTCTCAAGAAATAGCAATAACAAAAATTGTTTATGGACGGATAGACGAACAGACAGACCATCGATGTTATTTGAAGCTGCTGTAATTGTTAGATTTGTTTTAAAGGTTGTTTGAACAAACTTAGTTTCCACTTTGTAAACAAAGAAAGATACAACAATATCAGACAATAAAACCCTGTGAGGATTGGGACTGCAGTTGTTAAAGGATATTCATGTTTACGGTCCTCATCCACTTTCGTCCGGGTTTCTTTGCGTTCTGGTTCTGCTTCACCTTTACTTGCTGTAACTGTAAAAGTATTTTGAAATTAGAAAATGTAAATTTTCATGCTTACATATCTTAGGACAAACGTGTAACCCTGAAACACAGTTATCTGAATTCATCTTTAGGATTCTCAAGTTTATCTCACATGAAACTCCATAAAGAAGTGAATTAATTATGAGCAGTGGCACAAAATTGTTCCATAGTTTTCTTTAACTGGTCATTATACACTCTAAGGTATTCTCAAAGTTTACCTTTCTTTAAACTACACTTTACTCAGTACATAACATTAATTCTGGATGTAATAGACAGGACAAGACTGACATTGGTCACAATTAATCCTTTATTTAGCATAAATTATTTCAGTATGCTGATCACATGAAAACAAGATAAAAGCACCACTGGCAAGCTGTATTTATTGTTATCTGAGCTACACTTCCAGCTAGATGAGCTAAAATCGAGTTGTAGTCTAAGATCTAATAGTAAACTTTTCCCCTCAGACAGAGATTGCTTATACTCTGGCTGCTGATAAGATGAAACAGTAAGTAATTTAATATATTTACCTGTTTGAATCTTAACCCTACATAACTTGGATGTAAAGTGGTCGTTCACCATAAATACATGATCAGGTTCTGTGAAAAAAATAAAATAATTTTAAACAACAAAATTATAATAAAATGCTTTTGTTAACAGCAAATGTGACATAATCTCTAATTGATTAACCTGGTGTTATCTGTGACATCATCTCTAATTGATTAACCTTGTGATATCTGTGACATAATCTCTAATTGATTAACCTGGTGTTATCTGTGACATAATCTCTAATTGATAAACCTCGTGATATCTGTGACATAATCTCTAATTGATAAACCTCGTGATATCTGTGACATAATCTCTAATTGATAAACCTCGTGATATCTGTGACATAATCTCTAATTGATAAACCTCGCGATATCTGTGACATAATCTCTAATTGATTAACCTGGTGTTATCTGTGACATAATCTCTAATTGATAAACCTCGTGATATCTGTGACATAATCTCTAATTGATAAACCTCGTGATATCTGTGACATAATCTCTAATTGATTAACCTGGTGTTATCTGTGACATAATCTCTAATTGATAAACCTCGTGATATCTGTGACATAATCTCTAATTGATAAACCTCGTGATATCTGTGACACAATCTCTAATTGATTAACCTGGTGTTATCTGTGACATAATCTCTAATTGATTAACCTGGTGTTATCTGTGACATAATCTCTAATTGATAAACCTCGTGATATCTGTGACATAATCTCTAATTGATAAACCTCGTGATATCTGTGACATAATCTCTAATTGATAAACCTCGTGATATCTGTGACATAATCTCTAATTGATAAACCTCGTGATATCTGTGACATAATCTCTAATTGATTAACCTGGTGTTATCTGTGACATAATCTCTAATTGATAAACCTCGTGATATCTGTGACATAATCTCTAATTGATAAACCTCGTGATATCTGTGACATAATCTCTAATTGATTAACCTGGTGTTATCTGTGACATAATCTCTAATTGATTAACCTGGTGTTATCTGTGACATAATCTCTAATTGATTAACCTGGTGTTATCTGTGACATAATCTCTAATTGATAAACCTCGTGATATCTGTGACATAATCTCTAATTGATTAACCTGGTGTTATCTGTGACATAATCTCTAATTGATTAACCTGGTGTTATCTGTGACATAATCTCTAATTGATTAACCTGGTGTTATCTGTGACATAATCTCTAATTGATTAACCTGGTGTTATCTGTGACATAATCTCTAATTGATTAACCTGGTGTTATCTGTGACATAATCTCTAATTGATTAACCTGGTGGATATCTGTGACATAATCTCTAATTGATAAACCTCGTGATATCTGTGACATAATCTCTAATTGATTAACCTGGTGTTATCTGTGACATAATCTCTAATTGATTAACCTGGTGTTATCTGTGACATAATCTCTAATTGATTAACCTGGTGTTATCTGTAACATTACCTCTAATTGATTAACCTAATCTGCAAGATCATTTGGCCTACCTCCCTATGTTTTTTATTCCTTCTGAAGGACCTTCTGGCTTACCTACTTATGTCTTTGGTTCCTTCTGTTAGACTCTCTGGCCTACCTACCTATGTCTTTTGTCTTTGGTTCCTTCTGTTAGACTCTCTGGCCTACCTACCTATGTCTTTTGTCTTTGGTTCCTTCTGTTAGACTCTCTGGCCTACCTACCTATGTCTTTTGTCTTTGGTTCCTTCTGTAGGACCCTCTGGCCTACCTACCTATGTCTTTTGTCTTTGGTTCCTTCTGTTAGACTCTCTGGCCTACCTACCTATGTCTTTTGTCTTTGGTTCCTTCTGTAGGACCCTCTGGCCTACCTACCTATGTCTTTTGTCTTTGGTTCCTTCTGTAGGACCCTCTGGCCTATCTTGCCAACAGCAAGGGACTGCATAGCTCTCATCAGATCCCGTTCTGGGATGTCTGTCTCGCTCTTCACCTCCTACATGTCATGAAAACAGTCAACTTCAGCTACAAACTTTACTATCTCAGTGACATAAAATATTTTGCGCAATCACACATTAACAGAAGAGGATTGCTGTCACGAACATATCACATTCTTTTTTAAAGTCTGATGGCATAGCTAGCAAAATTTAACTCCAACATTTTCACATCAAACTGGGAATCGAACCCACAACATCTAGTTAAAAGTCAAGTGTGTTACTACCTATTTTTAATCAGCATGGACAAGTGTGTATTGTACTAACACATCAGTCCCATCATAACATCATCAATTAAAATATGTGAAGTTGAACATAACTTTAAACATAACAATATATATCAACTGTGTGGAGACTACATTGTAATGGAGAAATGAATTATGGTGAAAAATATCAGCTGATAAAACTGTAGTGTCAGTTACAATTTGACCATGTGTGAACTGTGAATAAGACATGATTGTTCGCGAAGATTTAGGACAGCAGGTTAGATATTTCTGTGTAAACAAACAAAAATTGAAGGAAAATCACTGCACATATGGGAAAATCAAAGCATATTACAAATTTAGGTCTGTAAGTAACAAGTCAGTTTGGTGGGTTTTGACATCAAGTCAACTGTTAATGTCATGTTCCACTTTGTATCATAATTTCTGCTTACAAATGGAACATGATATTAATTGGGTTCTACTGTACTCGGACAAGTAACATATTCTAAAATAACCACTGACTAATGATAAAGAGGATGGACTTTGTGTGAAAGAAAAATCTACAGTGGCCCTACAGAAGTATAACCCTGAAATGCATCTCACCTCATATGTGCATTTGTCCCTGTTATTGAAGAGCATGAGCACACACATCTGGTAGGTGGACACTTGTATGATGTGTTTTCGAGGCCCTTTGGAGTTAGAACTGGCTCCCGATGACTGTCCTGCATCATCTTTTTTTGGGCCATAAAATGTAGCATTTAGATCAGCAGAACCCAGCTGGGGCTGTAGTGTCAACTGCCGACCACTATGTTTAGCAAGGTAAAATCTAGGAACAACAGTACAAACATTTGTTACAAAAAGTGTATAACTCATACACAGTAGACACACTTACATACAAATAAGAACAAGTGGCCAATAGGTCTAATAACATCCAATGGTATTAACAAATCAGAGTCCTTATAATATTTGTGTCCAGTCTTGATAATTTTCAGAGGACAAAATGACTGTTGTGTTCAATAAATGACCTTCCAGTTTGATGTAATCTGAGACACAGGTGAGAAGAAGCAAAAAACCATCATTTTTTAAAAAATAAAATTTTCTTTCCTGCAGGTAAAAAATGATATTTTTTCACTTATTTTAGATTTTGAGTGTATCAATTTTCTCACTAGGATTACCTATTCCTACTTCAGGTCAAATTTGGTTAAAACCTGCCAAGGATATAGAAAAGTGGTAGGAAAAACCCTCATTTCCCCATTCCTGGCCACCCTCATTTCCCCATTCCTGGCCCCAAACAATCTTTCAGACATAAGTTATATATGGAAATCCACCAGGACAGTACAGCTTACTTCCTGGTAAGACAGTCTGTACAACAATTCTGAATCATGATGTTGAAAAGAGTGTTTATTTCACAAACATCCTGACTCAGAAATATTCTATATAATGTATCAGAGGTATTGAAAATTGACTAAACGCCTTACACTTACCTCCTGAAGTCTTCAAAGGCTTTGCTTGGAGCCTTGGGTATGACACACCTGGTGGCTGACTGTGTAGGCCAGAAGCCTGTTGTCAGAACTTTCACAACCAGATCAACACCATTCAAGTTTACCTGGGATCACAAAAGACAAACATGTAAATGTGACTTTCTAATTTTATAACAATGTTCTTATTCTGCAATAATTAACTTTTTTATATTTTCAAGTTTGATGTAAAAATTATCATTATATTTCTCCTAATGACATTATTGCTTTATTGGCAGAATTAAAAGTTATCAGACTTGAAAATCACTCTTATATCAGTTTCTTTCTTAACTTCCGTTTTTTCATAGTTAGGAAGTACTGGATTTACGGAGATCTCCAAACCTCATATGAAGATTTCCAGAGGAAACACTGAGTAAAGACTGGACGTCAAATGTGTGGTTTTTATACTGCACGTCCATCATGTGTGATCCTTACAATACATAAAGCAATTCAATATGTGGTATGTTATACCTCTCCACGTGTGAGGAAGCCCTTGAATTCCTCCATGATAGTGTTGGATACTGTCATGTCTTTGAACATGCCTTCTAGTTTGGATGTGAACTGACAACCACATTCTGTCTGTAACATAAAATAACCACTTGTTAACACCAAAGTATAACATTTTACTTACCCTTGACTGTCTACCCACCTTGTTATTTCTCTTCAATGTTATGATGTCAAGCAATGAAGGCAAACAAACTTCCACTAACCATGTAATTAAAACATATTTTGGTTTTTTTCTCTGGGTTCATCACCTTGTCATTTTAAGGCATTGTCTCCTTGAAATAATTGGTGGCTACCTCACTACCAACATATGGGAAACCTGCCACACACTGTCCAGAATAATTGAGGCATCAATGTGTCTAGCTCAATGACAACCATGACAAAACTGACTGTTTGGTTTTCAGCTTCCTGAGAAAAACAACCAAACACTTCAAATCTTTATCAATGGTTGTGTTGGCCAACACTCTACCTCTGAGCTATGGCATTCCCCTCATCAAACGTTAAAAGAAAAAAATTGCAAAGGAATTTGAACTTTTCATGGAAGACTGAATTTTCAGTTTTAACTAAGGAATTTGCAGAGAATGTCAATTATATACAATTCTTGATATTGTGCCATTAATACCCCTTTATCCAAGCATGCTTCAGACCAAATGTGGACAATATACCACAGTTCCCGAAGAACAACAGAGATAAATTTTAAAGAAGTTTTTTAGATTTTTCCCATTGGGTTCTGCATATGAGTAACAGTAATGTAATATCACACAATGGTGGAACAGAAAAATTTTGGTCCAAGATTTTTAAAAATCTTCACACCAGTTTACATTCTTGTACTTTCCCCTCCATGTAGACTGTAATAATCAATCCTATTTCATGGATACCAATCTTCCAGTATAAGCATATATCAGATAGGAGTATTCACTACACAACCCTCACCGATAATCTCAATGTAGAGGAAATACATACCTTCAACTTGGATATCATGTTTTTCTCTGAGTCGTCTGAACCACTCTTACTTAGAAGTAATCTTCTAGCTAAATGCTGTTTGTAGTATCTTTCAAATACATCTTTCTCTTGAAGAAACCGGAAGAGAACCATGCTTTTGTCTAAAACCATCTCTATTTCTTGTTCTGTCATCTGCAAAATAAATTTATTGCACTGTAAACAAAACAAAAATCACTGCTTACAAATTCTAATGTATTTAAAGCTGTAGCTTTTCTAAGGTCAGTAAAACAGAACAGCTACATTGTTAAAACAGTCCTGACATAACTTGATCTAAGCTGAAGTTTTGTACCACTAAAGCATGATACTATAACCACTAGATTTAGCTTAACTTTTCTACCATAAACAATAATACAGAATCTCAACAGAAAGTAAGGACCAATGAAATGCCTTACTGTTACCACTAATCTAAGACTCTGTATCTACTGTAAACACTCACCCCCTGACTGTCTTACTGTTACCACTAATCTAAGACTCTGTATCTACTGTAAACACTCACCCCCTGACTGTCTTACTGTTACCACTAATCTAAGACTCTGTGCCTACTGTAAACACTCACCCCCTGACTGTCTTACTGTTACCACTAATCTAAGACTCTGTGCCTACTGTAAACACTCACCCCCTGACTGTCTTACTGTTACCACTAATCTAAGACTCTGTATCTACTGTAAACACTCACCCCCTGACTGTCTTACTGTTACCACTAATCTAAGGCTCTGTATCTACTGTAAACACTCACACCCTGACAATCTACAGTTACCACTAATCTAAGACTCTACCTACTGTAAACACTCACACCCTGACAATCATACAGTTACCACTAATCTAAGACTCTGTATCTACCGTAAACACTCACACCCTGACAATCATACAGTTACCACTAATCTAAGACTCTGTGCCTACTGCAAACACTCACCCCCTGACAGTCTTACTGTTACCACTAATCTAAGACTCTGTGCCTACTGTAAACACTCACCCCCTGACTGTCTTACTGTTACCACTAATCTAAGACTCTGTATCTACTGTAAACACTCACCCCCTGACTGTCTTACTGTTATCACCAATCTAAGACTCTGTATCTACTGTAAACACTCACCCCCTGACAATCATACTGTTACCACTAATCTAAGACTCTGTGCCTACTGTAAACACTCACCCCCTGACTGTCTTACTGTTACCACCAATCTAAGACTCTGTGCCTACTGTAAACACTCACCCCCTGACTGTCTTACTGTTACCACTAATCTAAGACTCTGTATCTACTGTAAACACTCACCCCCTGACTGTCTTACTGTTACCACTAATCTAAGACTCTGTGCCTACTGTAAACACTCACCCCCTGACTGTCTTACTGTTACCACCAATCTAAGACTCTGTGCCTACTGTAAACACTCACCCCCTGACTGTCTTACTGTTACCACTAATCTAAGGCTCTGTATCTACTGTAAACACTCACACCCTGACAATCTACAGTTACCACTAATCTAAGACTCTACCTACTGTAAACACTCACACCCTGACAATCATACAGTTACCACTAATCTAAGACTCTGTATCTACCGTAAACACTCACACCCTGACAATCATACAGTTACCACTAATCTAAGACTCTGTGCCTACTGTAAACACTCACCCCCTGACTGTCTTACTGTTACCACCAATCTAAGACTCTGTGCCTACTGTAAACACTCACCCCCTGACAGTCTTACTGTTACCACTAATCTAAGACTCTGTGCCTACTGTAAACACTCACCCCCTGACAGTCTTACTGTTACCACTAATCTAAGACTCTGTGCCTACTGTAAACACTCACCCCCTGACTGTCTTACTGTTACCACCAATCTAAGACTCTGTGCCTACTGTAAACACTCACCCCCTGACTGTCTTACTGTTACCACTAATCTAAGACTCTGTGCCTACTGTAAACACTCACCCCCTGACTGTCTTACTGTTACCACTAATCTAAGACTCTGTGCCTACTGTAAACACTCACCCCCTGACAGTCTTACTGTTACCACTAATCTAAGACTCTGTGCCTACTGTAAACACTCACCCCCTGAATGTCTTACTGTTACCACTAATCTAAGACTCTGTATCTACTGTAAACACTCACCCCCTGACTGTCTTACTGTTATCACCAATCTAAGACTCTGTGCCTACTGTAAACACTCACCCCCTGACAGTCTTACTGTTACCACTAATCTAAGACTCTGTGCCTACTGTAAACACTCACCCCCTGACAGTCTTACTGTTACCACTAATCTAAGACTCTGTGCCTACTGTAAACACTCACCCCCTGACTGTCTTACTGTTACCACTAATCTAAGACTCTGTGCCTACTGTAAACACTCACCCCCTGACTGTCTTACTGTTACCACTAATCTAAGACTCTGTGCCTACTGTAAACACTCACCCCCTGACTGTCTTACTGTTACCACTAATCTAAGACTCTGTGCCTACTGTAAACACTCACCCCCTGACTGTCTTACTGTTACCACTAATCTAAGACTCTGTGCCTACTGTAAACACTCACCCCCTGACTGTCTTACTGTTACCACTAATCTAAGACTCTACCTACTGTAAACACTCACCCCCTGACTGTCTTACTGTTATCAACAATCTAAGACTCTGTGCCTACTGTAAACACTCACCCCCTGACTGTCTTACTGTTACCACTAATCTAAGACTCTACCTACTGTAAACACTCACCCCCTGACTGTCTTACTGTTATCACCAATCTAAGACTCTGTGCCTACTGTAAACACTCACCCCCTGACTGTCTTACTGTTACCACTAATCTAAGACTCTGTGCCTACTGTAAACACTCACCCCCTGACTGTCTTACTGTTACCACCAATCTAAGACTCTGTGCCTACTGTAAACACTCACCCCCTGACTGTCTTACTGTTACCACTAATCTAAGACTCTGTGCCTACTGTAAACACTCACCCCCTGACTGTCTTACTGTTACCACCAATCTAAGACTCTACCTACTGTAAACACTCACCCCCTGACTGTCTTACTGTTATCACCAATCTAAGACTCTGTGCCTACTGTAAACACTCACCCCCTGACTGTCTTACTGTTACCACTAATCTAAGACTCTGTGCCTACTGTAAACACTCACCCCCTGACTGTCTTACTGTTACCACTAATCTAAGACTCTGTGCCTACTGTAAACACTCACCCCCTGACTGTCTTACTGTTACCACTAATCTAAGACTCTACCTACTGTAAACACTCACCCCCTGACTGTCTTACTGTTATCACCAATCTAAGACTCTGTGCCTACTGTAAACACTCACCCCCTGACAGTCTTACTGTTACCACTAATCTAAGACTCTACCTACTGTAAACACTCACCCCCTGACTGTCTTACTGTTACCACTAATCTAAGACTCTGTGCCTACTGTAAACACTCACCCCCTGACTGTCTTACTGTTACCACTAATCTAAGACTCTGTGCCTACTGTAAACACTCACCCCCTGACTGTCTTACTGTTACCACTAATCTAAGACTCTGTGCCTACTGTAAACACTCACCCCCTGACAGTCTTACTGTTACCACTAATCTAAGACTCTGTATCTACTGTAAACACTCACCCCCTGACTGTCTTACTGTTACCACTAATCTAAGACTCTGTGCCTACTGTAAACACTCACCCCCTGACTGTCTTACTGTTACCACTAATCTAAGACTCTGTGCCTACTGTAAACACTCACCCCCTGACTGTCTTACTGTTACCACTAATCTAAGACTCTGTATCTACCGTAAACACTCACCCCCTTGACACCCTTCTTAAGTTTGTCATCTATAAATAGTGACAGATATTCTGGGGACTTGTGGTTGATGTTAATAAAGTATTCAAAATCCTTGGAGATCATCTGTTTAAACTGTTTGTCACTACTGTAAGACTCATGTAGAAAGTGGTCAAATCTGTCCTTCAGGTCTAGAAGACTCTGTTGAAATACAAAGCAATACATTAATTTATTACCATCGACAATGGAATGCATATTATATACACAAATTATATACAATCAAACTTCGATGATTTATTTCATTGATATATCAAGCTGCAGATTTTGAGGATCTGCAAATTTAATAAAAACAAATCCCCTGTGGAAATTTATGATTTCAATTTATATTTGACCCTTAACAATTGCGCTTGGGGTGGGTCAAGTTTCCATTTTCATCTATAAAGAGAATTTCATTCCATAACATCTTGGTCTAAAGAAGGAAACCTTTTATATAAAAGCCAATTTGAATCTATTGGCCTACATCCCTGGATTAAGTTCCAGCTGTAAAGTTCTTGCCTGTATATAGGTGATGGCATTTTTGCCATCCTCTCCCTCCTCTGAGACGATGGCTTTGCCTTGCTCTCGCAGGTATACACTGATACAGTCACACATGGTCTTCAGACCCTCTGGCACACGGATGAAAAGTTTGTACATACATGCCAAATCTGTAAAAAAGCCAAATTAGACTATGTACACATAGTGAAATGTGACACCTAATCTAAAATGAAAATGTGGTCCTTTTATATGATATAAATAAAATTTGTTATTTCTAGTTTGGAGGAAACAAAATCGTCAAAGAAAGATACTGTTGTGTCTTTTGTGAAAAAAAAACTATTTTGCATCAAGCTTTTGGTGAACTGCGAAAATGTGAACCATGTTGGAAGTCAGTAATAGGAAAAATATCTTGATAAAAATTCAATCCAGGTTCTTCAAAAACTTACTCAAGCTCAAAATGACAAAAGAACATGTTGAGCATGGTTTATTAGTTTTCACAAACATATTTCTTCAAGCAGAATACCAGACACAAAAATATTGACAGAAGTCAATAAACCTCCAGTTGCTTTGCTTTTTTTGCAAGGTTTTCTTACCATCTGTTTTGTTATTCTTTAGCATGTTGACCACTCCGGAATTCTCCATCTGAAAATAATCCATTATAATATTAAAATCATGTATAAGTAAGTCATTCCAAAGGATCAAACGTATCATCACACTCATTTGCAAATCTAATCAAGATTTGCTTTTTTCAGATAATGCCTTTATCCAGATGAAACTCAATATCTTTGCATGTTTTTTCTCCAGAAGTTACAATATTAATTTTTGAAATGTTATGTATAACATTTATTTTAGAAATTTAATTTATACATCAATGTAGGTCACATTGATTTGATAATGTACGTCAATGTACTCTTAACAAATGCCAAAACAAAAAAAACACAAACCTCAACTATTGTCTTCATGTGTTTGCTGATCAATTCTTCTTCTAAAACCTGTAAATACAAACCTCATTGTTAATCTTTCTCTGTTATATTATGTTGCTGTGTTGTATCTTCATAAAGAAATGACTGCCAAAACAGACACCAGATTCAAGATATTTCATTATCATCGAAAACCTTTCATTTCATTTCTTAGCATTCAAATTTGTAAGACTTAATTACCCTTTAACATCCTCTCATCATAATGAAGGGAAACTACAAGATAAGTGGATTTCTCTATAATGAAAGCATCATGTTATGTTTTAACTTCACTGTAAAAAGACACTTCTCAATCACCTTTAATATGTTTTATCACTGAAGGACAAATGTTTATAAGAGTATTCCCTATTTTTCAAATAATTCTTTTTTAATATATATTTCCTAATTCCTATCAATACTGAATTGTTACATGAAGTTCCTTTGTGTATTATTCCATACGTAACCTTAACAATAGGTTCTTCTGTGGATTTGTCAAGGTAATGTGTGGCTCTCTCTGCCTCTTCATTAATTCTTGCTTCTACTTTTTTGATATACACAGAGGCACTGTTTTCAGCGAGGAACTTCTGACTTTCAGACTAGAAAACAAAATTCCCAATTTTACAGATGTTACTCTATACAAGATCAATGATCACAAAATGAATTTTGACACACCCTGACAGACTTAAATAATACAATATGTTTTCGTGTGTCATTCAACATTTTTTTAATCTGTTTACTAATTAAATGTCAAACCAAGCAAGCTGGGATAAAAAATCAGATTATTTAGGGTAAAAGAACATCTGAAATATCATCAGAAAAGGTGGACTTCGCAAGTTAAATGTACCCTGTAAAATTCAGCAGATTGTTCCAGGAAGGGTCTTTCAAAGTCTTCCTCGTAGACTGTACGCGAGTCTATACCTAGGACCATCAACATCTGACAGGCATTCTTCACAGCACCCCTACAATAACAGAAAGTGATATATATTCACCAAGGAACCGTGTTACATAAAACTTCAGCAATGTGCAAACAAAAATTCTGGATCTGATCAGGTTAATTCAACAAAAAGAGTATCAGTGAAACTGATGAATGCTCACCGCAAAGGACTTTAATGGACAAAATTTTTTAAGAAAGGCAATAATTCTCTTAGTATGATCATCAAGTTTCTTCATCATAGTGTAATTGAAGGCAAAATTATGCTACAACCAAAAACATTTGAGGACAGTAACTCTAAAGAGGTTTGAAGACCTCAATTTAATATATGCACATCCTCTTAGAATGACCAATGTATACACAGAATTTCATTGTCCTTGCTAAAATGACACCAAAGTTCTGCTCTGTACACAAAAAATTTAACAAAGGGCGATTTCTCTAATAGAGAGGTCACAGGCCTTGACTTAAGCACTGCACAATGCTTTTGTATGACTGATGTATACATCATATTTCAATATCCTAGTTTAAATTATGGCAAAGTTATGATCAAGATACAAAATTTTAACAAAGGGCAATAACTCTGTATTTATGGAGTTGTGCGCCCTGAATCTGGTACACTACATATCTCCTTAATATGATTAATGTATATACTAATTTCATTACACGAGTTTTAATGCAAGCAAATTTATGCTCCATACAAAAAATTGGAACACAGGGCAATAACTCTGTAATCGAAGAGTCAAGGGCCCTTATTCGGTACATCAAGATTCATTATCCTAGTTTAAATGCAAGCAATGTCTCAAAATAAATTTTAACAGAGGGCAATAACTCTGTAATAAAGGGGTTGCAGGCCCTGAATTTCATACACTGTACATTATCTTAATATGATCAATATATAAACCAAAATTCATCATCCTTCTTGAAATTCTGGCGAAGTTATGCTCTGAACACAAAAGTTTACAGTAGGGCCATAACTCTGTAACAGACAGGTTGAGGCCCTAAATTTGGTACAAAATGCCTTCGTAGGACAAACATGTATATGCAAATTCTAATGATTCTTGCTTAGCTGAGGGCAAAATTATGCTCCAGCCACAAAAGGACAGACAGAGAGAGGAACGGACAAAATGGAGACTATATGTTCCCCCAAAAAAATATGTTTTTCAGAAACAGTTTAATAAACTGACACTATCTTTAAATGGTTTTTACAATCTGACCTCAAAACAAATATTTTTGCTAATATACTCACTGTAGACAAATGATTCACATAATGGAATAACAAGAGAGTAAAAACAAAATGTTATTTAAACATGAACCCTTCCTGAAGTAAATTTTGTTCACTGGTTCACTTCAGACCATATTTAGGATACAGTAATCATTAACAGCAAAACTTCTAATACTGAAATGATCAGCTCAAAATTTCTTGATACACCAGTCAGTACCTGTCAACTACTTCTCCCCGTCTTTCCTTAGCAACCATCTCCAGAAGTGTCATTTTCAAGTGATCACGTATAGTCGGATGACGTACCACATGATCTCTGTAAATCATCAACCCCAAGTTGTACACATTGTCTACATTGTTTTGTTGGACATAGACTCGGTCCTGAAACACAAAGTATTTATAATACATCAAAAACCTTCAATTCAAATCTGGTTTACAGGTAGAAATCTTTTAGTAAACAGTGATATCACATATATTTTGACTGGATAATTTTCATGATCTAATCACTGATGTACCCATGAATCCCCAACACATTGCAAGTTATCATTCTGACACTTACTGAGATGAATTTCAGGCACACAACAAAGCAAAATATAGACAAATTTATATATATGTGATCAAATCTATTGCCAACTTAATTTGAAAGAGAGCATCCTAGGTGAAGAGCTTAGAGCAAATGAGAGGCATTTCCAACAAAAAATTCCAATATCAGTTTTGTTGATTTTCACGCGGTGTTGCTATATTTACATCACTTTAAGGCTCAAATAAGTTAGAATGGAGGCAATATGTTTATTTTTTATGCATTTACTAAAGATAAGGTCATGATTTTGTCATTTTATTACTTGACACACAAGGAAGACAAAAATTTGTGCATAAAAACAAGCATATTGCCTTCTATATATATATATATACACAGAATGTTATAAAGTTTTCAACTAATCAAGGATTTTGATTATTACCAAACACAGGTAAAAAACAAAGAAAAATTGTCATTCTACCTAAGAATGTTGAGAAAGATCATACAAGTATTTTCTCAGAAGTAACGATAACATTGCTAATATGTCAAAATTTTAAAACTTGACACCAAATAGCCATGCATTTCTTCTTCCCTTCATCACTCAAAACTGAACATGCACAAGGGACACAGCCGGAAACCTACATATCATATTTGAGAACAATCCATCAAAAAATGAAATGACCTGAGAAATAAACAAGGTTACCAAATGTTCTCACTGCAAGCAAAATACAGCCTGAAATGTCCATCATCATTACAGAGAACAGTAGCTGCCCGTTCAATTTTCTCTGGACTGAAGACCTTGATGGTAGTGTTTGTTGTCAGTCAGTCTTACCATGTACATGAGAATATCCCGAATCATCACCATGGATGTCTGATGATCATTCCACGCACTGTTCAGGATCTGGAGAAAATTGTTGTTTAAAGCTGACAGAACATCTACCCGTACCTACAAAACAGTTTTGAACAATTCAATGAGAATTTAGCTTTCAAGAATAGGTGAAAAAATTCAATGGAAATATCATTTTACTTGATCATTAGCTAAGCCCCTTTAGAAGAATTATTCCTCATCATTATGGAAATGATACACAAAATACCAGTGGTATCATCATGGTATGATATGAATGGTAAGTATTAGCTCTTATTTTGTCTCATTTTCCATAATTTTTGTGAGATTTTTTGTCTGGTCAGAATATTACTTTTAAATTCTAGCGAGGCCAATGGAAGAAGGTCAAGGACATCAATACTAAAGTTCTAAATATCACAGATTGGCATGACAATAATTGGTCATATCTAAAGTCAATGGTGAAGAGGTGTTTAAAGGCCCTCATATTAATACTGTATCAATTTCATTGTTAATTATTAAATATATGCATTTAGAACACAATCTACCATGTAATCAAGTAATGAAAAATGTGATTCAAACCTTCTTTCAAGACTGGAGCAGGTTATAATATGGTCAATATTTGGGCTGTCACAAATCAATGGATAGGATATTACTGGCTAGGTTTGAGCATGGCTCTTATTTGAATTTGAACTCCCAAAGTTACAAAACAGTGCTACCCGATACTGAACACAAGTGGCAATGAAATGAATGAGGTGAAGCAATTTAGCATTCAGTTACCAAATCAAAGTGCAAAGGGCACTCAGAGAGTGTGTATGAAGGACTGAAATAAAGAAATGAATGAAATGGTATATCCTTATGGAAAAGCAGAAAAAAATTGAAGAAGGTGCCCTTTTCACCAAATATTCTCGTTTTTTTTCATTAACATTCATTTATTTCAATAAATGAAACAGTGTTCAATGACAAGGAATATGGTTCTGGAATTATATATTCTTTAGTAATCGGTCAGAGTGGTTCTGTCAGCGGAGGTTCTATACATTTAGTCTTACCCAGATGAGAAAAGTATGATTGGAGAGGTAATAACTGATTGGGCCATGCCAGGTGTGACTAAAACCTACACCTATGAACAATGTGAACACTTGATGTGATTAGGTTACATACAATTAGCTTATTTCGAGTACTGGACTACAGCTGTGGATCCTCGCAAAATATTTGTATATTTTTTACTTTTTTAGTACTTATGGGCGTTGTGGAGATTTCAGTTAAAATTGTTACTGACAACAGCGCAATTCTCTACCATTACTCTGTTGGTTATATGATAAACTTTTTTTGTGATCAATAACATCAATTCAAGGTACATTTGAGCACTACAAATTTCAGTTTTTAAATACAGCATGTATGTATTAAACTGATGAGTCCTTCTTTTTATCTGTACTTAGTCCAAAGTATTCAATGTTCCATTGCCTTTTTTTTTATATCAGCCTGGAGGCAATGGAGTCAGGTTCATTGACTCCACACTGGTGTGATACTGCTACCATTTCCTTGTACAAAGCTAGTTCTAGACACAACAAATATCAATTCCGAAAAAAACTTTGGATAAAACTTTCAATGAGCGACCTTATCAATAGTGACAAAACAATGAATGAAAAAGTTTTTTAATTACCTAATTGATACATTGTAAAAGAAACTAGTTCTCGAAGATGGAGTGCACAGACAGTTTGAAATATGTTTGCCCTTTCAATTATAATACGATCATCTTAGTAAAACTACAATTTTCCTATAGAAGAATAAAAGTTAATCAATTTTCGTCAACTCGTAGAATAAAGACTTTGTCACACATTTAAGTGTGTATAAAACTTTGAATGGATGGACAATGGGAGGAAACAAGAATGGTAGGAGATAAGCCAACTGTTTGCTTTCAAAGACAAGAGATGTAGTAATATGTGAATAAAGTAGTTCGAAGTCGTCACAGATGGAATATGTTATTTAATGAGATATTTACAGAGCAAAATGTGTACTGCTGTTTTTTGTGAAGGAATAATGAGGATCAATGTTATAAATCTGTTGACAACTATAGATGCTTAGCATGTAAAAAGAAAATATTACACTAACAAAGAAAGCATTCACTTTCTATGAAAATTGAATCACAACCCTCCAATTCTGTAATTGATTAACTGAATAAGGAAACCTATTAACTTATAATCGATTATCAATTATGGATTTCAACCATTTTCTCATAACTATATATTAAACAACTAAATTCTAGCAAAAACATGACAGGTGTTGCTCATGGCAAGGGTACTTGTAAATCAAGTTTTCTTTACATATTTATGTACATAGAATGATACATAAAAGCAACAATATGCCTGAATTAGGGACATCTCAAATCTATTCCATTCAGCGCAAGACCATTAGCAACCATTATACAGCTGACACAATTTAATGACAAAAATGTACTTCAGCAGAAGTTGCATTGACAACAGACAATAATAATGAACATTTCCACTCACAATCATGTGTAAAGGATTTCGTTAATTGTCAAACGTATCATCATACAAAGTCAGATATGCTCATTAGACTTTAGAAACAAACCTCCGTCACAAACAGGTAAACTGAGCCATTAAGAAATTTTATGATTGATAAAGAAATAATTCTTCAATAATCTGGACTAACTATTTCAAATCAGTATATGATACTATAATGTAATCCTTGAAAAGTCAAATACATTTCACAACGATGACTCAATATCAGATTGTACCTTTGTAACAAGGTGATCATGTACAACTTCCTTTAATCCAGTATAAAGTTTTTCACCATGCTTGTGCAACACCATTGTATAAGCATTTCGGTAAAGTTCCTCAAAGCTAAGTCCACTGTTGTTTTTCTTCTGTATTTCTTGAATAGCATTTTTCAACAGAGCCCAAATGTTGTTGACATATTTCTCATCCATTGTCATCTGCAAAAATAAAAAAAAAAAACATTGACAAAAATGACGCCGTAATCTGCTTTTCGTATAACAGAAAAGATTCAAATGGCTACTTTACTGAACCTGTTCACTTATAAAAAACAAGCGTCATATAAGGTATCGGCCATAAAGTGTACAAAACCTTAAGCCAAGTGAATAGGAAATGTTTACAGATCAAGAGTGTGACCTGACACTTCAGACAATCTAACAGGATCTACGTTTCGAGAAACGACAGAAACACAACATATGTATACAAAACTGAAAACAGAAAATGTTTTTCACGACTTACTGGAAATGCTCTGATCCGCATCTTTGTGTCTTTCCGGGGTTGCGTTCGTGTTCCACTCATCTTGAAGATAGCTCGATATCAATGGATATAAATGGAGGTTCGAAGCAAATAAAACGACTGATATATAATTCAGTAAAGCTGAAATATTGCCCCAGAATACAAAACGAAATCAACATCTATACCATAGTCAATTCATATTGAATTCTCTTAAACGTATGTTTCTTCATCTTGGTCCAAATTAAGTGTAATTAGGAAGAAATTTATATCTTAACCGTGTGGAATTGCCGTTTTTCAGTGTCAAGACTGACAAAATTATACAAATACAATACTGATTCCGCGCCCGAAAATAGTCATAAAGATAAATAACTGGAAACAGCACAGAACTTCGTATTTTCTCCAAAATGGTCCTATACTGTATCATAATTGAATAAGTGAGTATGAAATATATGGGTTATATGAAGATTTGTAGCCAGAGTATGGAAACATATTCCTCGGCAATCATGCGGATTGATACTACGTTTCAACAAGGTCGATTCTTCATAGTTCCATACATCCCATAATATATATCTTATTACGTCACTTCCGTAAATCTTATGGCGCTATATATAGATAGTATATCTTCTATTTTTAGACTGCTATACATACATATACGTCGCCAGAACACTGACGATCATCGTGCAGACGATACCCGGACACGGGTGGATTTACGAAGAAGAAAAAACATTTCAACCAACCTCTCTCACAAGGCAAGAGACATAACGAAATGAAACAGAGAGGTTAATACAATCTTGTTAACTTGGTCATGTTTAAACAAAAATACTTTTCATGACCATTAGGAAACATTAGCATGTAGCATATAAGCATATAAGATGTCTTATTTTCGAATGTTTGCCCTAAAATAGTCAAATACAGAAGTACCTACAATATACAAAGAAAAGCGTAGCCAAAGAATACATATCACTGGCACAATAGTTATAGAATTACAATACTAAAGATACCGACAAAGTATCAAATTTCAGACAATCTACTTTCACGGGAATTTTTATAACACGTAAGTTTGAATGAGTCCAGTCGCACTATTGACATACACGTGTGAGATAAATAATACAGTATCACATTTATTTTCAATAGAATACAATAAGAAGTATTAGAAAACGTTTTAAAAACAATTGTATCCATTATTAATGAAATATTGAAAGCGAGAGAAATATCGGGGTAACCATAAATAGGCATCTCACGTGTGTAAAGTATATACATGTTCAAGTAAATAAGGCAAATCAGATTGTTGGGCTCCTGAGAAATGAGTATGTTTATGGCCTACTACACGACCTGTCAGTATGTTTATCATTAAAAACGTCAATGTTCAAATCATTGCCATCTGAAAGTGCAGGGTTTTTTCCCCGTGACAACGAGGCATCTATACTTGAATTGATTCAGTCCGATATCTATCAAATCTGGTTGCATGAATATAACTGTGCGGGGTTTAAGTTATGAATATATTATTGTTATGTCGGATCCAAAATGAAAAAAAAACAAGATCGAAAACCGCACCAAAATCGACCTGGCCAATACCGAGATATTGACCATTACATGTAAAATGACGTATTGATATATGCCTCCCCTTCCACCTAACAAGCAGACGTGTCTTAACTCTCGCTGAAAGGGGCCCTATCGGCTGATTTTTGTTCAAGTTTTGAAGAATACGGTTTTGCTAAATACAGTATTATGAAGACGGTATCCAGCCACATGTAAATTCCCAGAATTTTCAGTCCGTGTACATAGAATGGTAGCTTTACATACATCTTTCTGAGCACTGATGATAAATTTGTCAAAAGAAAAAGTTTGTAAGGAAATTATATTTCATAATTATATTTTCTTTATTTTAACTGAAATTAAAGTTTAATGATTTTATTTTGTAAAAACCGTTATTTCATATCATGTCGTTTAGCAGTGATATCCCATGCTCGGTTTCTTTGCCAGTCTTTTACAAAGTTATATCAAGGTCATATGTCTGCGGTTATTTAGTGTTGTAACGGTATGGTTCAAGACAACAGAAATGTATATATTTTTAGATAACTACAATATTGGTGTTTCACATCTGATTAATTATGGTATGGACTTGCATTGTAAACATATCCAAGTCTGTGGTTTTAGCATAGGAGTTGTTGCAACATGGCCTGGATCATACGTGTAACATATTTAGTTACTTTCATAACCTTACATGAATGATTTTTTGGTTCAATGTAACTAAAATTAGTAGTTACTGATTAGGGCTTTTCACTAACTGGTGAAAAGACCTGTTGTTTTTGTTGTATTCTTATTATTCTTCTTCCGTATTTTGTGGGTTCGTAATATTTTAAATTGTAAAAGCTAGACATACAGTCTTTTCACCTATTTGTAGATACGTATATGAAGTTGGTCATGCCGATTTTTTAAGTAGGTCAAAACTCCAATATGGCCGCCATGACGTCATAAATTAAAAACTTAAAAACGGCAATATCTCGAAAACTATTGATTGTACAGAGTTTGTGCAATAATATTATTTGTAGAGAATTTCCATATCTAACTTTTGTTCATGCCATATGAATACAAAATATGTCAAATAAAAAAGCTCGCTGTGGGGTAAAGTTTTCAAAATTTAACAATTTGTTTCTTTTTTTTTCAATTTTTAATTTTTCTTGAAATTTTCTTCTTTAGATCGATGCAAAACGACCTTCCGATGAATTTAGTGTTTTCAGTTCTTCTGAAACGTTTACCACTTCCGCTGTACGCCATTTTGAACATTTTCTCTGATCTTTTAAAAATGCCGACAAATAGGAAAAGTTCGTTCTGGATCAATATTGATGGGCTATATTTTATCAAATTGTTTCTGAGAAGATTTCCCCAGATGTCTTCTACCATTTAGTGACATTTACAAATTCATCGGAAAATAAAATGGCCGCCATGACGTCATTTCCGATTTTACCTAAAATACCGTAACTCAAGAACTGTTTAAGCTAGTGACCTCGGTTTTTATCATATGTAAATTAAAAAGAAAACACTTTCCACAAGAAAAAAACTGGGATCAAAGGTCAACTTCCGGTTTTCGGTAGGGGTCAAAGTTCAAAAGTGTTATTTTCAGTTACAAACTTTGACAAACTTCTTTTCAAATTCTGCAAAGCCTTGAGTCTTGATATTTCATGTGTAAGATGTTTGTTTAATTATCTATCAAGTTTGAAAATATAAATGACCTTGACCTACTTTCAAGGTCACAGGGGTCAATTATGTAAAAATCGTTAAATGGTAATTTCTCCATTGTTAAGCTGCCCAAAGTCTACAACTTTGGACATAAATATTCTGTGGACATTTCCTGTCGATTGATATAAGAGAAACGTACCTCAAAATTCAACTTCCGGTTTGCGGTAGGGGGTCAATGTCGAAAAGTGCTATTAAGGGTACCAATCTTTGAAAAACGTCTTCTCAAGTTCTGAAAGGCCTAGAGGCTCTATATTTCAGATATATGAAGCATATGTAACTGGCATTAAAGTTTGATAATATAAATGACCTTGACCCACTTTCAAGGTCACAGAGGTCAATTAATTGAGAATCGTTAAATGACAGTTTCTCACTTTCTAGAAGGCACACAATGATGAAAATTGATTATAAACCTTCTGTGGACACTTCCTATTGATTGGCATAAGAAAAACTTCCCTTAAAGTTCAACTCCCGGTTTTCGGTAGGGCACAAATTTGGAGAGAGCTAATTAGGGTACCAATCTTTGAAAAACTTTTACTCAAGTTCTGGAAGGCCTAGATGCTTGATATTTCACATATAAGAAGCATATGTAACTGGCAACAAAGTTTGATAATATAAATGACCTTGACCCAATTTCAAGGTCACAGGGATCAATTAACTAAAAATCGTTAAATGACAGTTTCTCAATTTCTAGAAGGCATACACTGATGAAAATTAATTATAAACCTTCTGTGGAGACTTCGTAGTGATTGTCATAAGAAAAACTTCCCCCAAAATGACAACTTCCGGTTTCCGAAAGGGGTCAAAGTTCAAATATACAAAATAGGGTACCAGTGTTCAACAATCTTCTTGTCAAGTTTCACAAGGTATAGAGAACTAATATTGGGGATATATTGATCATCAGATGTTACATTATAAGGCTTGCAAATATGAATAACCTTGACCGACATTCAAGATCACAGGGGTCAAATATGTTTGAAGTGTATTTCTTCGTTATTATGTAGTTATATCTCCTTAACGTTTCAAGATAACAAGTTCATCTTTGGATATGTTGTAGAGACTAACAAACAAGGAATCTTTCTCATATATTGTTACCAGGATAAATGTCAACTTCCGGTCAACTTGTCGCCAAAGAAGTGAAAAGCCCGCAAAATTGGTAACAATTTCTAGTTTTATTTAACATTGTCATAAAAAAACATTTTGTACAGTTATTCCTAATACTGCATTCTCCTGCTCCACTTTCTATACTTTGAAACATATGATATGTACAACCATCAGATTTGAAATGTACATTTATCAAAGATAACAGCTGTTTCGTTTCGTGATAGCTTTGTGTTTGATTATCTCAATACATTTTTAATCAGAATGAACAACTGAACATCTCTGATTTCTTATGATTTATTCACATCTATCACATCAATTAAAACATGGTTTCAATGGCATTCAAATACAAAATATTTCAAGCACTACTTTTAGAATCATGATTTCGACAAGTGTCTTTATACTACATGTATATAATTCCCAATTGATTATCTGCAGAAGCATCTTTGAGTATGGGCGAAAGTCCGTATATCTGTATGAGCTGTCTCTAGCCACACATAGGGGCGACAACTCTTCCGCGTTTGACGATGGGTGGTAGACATGCCTTGTTAATTGAGAAGGGGTTGGGCAGCAGTTGTTCCCGGGAACCCGGGTATCTGCTGGGTCGCCTTTGTTTTGTCACTGGGATAACACTGTCAGTTAAATCAGTGTCTCTGTAATAAAGAATTAATGTCACTTATAAAACCTTATAATCATAAACCACTGAAAATTCATTTATAATTATCAGATTTTGCCAAATCGAGATCACGTGACGTAATGGGTTACGTCACTTTTTTTTACAAAAATATTTACTTTACATATGGTGGCCAATTTTGATATTCTATTCTTATCATCTTCCAGCACCATATTTTATTTCTTTATGTCACATAAGACATTTAAATGACCCAGTGCCACTTCCTTTGTTAAGAAGACACTCACCTGTCACCAAACATTTGTGTCAGTATACAACTGGACTCCGTGTCTGAAATAAAAGTTTATTTAGTTTAGCTAAAGTACTCATTAGTCAAAACATTTTACGTAGAATTGAAAAGTCACAGAATAATGTCTTAAAAGAATGGATATTCAACTTGGCAATAAGCAATGGATATTCAACTTGGCAATAAGCAATGGATATTCAACTTGTCAATAAGCAATGTACATTCAACTTGTCAATAAGCAATGTATATTCAACTTGGCAATAAGCAATGGATATTCAACTTGGCAATAAGCAATGGATATTCAACTTGTCAATAAGCAATGGATATTCAACTTGGCAATAAGCAATGGATATTCAACTTGTCTATAAAGAATTGATATTCAAATTGTTTATCTGCTTTTTCGGTTCCGAATGCAAGTTAAGTGATGGTGTCTGGATTGAGGGATGCGTTTCTTCTGGTTCCAACACTAAATAATATCTTCTCTAAATTGTCTAACATCTGGTGTTGGGATAAGATGAAACTCGGGGCAGTATTGATACCCACAGTGACATGAGAAATTGTAACGATTTATTTATAACATTTTTTGACGTTTTGTGGACTGCAACATTCAAATACACGTGTAGTAAGTTCTCTTGTCCCTATGTTGCTACCTTCACATATTTGTAAGTAAAGAAAACTTTACAATATACAAGTATCTCTAGTCCCTATGCCTGGCAATGAAAGTATTATACAACTTACTGTCACGGTACACTGGCAAGTGCACAGCTTTGACCGGGCATGGACCAGCACGAGCAGTTTTTGGTTTAGCATTTTTCTTAGGGTCCACCACAGGGGCCAGTTTGTTCTTGTTGATCGGGAAAGGACTTGGCACCAACTGGTCTCTGGGCCCAGGGACTGGGTACCTTATAGGACTGAAAATGGATCAGAAGTTTTAGAGTTAAGCCTTGAATGAGTTCCTATCTTATCCATAAATGTTTAGATGGCATTGATATTTTCAAACTTTTGTCGTTAGTTAAGACAAATCAGTAAATATTGGAGATTTCTGTTCTGCCAACTATCTACATACTTTGTGTTAATTGTTGCTTCAGGCATGGGTGTTGTGATCTGCTGACCAGTGAAAGTATCATTCTCTCCTTTAAGAAAAACAAACAAAAAACTGAGTGAAAAAAAAGAAGAAGCAAAACAAATATGAAAGAAAACAAAGAAACTGATGTTAAGGTGGTTGAAATAAGTCTCAATTCCTGTCAAGATATTTTGGCACTTTATTCCAATCGAAAAACTTACAAGAAGCTTTTTTTTTTTAAGTGAATAAATGAAATATTAATAAGAAAAAATGAATAAACAAATGATAGTTAGAAAATAATCAACTAGAAAAGATACAGATTAAATTGGTGAAATGATCAAGACTTACTTTGTTTGTCAAAGGGCATGTGTACAGCGATGGCTGGACGTGGAATCGCATGAGCAGTTTTAGATTTAGGATTTTTCTTGGGGTCCACCACAGGAGCCAGTTTGTTCTTGTTGATGGGGAAAGGACTTGGCACCAACTGGTCTCTGGGCCCAGGGACTGGGTACCTTATAGGACTGAGTATGAAAGAACTGCACATTAGCAATTGATTCCAGACTAATCTGTTTAAAAAAAAACTGATAAAATGTCAGCATGATTAAGACTATCTCGTATTAAAATACATATTTTACAGTAAAGACATCACGGCACACAATGTACACGTACCGATTCATTTCGCCTGGTAAATATAACTTATTTAACAAAACACTTACTTGTTATTCAATACTTCTTTCACAGATAAGTTTGTCTGCAGACCAGCAGATGTTGATTTGAGATCTGAAGAAAAAAAATAAGTTTAAGTGTCTTTTGTAGGAACTCAAGTAAAAGCTAGCGATTTCTGTTGGAACAAAAATTATTGAAATGGGAATAAGTTTCAGTACTGAATGTGAACACGGACTCATTTTACTTAAAAATGATTTTTAAAAAAATATATTTAAAAAAAAGAAGCAAAACAACAAAAATCAAACAAACGCAAAGTATTTACCGTTGCAAATGTCCTTTTTATGAATGTTCGTTTCTCCTTTCCCGTAAAATGTGTCTCTTGGACTTGTACTTGGACAATACCAGGGCAAATCTGTGTTTCTGGTTCTACAAAAATCACCTGAACCATTTCCAGCACCAGGTTCTGTTCCATACTTCTGTGTCTCGCATTCTGGTGGGGTAGTATATTTTGCCTGATATGATTTCTGTGCACGGATTCCGTGACGTCGGTGAAGTCTGTTTGCTTCTGGTTTTGGCTCCTTTGGTGGAGTTGGGACAATGTCATAACTGCTTATGTCTGCGAAGTCGATCTTACTTTTGATACCTAAACAAAATGATAATGTATACATGGTTGAATGCCGTTGAAACACAAATGTTTTCTTATATTTAAAGATACTTACTTTATAAGTTATTACTTAGTCAAGTTACAAGCCCCCTAAAGTAAAGCACCAACTCGATGTAACATGTGTAATTCCGAAAATTTACAAACCACGAGGTTTCCAAGAGAAGTTTTATCAATCTGCGTATCGGTTATAAACTTACTTTCCATTCTGTGTGTACGCAATGCCTTCTTAATGTCTGAAACTTCCATTTTTTCGATTCAATCTTGCAGGAAAAATGTCCTGACAGCTGCTACAAATGTCGTCCTTTCGTAGCTACCGCCGGGAAAACTCACGTGAGCGAACAATGGACAATGCACTCTTTTGATTGGATAAAAATCACATGATCATATGATCGGTTTTGATTGGATAAAACAATGTTGATTCTAAAAGGGGAGCCGGATCTAAGTCCGGATTATTGAATTCCGTTGTTTTATTATTAATAATAATAATAATTCTGGACGCAGGCTTTTAAAGCCTATATATATCCAGATCTGAGTTATCAAGTTTCCCGAAGATGAATAAGTTTGTTATTGTCTATTTCATGATTGTAAATGCAATTTTAATTTTTAATTCTATTTTGAATGTATGTGCTTAAACGAACTGTACAGGAGAAAACTAATTATGTAGACCTCGAGTTTTGAACAACCTGCTTGTCGAACACTCTGTGATTTATGTATCTTCATTATATTCAAGTGTGAGGAGGAACTACTGCGACGGGATACAAACAACTATATATATATATATATATATATATATATATATATATATATATATAGTTTGACATATGAGGGAAAGAGAGACTCAGGCGGCAATCACCATTGTTGATGGATATATTCACTATTCAATAAACTTTATCAAACGACTATCCCCATCCCATCCCAATGTTGTCTTTCTCTGCGTCCTCGCTGATCCGTCTGGTATAACGTGTATCACATTTCCGTTATAGCCAGGACAATTAAGAGTTCTTGTAAATATAGACATTACTCATAATTCGTTATATTACGACAGAAGAGAGAAAAAAAATATGTGGAACTCCGAAGAGTAAATCGGTGGATATTGGACTAGAATCAAAATCTAATTGTAACTTTAATATATCGTTGGGTGGACTTGCAAATTATTCCATTTTTCTTGTTCAAACAACTCAAGATTTCAAAATATTACAAAGCGCAGGTCTAACGGGATGAAATCATTATGCAAGCTCACGATAAAATTTAAATGTTTGTCATCATGATAACTATATACATGATTTAAACATATCTTATTATCAGTAGCAGATAAATGGATCACAGACAAACTCTAGCAACTTGTGAACTCTTCTCCATAGATAGAATTACAAATCATTAATACACTGCACGTGACACATATTTATACTATAAACATGAAAATATGTAATTCGTAGACGTACAAATGTAAGTTTAAATCATTTTGTCAAAAGGAGGAAAAGATGAGATGATAGGATAGAAAGAAAAAAAGAAAAAAGGAGATAATGTAGATTTTATATCAATTTTACACCAATTCAATTCTATTTACATAAACTAAATGAAAAGGATCTTCAATAGGATGTCCACACTGACAATTTCTATAATCAATTAAATTCGCAAAATGGAAATCTTGATTCAGAGCGCTAGACCTGTCTCTTAACCTGACACGAGAAATGTATTTTCTGTCATCAATTCGATATTAGAAAGGAATTTGTGAATCTCTATAGTTACAAAGACAAATCTAAAAGGATGACTATGATATACTTTGTCGGATTTCGTTGTGTAACTGGTTCCATAGTCAGATTGTAGAGACAAAGAAGGACGATGTTATGAATCACAAACGGTAATTCAGTAGAGAACGACTGTTGGAATTTCATTATGTTGTGAATGTTCAGAGACTAAAGTCCGAAGAAGAACTGTTGGCAGGGTCAGATATAGGAAATGATTAAAAATTACTAAATATAGCTACATGTATCTTGTTTTGTATGGAATATTTTTTATCTTTCGAACGCAATAATATTTCGTTCCCTCTCAGTAATATTTCATTCCCACGCAAATAATATTTCGTTACCACGCAATAGTATTTTGTTCCCACGCAATACTATTTCGTTACCACGCAATACATATTTTTTGTGATGTCCGTTCCAAGCCACCATAGGTATGTCAAGGATATATAAGATGAATAATAAAGGACCTAGTACAGAAATAGAGCTGTAGCATCTTAAAGCTTTGGCTCTGTAATATCAATCAATATCAATCAGTCCGTCCGTCTGTCGTCCGTCCGGTGTCAACCTTCACTTCAAACGACTTCTCAGTAACCGAAAGTCCTGCTGGAATGAAGGGCTACAAAGTTTGTTCAAATGAATGACCTTGACCCACTTTCAAGATTCTTCACCTTATGATAAACAGATGCATTGTAAATATTTGTTAATAGGATTGGCCTTGTACTACATCCAGTCTTCCCTCTGAAAACTTCAAATAATTCCTGGACCATAACATTACAATTGAAACCATTATACTGTACTACCTAGTGAAGTCAATGTTCATGATTTCACGTTTGCCATCAACCCCATCTTAATTCTATGCTGACTGTCAATTTACAAAATCATCACAGTATCAATGAATGAGCTTGTCGACCCGCGTTCAACGTCACTCTGGTCAAATGGTTAAAACATTTATAACAACTTATCCTGAATAACCAGAGAACCTTAGATAACCTGAAATGATGGCTTCCAAGTTTCAACTGCATAAACTTGTTAAACTTTCAACATCACGAGGTAAACTTTTTAAAATTCTTATAAGGTTAAGAATTGCAGGCCCACTAGGCCTCTTGTCGTATAGAGAAACTAACCTAGTTAAATGGTTCACAGATATCCCCTTCATTTTCCTCACATTTTAATATATTTCGGATTGGTGTACATTCCTCGAATCAAGTTTACTACAAAAGACACAAAATTGATCATTTATATGTGTAGTCCAAACAACACATCTGATACACTCTATAAGATATATCAAACACTTGAAACAAGAGTATCAGTTAATCTGGTTAAGGCTCCCTTAAAACAACTTTATGGAAACAAAATTTTAACATAATTCTGTAATTAAGGGGCCCTGAATTTGATATACTGCACATTCTCTTAGTAAGACCAATGTATACACCAAGTTTCATGATCCTGGTTTTAATGCAATCTAAGCCCTGACTTTGCTACACTACACCTTGATTTGGTATGACTAATATATATACACATCATGTTTCAATATCTTAGCTTAAATGCATGCAAGGTATTGCTCCGGGCACAAAATTTTAAAAAAGGGAAATAACTCTGTAATTAAGAGGTTGCGGGTTCTAACATTGGTACACTGCACATTGTCTGTATCAATATACCAAGTTTCATTATCCTAGCTTAAATGCAGGCAAAGCCATATCCTGGACAAGATCATTTTGACACAGGGCAATAACTGATGCGGGTCCTGAAATGAGTACAATGCACATTGTATCGGTATGGACAATGGATACACCGAGTTTCCTTGCTTATGCTCCGAACGCGAAATTTTAACAAAATACAATAACTCTGTAATGGGGAGATCGGTGGCCCTTTATTACGCACACTACACATCTCCTTAGTATTACCAATGTATACACCAAGTTTCACGATCCTTGCTTAACTATGACCGGACACGGACGGACGGACAAAACTTTGGGGAGCATCAATACGATATGGACAGACGTTGCTCCTGGAATTACGACAGTGCTAGTCGCAGTGGTGTGTCGCATAAAAACGTTCTTCTGAATGAGCAAAGACGTAAAATGGACCAAGTTAATTATTTAGGGAAATACCATACCTTAATGACTTATAAAAAAAAATTAGATTTGATGACTGGAATCGCATAAATGCTACATCACGCTACATCAACAACAGGCGGAGTTAAACACAAGTATGATCGACCGACGAGTTTCTGAATGTTACACCGCGTGCTAAACCCTCACTCCATCTTCGTCTGTACAGGAGAGCGGACATTCCTGGTAAGTCTAAATTATTTGTCATTTTGGTCATGAATTATCCATCAATAACAGTGTATGTTGAGTGTAATACTGTTTTATATCATTGTATGATTGTGTTGTATGTTGAGTGTAATACTGTCCCTGATATAAGTGTATTGTATGATTGTGTTGTATGTTGAGTGTAATACTGTTTTATATCGTTGTATGATTGTGTTGTATGTTGAGTGTAATACTGTCCCTGATATAAGTGTATTGTATGATTGTGTTGTATGTTGAGTGTAATACTATTTTATATCATTGTATGATTGTGTTGTATGTTGAGTGTAATACTGTTTTATATCATTGTATGATTGTGTTGTATGTTGAGTGTAATACTGTTTTATATCATTGTATGATTGTGTTGTATGTTGAGTGTAATACTGTTTTATATCATTGTATGATTGTGTTGTATGTTGAGTGTAATACTGTTTTATATCATTGTATGATTGTGTTGTATGTTGAGTGTAATACTGTCCCTGATATAAGTGTATTGTATGGTCAGTGTTGTACTGGTTTTACATCATGGTATAACTGTATTGTATCATCAGTGAATTTTTTGCTTTTTATTATTTGAGGATTTTATTGTTTGGTCAGTGTAATTATGCTTTCATATTATCCTATGGTTGTATGGTATGGTATTACTTTTTACTTCATTTTATCATTATATTGTATGATGAGTGTAATACTGTTTTATACCATGGTTTCATTGTATTGTTTAGCCATTGTAATACTGTTTTATACCATGGTTTCATTGTATTGTTTAGCCATTGTAATACTGTTTTTTATCATTGTCTGATTCTCTTGTAGGGTCAGTGTATTTTTTTAAATCATAGTGTGGTTGTATTGTTTGATCATTGAATTGTTTTCATCATTGTATAATTGGACTGTTTAGTTAGTGTAATACCTTGATATCAAATTATACCAGTCCGGGGAAATAGTCCGACATCAAATTATACCAGTCCGGGGAAATAGTCCGACATCAAATTATAAATAGTCCGACATCAAATTATACCAGTCCGGGGAAATAGTCCGACATCAAATTATACCAGTCCGGGGAAATAGTCCGACATCAAATTATACCAGTCCGGGGAAATAGTCCGACATCAAATTATACCAGTCCGGGGAAATAGTCCGACATCAAATTATACCAGTCCGGGGAAATAGTCCGACACCTAATTATACCATT